TTACAAGACCACCAGCGCTTATGGTCAACTCTTTTTTGGAAGTTGTCAGGGCACTTTGAAATATTACATGCTGTAGCGAATTGAATCATGACTGTAATTGATTCCTGGTGAGGTTCATTCAATGATGGTGAAAAATCATGTGACTCAGTTCCTCAGGAAAGTGATATCAAACAACAGAGACGCATTACACTTTGACTCTGGCTGGCAGTCATCAATAACCGTTGCCCTCACCACAGCTTTCCAGAGAAAGAGCGTTTTATTGTGCTAAAATCTGGAGTAAATACCAGGAAAGACAGGCAGAGCGATCACTTCATCAGCAGTTACTCGGCCAGTTATGACATCAACACTGAGCTGTAAATTCATGTGGTTCAGGGCAGAGGTTAGGTAAACATTTTATATGCTGAAGTTGCTGTTGACTGATTTGTCACTGACACATTTGCGGGCAGTTTATGCATCTTCTATGCTTTTAAAATACAAAAGGTACTTACAGAGTTGTAAATGGTTTTTTAAGCAGCAGAGAAAACAGGGCCGTTATGTGGTGTGGTTACCACTATGGAGTCAACCCTCAATCCTCGAGTGTGAATCACACTCTTAATTAGAGAACACAATCTGAACCACATGTGAAAATTAGCCTTAAGGATAGCATAGCAGAATGTACTGCCTGTGTGTGTGTGTGTGTGTGTGTGTCTGCGTGTGTGTTCGTGGTGCATGCACATGGTTTTACCACATTTTGACTGATGAATGGTGACAGAGAAAGTCCACATGTAAATGATTGGACCAGGTTGTGGACAGGCAACCCCTGGTCAGATGAGATGGATAATGTCTCCAACATGTCCTGAATCTACCTCAGTGTTTCCTACTGGTTTGGTGTGCCTGGATCAACTCCAAAGGGAGGTGATGAGAGGACATGGCATCCTGGTAGTTTGAACCTCTTAAAACAGCCTCTTTAGGAGCTGCACTGTGAAGTATCTTTATGTGTCTGAGCCTCTTGCTCTATACTCCAAGCAGGTCAAGCAAACTTAGAGGTGGGGTAGGCAGGATCTGAGGAAGTGCCAGTTTTTGGGAGAAATCCTGAATGTATACACTACTCCTCCCAGCCAGTTTTCCTCCTTAGATCCACCTCTCCCATCCCTCTCTGCTCCAGCAAGCCCCGCCCACAAACAGACGCACAATGTTTGCAGGACTTCTACAACTAGCATGAAGTGACATACTCCAGTACCCAAGGTAAACAGTTTAGCGGCGCTACAACACGCAGCAAGTCCCGTTTGATAAGAAACATTTCTGTTACAGACACTTGGCTTACTTTGTTAAAGCGGTTTACCTGTCCAGCAGAAAGCTTACAGCGTCCGCCATCATTTGTGCTGATGTTGACCCAACTTTTTGGCTCTTGTCTGGTCTACTTCCTTTTTAAGTGCCCGTTATTCCACCAGCGTCTCCGGTATTTGCTTTGTTTTCTTGCTTGTGTTGTCATGGCAGTCATGGCAGTCATGGCTAAAGGAGGATTCAGACAATTTTCTGTATTTTCTTGTTGGTTTCTACTGTCCAACATTTAGCACGCTAACTTTGTGCTTGTGCACGTTATTCAAGGACGTGGGGTGTGCTTTAAAACACCAGGAAGCAGCGTCTGCCTCACAACCAATCAGCACTAAGGAGCAGTGTCTGCCTCACAACCAATCAGCTTGGGGGAGGTGGAGAACAGCTTTGTTTACTGTCAGATTGAGCAGGACACAGTGATATTTTTATATTACCAAATGTCATTAATAACCAATAGCTACTGTATATTAAAAGCTTTTTTGTATATACACTACAAAAAGATGCTTCTTTAACAGATTCCTGCCTGCCCCACTACCATTTCAATAACAAATCACTGTTGTAGAGCCGAAATAACAAATTTGTGTGGTTTTTTTTTTAGAGTCACTGGATGTCATTGGATGAGAGGCAATCACCAGCCTATCACACAGACGGACAACTAAATGCACTCACACTCGCATCTAAGGGCAAATCAGCGTCTCCTATGAAGCAAACAGAGATGTTTTTTGGTCTGTGGGAGGCAACCAGTGTACCAAGAGAATCCATGTTTGCAGGGGAAGAACATTCATGCGCCAGGAACAACAAACTCCAAACAGAAAGATTCCAGCCAGGATTCAAACCAGAAACCTTCTTGCTGTGAAATGACAGTGCTAACCACTGCATGCAGCCCATAGTTTGAATTTCACAGTGGAAACATCACCGGCAAAGGAACAAAAAGTTTGTCAGTATAAGAATTGAAAAAATGGACTAAGCAGAGACAATCTCATTTCAGTAAAAAAGAGTATGAGAAAGGTCACAAATTTTTACCAGCTGGCATCCCTTTAAAAGCCAAACAGAGATAGGAATCACTGTCTAGAACTGCAGTGTTTTTTTGCAGCAGAGTAGATATTCACCAGGTTGTAAGTTTGGCAAAAAATCTCCTCTTCAGGTAAAAAAAGAGAAAAAAAAAAACAGAACTCCAAATGAACGTAAACCCTGCTATTGAATCTGCATTCCCCCACAATCAGCTTTTCTCTGTTTCTTATTTACCAGGGCTCGGTCAAACAATAAATACCCCAAGGTTAAAACAGCTGTGTTCATCAGTGTTAACCAGCAAGTGTTTTTCCTTGAAACATTAGCAACACTAACACAGCTGCTGCTTTAGTTGTTTCTTTTGAACTGTCAGTGAACAAGCCACACTATCTAGCAAGTTACAGCCAACAACACTAAAAACAGAGCCGTAAAAGAGCTATTTTACCAAAATAAACTGCTCTCCCTGTCAACAAATTCCTTGGCAGCAGTGATAGTAACTACAAAATAAAAGCTTGGAGCAATGGTTAAAAAAAATAAAATAAAAAAGGGAAAAATTTCAGGCTGATTGAGTATGTGGTGCTTAAAATTTTTTCAAGCCAGTATGTGTGCGGTTAAAAATGTTCTCAAAGATTGCCTCAGAGACACGCAAGCAACGGGAACTGATTAATGACTGTGATTTGCCTGACTTTAAATCAGGCGTATAATTATTCCCTCTGAATCTGCAATATTTGAGAAAAGTTGCAACTTGACTGCAGGTGGAAAAATGTATTATGTTACGGAAAAGGCACTGTCATTTCCCAGACAATACTGGGTGTATTTCAAAGTTTCATTTTTTTTTTCACTAATTACAAACATAACAACCACAATAATAGAACAGGCAGCTAATAATTGCACTCCTCTCCTGGCTGCTTTCAAGGTGATGACTGACCAGCTCCGTCCCTCAGGAAACAATATAGGCAAGCTCTGATTAAGATGAATCTCCTTGTTTTTCAACCAGTATCTTTCGATAACTTCAGCCCCTCCCGGATCATCAAAGAGCAGAGCACACTAACACCCCGATGATTTGTCTTACAGATGAAGAGCTTGAGACATCCCGGCTCTCCAATGAGAAATCCCTCCTTGTGCCAAGACATGTGGCTCTGACTGCACTAGTTTTCTAATTTGTTACGCCTTGCTGCTTCCTGCTCTGTCTCATCTTTCTGTGCATTCTTATGTATTCTTTGCTGATTTCTTCGCACTATGTCATCTCTCTCTTTAACTCCTGCTCTACTTTTCTGACATCTACTCCCCTGACTCCTGACATTTTGACAAACTGCAGGATTCAATTATGTAAGAATGTGTGTACATGCATTTTTTCTGTTTGTGCATGGACAATTTTGTGTTTCTACGTCTGTGGGCATGCCCATGTGTGTGTCAGTGTACACAGAAAACATCTGTGTGTGTACATGTGTAAGTGTTAAACTCTCCCTAATGGTTAGTGGTCTGAGGGAGAGGAGGAGGGATAAGAGACAAGAGGAGGTGGGAAAGAGAGTGAGATATGACTGGCCCAGAGGTTGTTACTCCCTTATTATTGATATGAAAACATCCCAGCAGCTCCTGACTCACATTTCATTTTAGTGGATTCAACAGAGTATTGCAGCTGTTTTTGAAATGGAGCATTATGGACTTTATTGAGGTGCAATGTTGCAAATCTTTCACTGTAACAGGAGTGAGTATTGCGCAGTGCGATTTCCCTGTGAATTGTAGATACTTTTTTGTCCACTGTCAAAATGATAAAGGGAAACATACTTTATCATAGACTGTATTTACTAGGGACAACCTGGTTCCGCCTTTCGCCAGTATACGGATTTGAAACTGAAAAGCTCTTGGTAATTCCACGTTTTTTCCCCACGTCTTGAAACCAACATTGCGCAGTCGCGAGAGTCGCTATGATGATGTTCGGCTCAAACAGCGTATCCCCCAGGTAAGCTATACGCCCTATACGCCCATAGGCTGTATCAAGTGTCAATCATAGCAAACATAAACCCCCTAATAACTTAAAAAATTGAGCTGTACAGAAAAAAAAGGACTTGAGCAAAAACCAGTCTTACAATAACTAACATTGCAAGCAGGGGGGAGAAAAATTCATGTTCTGTGTAATACATTTCTAAAGTTTGTCCACAGCTCCATCAGCTTTGCTGGCAGAGGCAGAATTTAAGACCTATACTGCAGCCCATCAACAGAGGGTGCTGTTCTTGGAGTGGTTTCACCCAGCGAGGAGGCAGATGGTGTTCATTCTGTATACAGTCTATGTACTATACTTGATGAACTGCAACAAAGTAGATCTGTAAGGGCAACCAAGAGTGCAAAGGATTGCCAAAAAAAATGTTGTTAGACACAACCTCTGAGGTTAGACATGCTATACAAAGACAAGTTAACATCATTTTTTATATCTTCAATATGCATTGAATTAACCCTGACTTAATCACATTTTTCCTGTAATGATTTCTCCATGCTGTATCAAAACAATGTTCAAAAATCCAGAGACAACTTTGAAAACCAAGAGCTGGGGGAGGGGGAATAGGAATGCAGTACACTGTGAAGTGTTGTTTGACATTATGACAAGTAACTGATAAGACCTTATAAACAAGTGTGTGTGTGTGTGTGTGTGTGTGTGTGTGTGTGTGTGTGGTGGGGTGGGGGGAGTGTGTGTGTGGGAGTGCGCGGTCCATCACAAGCACAGCTCAGTTCTGACTCTCTTCAATGAAAGTTAGGACTGTATTGATCATTTGCTCTAAAGTTCAAACTCTCTGTAGCTGCATACTGAGACTTTGCTTGAGAGAGAGGCTTTGCACTGTGATAACTTTTGTGCAAGCAACAACAGATAAAATATAAAACAGGGTTTTCTTTGATGATCAGTGATGACTGCGACATGATGGGACTGCTGGAAGTTTTTGTGTTAGCAGCTGTGTTCAACTGCATTTCTGCCTCGACAGAAGTCTGCACCAACTCCCTTCTACCAGGAGCGAAAGGTAACGGAAGCACAAGAACTGCTGAACATTTTGTTATGTTAACTGCACATCGATTATAGCAAATTAAAGAGAATCCATTTACATACTTTTACGTATCTATTCTGTGGTTTTCTATGGTCTGAAAATCTTTCACTGCTTTTAGTGCACACTGCTGGAGTTTTATGACTTCACTGTAAATGCAAATGTGAACAAGCTCTGACGAAGCTTGTGCAATGTAAATGTACAGCTACCTACATATGTAGCAATTAAAAAAGCCTATGTACAAAAATCTGAGGAAACACCCCCTAATGTGCAGCAGGGTTTACAGAGCTGATGATAAAGGTAGCAGGCATGTAATGTCCTGTAGTTTACGAGCCTGCAGTCTGCTACCCCTTACTGTTTGGAGGGGATGCCTCCCCGTGTGTTTTTTCCATTTTATGACATCCAGTAGCTCGCTCCCCTGTTGATTCAGACAGACAGACCTAATAAAAAACACAGTTAAACTAAGCACTATTTTTTCAACTCCCTACTGAAAAACACTAACTTACAACTACAAGTCAGAGGGATGTTTGTTCTTTTTGAGTTTTTTAGGTGTATGTAATCTTCAATCCCATGGTCATTTTATAAAAAGTTATCTACTGCATTTTATCGTCAGCGGATAGCATGGCTAAAGCTAAGAGGCTGCAGTAACATCAAATACCCCAATAGGAAACCAACAGACGTTTTCTCAGTTTTACTCTAAATTTTCTATACAAGTGAGAAAGTCCCGTAGTCAGAGTGTGTATTTAGACAGCAGCCACTAAACTGAACTGATTATTTGTTCAAGACTCATCCCAAATTTAACCGACCACAGTGTCAGACTCTGGATGTGTTTTCTCATGTCTGCGTGTTTGAGTGGGAGACGGACGTGCATTTTTCTACGTTTCTTAGCCTGAGAACAAAAAAAACAAAAAATCCATTTGTCTTACGTATGCAAACTTTCCCGACATTCTTCTATTGCATTTACTGGTACTTTGACATCAACACTTTGAAATAGATTTACCAGCATTTTAGGTTTTTCCTTTATTGAGATTTAGGAACACAGGAACAGTCAAAACATCAGAGTTACTATTACATACTAATAAGTTAAATCATTGCAGGACTATACAATCGTTGATTTCTGAGTGGTTAAACATGTGAGTTAATTCTGTAAATGGTGCAGTCTAAAAAGGGAAACACTGTTACGCAGGCAGAAACATGTGAAACTGCAGTGATTTAACCGACTTCAAAATGTCTCCCCAGTCTGAAAAATTGAATAATCACTTTTCCTAAGTACTTCTCCAGGCTAAATGAGAGGGCTTGTTACAATCCCTCATTTCAAAGCACAGTACTTAAAAAGATATAAAGTACTGCTGGCATCAAAAACTGGGACAAAATTATAGCTCCAATAGACACTCTGATGCCTCTCAAGGTTTGCTGCCAAGAGCTCTACAGCAGCGGACCTACCAGAGATATTTCTCCTTCACCTCATTTGTGCTTTCAACTCTGAAGGCTATGTTTTGACACTAATACCTTAAAGGATCTGGTCTTTATGAAAACAGTAACACTTAGTTTGGAGTGAATGAAGTTATGATAACATAGAGTATGAAAAGTGAAATCATGTTCAAGACAAACTGGGTAAATTCAGAATTGTCTTTACATAACAACCAAACTAATAACTGGATCTGCTCTGCTCAAAGCACGTGGATAATTCACCAATCATAGATGATGGGCACAGCCTCCTTGACATAACCCATTGGTTTGTTCATTGCCTTTTTGGGGCACCAAGTTGGCATGATGCTTTTGGTGAGGCCAGAAATGACCATTTTTGGAAGAGAGAATGGCGTAATGAGTTGGCAAATGCCAAGCTATCAAAGCGAAACAGTCTGTGTCTGTGGCTAATTTGTTGGTTTTATTATTCACTTCAGTGGAAAGTTAGCCATTGTGTGGATTTCTATTTGTGGTGGCTGACCGAGGTTATTTCACAGAAAAGTTTAGACAAGTGGTGGAAGATAGTGGACTTTCTGCTCCCTTCACCACACTCCAGCTCCAGGATAGGGAAATGACCAGCCTGCTCTCATTTTGGCAAAAAAAAGGCTAACAACTTTCCTCACTGCTATGCACTGGCCTCCACAAAATATGACAAGTATTGAGCAAGTTAAGACAGGCCAAGTAGGGTCATAATACAACGGGATTTTTCTGACCATAAACAATAGAGCGCTGACTTTTTGAATGGACGATTAGAATAATAAGCTGCATGGGAAACCATAATAGTTGTCAGATATTTACATGATACAATCTCAAAAAGCCCCAGCAGCACAAAAATACTTGCAAGGTGAGGCTCAGTGACTGTATTTGCCGAGTTGATGCCAAAAGAAACAGTTACCAGAACTCAAATATCATTCAGGACACTCTGAATATTCATGGGTAAACAACAATAACATATTAATGCTAGCATGCTCTCTACTGAGTGGGGTTTAGCAAGATTTAACAAACCCTCTTCTTTGGGACTTTTTCTGGGAAACGATCATTTTCATAAATAGTCAGGGCAAACACGGAACAGACAAAAAATTCTGTTTGTCATATTGATTTTAAATCGTTTTATGTCTTACTGATTTTTAATGGTTTTATTGCCTTTTGTATGAATGGTGCTATACAAATAAACTTGCGTTGCCTCTTTGCTGTCTTTCCTTTTTAATCCAGGTGACCAAGGAGAGACTGGGGAGGAGGGAGATCAGGGAAAACTGGGGAAGAATGGACCTCCAGGACTTCCAGGTATCTGACATCCATCCAGAGGAGTTAAACATGTACTCCACTGAGACAGCACTATAGTTCATTTTACTCCATGCGATCTTATTCCTTTAAATAACTTTAAAAAATACTGCATATTCAATTTATTTCTAAGTCCAGAAGACCTCTTGTTTTAAATTTTAGATTGATTTTTATATTTCAGTTCATGTATGTACTGTTCCCCATGACCTGTGCTTGATTGAGCTCTCTTTTGTGGTTAGTATCATAGTTGATGTAAAGCAAAGTGGGTTAGTTATCAGAGTGTGGTTGAACATGATTCAGCAGCGCCAACATTAACATAACCACAGTGACTCCAGGTCTCTTTAATGGCAGCACCCACACAGACTGGATGAAGACGTGAGTCACAGCAGGATCTGACTTGACAGCCAGTGACATAAAGCAGTTGTCGGTCGTCATGTTTATAGTTGGCATTGATTGCAGTTGAGCCACACCATTCTTTTATCCTCATGACAAGTTTGAGTAATCAACATTTAGTTTGAAACTTGCTGAGTAACCTGCCATGCATTTCCTCGCCAGTTTACTCAAAGGGAAGTTTACATGTGAAAAAAAATCTGATCAACCATTTTTGAACATAAGTGCAAAAATCTAACTTCATTTGTAAGTAATCAAAAAACTTATAACAAAGCTGCAGCAACCTGTGCACAAAATCACATCCTACTCTTTGAAGTAGAGATGTCCCAACCCTGATCCCAGCCACCAGATTGGAGCCAATCTTGGTAATAATATAGGTGGAATATACAGTATGTCCTCTAACTGGAGCGCCAGCCATGGCTTCAACTTTATTATATGAACAAATGTGCACAGCCAGTCGAATTACAAAAACAACAACCACTTAACAGCCCCCTGCGGTAACTCTCCAGTGACAGATGGCTTAAAGGCAAAAGCATAAACACAGGACACTCTGATACATTAACATCAGCAACCCTGTGGCAACAATTTCAGCTGCGTGGAAACATTTTAAACTTGAGAGAAAAACCAGTCCATCAGCCACCTGCATATGCAATATAATCATTCAGCAGAGCGGTAGCAGCAGAGCTGTGTTTAGTACTACTTATTAAATATGACATCTGAAAACTTCACATGCAACCTAATACGAAGAGTTTTTTAAGTTAAGCATCAGAGGTAAAAGCCTGCTGCGTTGAAGTAACCAACTCTGGATTTAAAAGGAAGGAGGGAGTGAAAAGATTACAGAAAAGGTGGTTGGTCTCCTCGCTCTAGACCACCAGTTCATCTCCGTGGTAGAGAATGCAGGTTTTTGTCATCTTTTAGATCTATAATAAGTCCTGTCTTCTCAACACTACATGTCAGACATCGTAGAGCTGTACAGCAGAGTTAGTGACTTCTGTCAGCTTTACAACAGACGTTTGGAGCGCTGATATTTCTCCCATGTCGCTGCGGTGCTATGCTGCAAGATGAACCGATTCCTACCCTTCAAGAAAAAAAATGAACAAGGGGAAAAACAATGGAAGAAATCCGAGTCAAGTTGGGCGTCTCCATTGTGAATCTCACACTGTCATATGGGAGGGCAGCATTGCTTCTATGCATGCGGAATGACACGCACACAAGTTTTATGGCTTCATATAGCAGAGGATGTGAAACAGACTTCATTGGTGCTCTCTGAACAAAGTTAAATAAAAGCTGAAGACATAACCCAGTTATTTTGTTTGCTTGTGTTATATATATATTGTGTTTGGCTCTAATAACTGAGCAAATACAAGGATGGGATCAATTCGATTCAATTTTTTTCAATTGCTTTTTCTTGCTTGAGTCAGTTTCCTTTCTTTTTACAGTTCTTATGATGGAAAGGCTTCTGTTTTCAGAAAAAATACACATACTATACACAAACAAGTCTAACAAATATAGATGTATAGATATATGGGTCATAAACACCACCTCCTTTTAAAAAACAGTTGGGTTAAACTATATAATTAAAATATGCATCAAAGAAATGCTTCATTTTTATGCCAACTTTAGTTTTCTGATAATCTGTTATCAAATGGATGATTCAGGCTCCTGCAGCATGCTTCACCGGGTTACCAAAGAGGAGGAGGAGCCCTGAGAGATGATGAACACTGACTCAAGAGTCCTTGAACTCTTATGTGTTTGCGTCAAACCAGCTCAAGAATCTGTCCTGCGGTGTACTGTAAATGGTCTGGGATATATAGCTTCCTGTCTTGTCTTCCAACCCACTTAAACAACCATCAGTATTAACGAATCCTGTTCACATACTGCTTGGTGTAACCCGTGGAGGCGGTTTTGGGGTCAACTGTCTAAGGAGACTGAGCCACAGCGGTCCCTTAAATGTGAAAACCAGAGGAAACTTGAAGTCTTATCTGTAACTTTGGTTCACAGAAGCAGAGGGATGTCAGGCAGATTGCTTCTGTGCATGCTTTAGCTCCTCTGACAACATGTCAGCGCTCATCGAGGTGGTTTTGTTAGCCAAACATCTCACTGCAGAAGGAGCATGGAGCAGAGTCCGTTGGGTGTGCAGTCAGTGGTACAGACACATTAGAACACAAAGTACATAATTGTACAGACGCACACACTGGACCCTGGCTGCCCTCACTTTCTGCAAATGTTTCTTTTAATGGACATCTTTGCACAGAGGTTGTCTCTCACACGCGCCTGCACACACACACACACTCCTTTCTTGTCAGGCTGTGTGTAAGACAAATGCCAAAACTGCTGGAGTCTTTTCCAACAGAGAACAGAAGAGGAAGTACATATATATATACTTGACCCTTTTTCAACTTTTCAACTTTGCAGATAGTTTTCAGCAGTATAGCGCACCCGGTGATTATGGTTTTTCTGTGTATGCTTACTGTAGGAATGAAGGCAGGTTCCTATGATGACTCTGTAAGCATGTCAACAGCTCAGCGGATGACGCATGTATTCCCTGTCTTAATTTAAGCCTTTTTACAGGAAGCACTCAGTTAATTTTGGAACATTAAAAGGGAATACATGACTGTGAATTCTCCGGAGGGCAACAAAATGTTGCTCCAGGCTTACTGACGTCAACAAACACTCTCTTAAAAGTGTTACAGTTCCATATTTTTTAATTTAGCTTCAGGGTTACACACGGAGGAGTCGAAGAATTTTCTGCAAAGAACTGGTTGAAACAAGCTATCTGTACAATAAATGGAAAATCTGACGCTTCTTACAGCTTTTTCCTCTGCCCAGCAAAGTCTAAAAAGCAGAAAAACCAGTATTCATTTATGCTCATTATGTATAAGCAAACAAGCTGTCATAAGCAATCTGATCTAGACTATGTTGAGCATTTAAATATCCTCCCTTTGTCTTATTAAGCCTCCAAAACACCTGGTCCGTTACAGCCAGTATAAGCGTTTTTGAGGTAGCTTAAGGTTATTTAAAAAGGGTCTTACTGGAGGCTGTAGGATTATAAAAAAAAATGTGGCCTTCACCCCTTTTATCCTCCAGCAGCTGGAGAATCCAGACGTTAAACCAGTTGGAGGGGTTGGCCAGTATAAAGAACGACTGCAGTGATAGCAAGGACTGTTATCTTGATGTCTGGAAAGACAGTTTAACTGGCAGGCACAATTGCTGCAAAAACAAGATTAATCTACTTTTATGGACACAGAAGGGGTAATGGGAGACCAACAGAACTTTTTCACTTTTAACACGGCAATTACCTTCAAAATGGCTGATTACAATCAGCTCAGAGGTCAGTGCTGTCAAAATATTAACTCTAGCATGACTCTACTTGGGCATTCATACGCAGAAATTGCACTCAGATCATTCTGAGCTGGTCAAATTTCCCACAAACCAGAGTCTGCAAAGAGTCCAGCAGACCTCACACAATCCATAAGACCCCACACCTTTCGCCAATACCTCTCGCAAATCATCGACTCGAATGTCCACATGAGAAAGTGGGAAGTAGAGGGGGATAGCTGGCTGTGTATGTATATGTAAGTGTGTGTGTGGCAAATCCCTCTAATAGCAATAGGCCTCTCCAGTGCGTCACTTAGTATTTGAAACACCATCAATTTCCAGTTGAATAGTTTCCTGAGGAAATACTCATTCAAGTGCTGGCAGGGAGCCTCAGTCTGCTCTGAAGTTTTCCCATACTCTCTCTCTCACACACACACATTATATCTCTTTTACGACTCTGATATTCTCTGTCCTCACACGCCTTTTGCCAAAATATTTCAAATCAAAAACCTTCTTTGTACTTCTTTCATCACCTATCAAAAGCAGACTTAATACTGTTGATATATTATAATATATATGTAATACAGTGACAATTATCAGGTAACAGTGACAAACATTAATCCGTTTTCTGCATTTAGGTGGCAATAGTCAGATCAGAACGAACGTTAACTGCTAAAAATTTGGAAATAAGACGTGAACTTGTACTCTGCGCTGTGAACCAGAACATGTCCGTCTGAGGTCGTTGAACCGAAACTGCTTTAGTTAGTTCCTGAACAAATCAGCATTTTTTCCTCTATTTATCCACTGGCATGAAATTAAAAACAATAACAGCGTCCATTTTGGACTCCAACAATGCAGTGATTGTAGGAAAACAGCCTCGGGGCTAGCACACATGATCTCTAAAGGACGAGTCAGGAGCATACAATTATATTGATTAAATTTGAAAAGAACAAAATAGTCAGAAAACAAAAGAAAAACCATCTACGGTGGACGTAATTTCATAAATGACAGACTGAATGTCTAATTTTACACTGATTTGTACCATATTTACATCAAATCAAATTTTGGGTTTTGGAAAACCTTGCCCATTGTTTTTCTTTTTATATCATCCACTGTGTTGGACTGGGAGGTTATAATTTAAACTTGTTATGATACTTTTTCTTATTTCCTAAATACCTTCAGCCCTCATAACCAAATCCTCTTCCTCTGTCGTTCCTTCTCTTGTTCCCCAGGAGAGCCAGGAGAAGCTGGGCTCAAAGGAGAGGTGGGCCAAATGGGAAAAATGGGGCCTGCTGGAGACAAAGGTGTGACATTTTTAATATTGTTATCCATCATTTTAAATGTGCTTTAAAACAATAATCCTGTATGTCTCTTTTTATATGATGTCCTTTTTTGATGCAGAAAGTTTGATGCAACACTGTCAAAAAAAAAAACAGGCCCAATCAGTTATAATAAGCGTTGCCTCTAACAACCCAATTTCAAAAATAGTAAAATGTAAAAATGTATTTTCACATCATAGTAACCCATATTTAAATAAAAACATTGCAAAATCAACATATGAAATGTTAAAACTTAAAAATTGACAATGAATAAAATTTTGTGCTCACTTTAAATTTGATGTTTCAAAATGGTCGGGACAGAAACAACAAAAATCTGAACTGACTGACTCATGTTTTTAGCACCTCAATACCATAAGTTCTGAGACCTAGTGTTACATGTTCATAAAAACAGATATATAGGTTTGAGTGACGTACAAACCATAAAAATCTGTTTTAAAGTGGTGCAAAAATAACGTACTGCGTCTATATGCTGGAATAACATTTTAAGTGTCATGCCTGCATTATAAGTTGACTTGCTTCACCTGCTCCTTAAACAACACTTTGTAAACATTTGGTAAGAGGAGGACAGTTCCTGGTTTTTAAAAGGGAAATGTTGTCCAATTTTTGTTGGATATTCCCAGGGTTTCTTTTGTGTCATGATGCACCGGATGTAGTGGTTTACTCATCATCTGGACTACAGGCAGGCTGATTCAACACCTTGACCCTTTTACCATGAAGCCATGCTTTTGTAATGATAGCAGGATGTGGTGCGGCATTGTCCTGCTAACATTGCAAGGTCTTTCCTGAAAAAGGGCGTTATCTGGATAGCATCATATGTTGATCCAAAACCTCTACACTACTATCATGAAAGGTCCTTTCACAGATGTATTTACTACTTATGCCATGAGTACTTTTACATGCCTTCTTTACTTTTGCTGATGCTGGCTTTTGAAGTGTGCTGATGAAAAGCCAGGTGATCCTTCTTCTTCTTAGAGGCAATGATGGTGCGCCCCTGGTTTCCAAAAAGAATGTCGAGTTTGATTTGTAAGGCCCATAGAAGTCTCCGATGTTTCTTGAACCAGGATTTTAAATGTTTTGTCTTTGTATGATACAGCTTTAACTTGTATTTGCCAATGCAACAACAAACCGTGTCCACTGGAAATTGTTTTTGGGAGTAATTTTGGGTCCAAACAATAGAATCATGTCTGTTTCTAATACAGCACTGCTTAATGGCCCTGAAATCAAAACCATCTGGTGTTTGTTTGGGTTTTTGTCTATTTTGTACAAAGATTTTACCAGAATCTTGAAATCTATTATTAATATCACGTATTGTAGATGATAAAAGATCCAGTTTTATGTCTCTAACACTTTTCTGGAGTCCATGAAGTATTTCTTCACCTGATTACTCACACCATTGTAAAGTTATTCCCATTTTCACTGGAAAAAGTCTAAACATTAAACATTTTCCTCTGTATCCCAGCTCTTTTGGTATAAGGGTTGTAATTATAAACACTGGATAAAGCTTAAACGAATTAGAGAAAAAAGAGATTTCAGTATCTATGTACTTTATTTTTTAACAAAATTCTGATGAAAAATTTGAAGTTTGTAGGTTTTACTTGGTCAATTTACAAAAATTCTCATAACTCAATGATAACAGACAACCAATGGCAGAGAAAAGAAAATGCAGCCTTGAGGTTCTACAGGACCTTAATGTCTTTATAATAGCCTGAAAGAAGAAATATAGTTTCCTGAGCTCCTCCTGAGCATGGGTAGCAGGGCCATAACCACAGACTGAAAACATTTTAATAAGAAGAGTGGACATTTTTTACCCAAATCAGGAAACCTAATTAGTCTCAAGACTAACACACACAAGATGGAACAGCTACAAGCCAGAAAATGTTTCCCTTTCAAAAAATCCTGCATATTATTATGCAGAAAGTTATTATATACAAAGACAGCACAGATATGATAATCAGGATGATCTCATGCATTTGTTCTATTTTTATTTTTAGGATTAGTTATGTTCCCCGTGTCTTTTTTTCACCATTTGTTTTCGCCAGTATTCATTATGTTTAATGCACTTACAGGAAAGTAGCTGCACATCAGCCATCTTAGGCAACTGAGTGAGGTCATAGGTTTGGATTTTTCTTGATCCTGGGCGCCTGCAGCTCATAAAACACCTGGAAAAAAACACAGTATTAGGCAATGAGGGCTCTAGCAGGATCACAAACAATACTACTCACTTCATCTTTTAGAGAAATGTTATCATTCTGATGGCCCACTTACAAAAAAAACTTTGTTTTCACATCTTCACAACCAAAATTGGTCTGCGTTCAATATATAATGAGGGGGTATTAAGGGATATTTGCATGTATCCTTTGTGTCTGCTCTAACTATATGCAGACGTGCCCATTAGGGTAAGTGAAGAGCCTGTCCTCAAGCAATGCAGCAGGGCTGTTTAAGGTGAATTGTTACACTGACCGTGTATGCATACTGCATATCTGCTGTCTGTTTATTATAGTACTCTGTAAAGCTCCTTAGCTGACAGCAGGATAATGAGAGTAGTGTGGTGCCATAGATAGTCTTACTCACTTACTCATTACAGTTGTGTTATTTAGTCAGTGTTTTCAATCTGTAACTATGAATTACATCTAGATCATAACAAACAGTCAGGTGTGTCAAAGAGAACAGGTACAATAAGTCACTGTTCGGGCTGTTCCTCATATAAAACAGACCTGTTGTGATGTTTGAACTGTAGCCCACTTCCCCAAAAGCTGCAACTGCCATTCCCTCAGTAAAGCTTAGGTATTGATAAATAGCATCTGGACTACATGTAAACACAGGGCACTGTAAATCAAAAACACTTGTACTGTCATGTCAAGGTCCATGTAGGAAAACTAAATGTAGTTGTTTAGTATGTTACATTTTGACTCAAGTTTATCTGTGTGCAGACATAGTTGAGATGTTTTATGTATGATGCAGCCATCTTGTGGTGGTCCTACAGAACTACATAACCATAACATTTGAGTAAGTTTGATATGTATACAGCCATTGAGCTTACTGTAATATTGATATGTAATTTTAGTATTTTTTTTTTAAAAGGGAGAAGGGGTGAAAATATGATCGCGTGACCAATCTCAGAAATGCACAGTATTCACACATGGGATTTCTCCTGCAGGTGACAAGGGTGACACAGGTTGGGAAGGGCCCAGTGGATTAAAAGGGAAACAAGGTGAGTAAGTCTGTACATTTCTTTTTCCAAATCCTGTAAGACAATACCCACCATTCTGCTCCTCTAAGCCCATTATAGTGTTTTTACAGAAATTTTACATTCACAAATAAACCACCTGGACAGAAAGCGTGACAGTATTTTCCTAAAATTTTAGAAATCAGTCTTGTTAGTGGGTGTGAGTGGGTAAATACAGAGTTGAGCAAGTCACTTACTTCAGTAAGAAAATAAAAATGTAGCTCTGATGGAATTACACTAGACATGTTTGCACAAATTCCCTGCTGGTGAAATACATCAAATTAGCATAAGAAAATACTCATCTGTCAGTGAGCATTAAGGTGGTGGTGTTCATTTTTGTTTGGCCATGCAATCCAGCATACTATGAAAATGATGTAAAAGTGTCTCTCAACTACAAGTGTGTATTAGGTGCCAAGTCTTTCATACAGCAGTTCCCTAATTCAATGGCAATGCAGCCCCCAACCTCAGTCAACAGTGTGAAAGCAGACGGTCCAAAGACAGGGTGTTCTGACTGCCTAGTTTTTATTAAAAAAAAACTTGTACAGAAAACAACATGAAATAAGTCTGTGTTTTTGAGTTTTTATTAGCTGTTATTTGTTTACTCCATCAGGCACAACTTGTGACTGCGGCAGGTACAGGAAGGTGGTTGGACAGTTGGATGTCAATGTAGGCAAGCTGAGGAACGCTGTCAAGTTTGTGAAGAATGGTGAGTGAAGCATAAACAGGGAAGCGTTAAATGACAATTGCAAGTTAAGTAACGTTTTCCGTATTTTTTAGTCCTTCAGTTTCTGTGGCCCTTACTCATCATTTGTCGGACAACTTATTCACCTTTTATTTAATCATATGTGGAGAATCTTGACAATCAGTTTGTTTACATGCACAGTTAAGTCAAGCTACAGTCAAGCTACAGGCGATTTAACTCGACTACAGTCCTTGTCCTAGTTTACAAGCACCAGGCAAAAAATGTAGACCCGTTTTACTCAGATTGAAATTTTGGATGAGAAGTTAATCCCACACCACTATTTCAGATATGTTAGTCTGACTATGAGAGGTTTGAGTTAAGTGTGATTTCAGGCAGACTAATGTGTTTACATGTTTTTTATAAGTTCAGTTTCAGTCAGGCCAAGGCAATAAACCAACATTTTTGAACAGCATGTGCACACATTAACTTGGCTTTCCTTTGTATCATGTTTTGAACTCTTACTAGGTTTTTGATCCAACAAACTGGTCTGACATAGTTGCTCTGGCATGCAAACCGTTATCCCTTTCAATTATGATGCCACTTCTGAGCCCCAACAGTCCAAACGGCCGACAAACGGCCAAGTTCAATAGGTACAAAATCCCAAGCAATGCCTATCCTACTCAAGGGTCAATGGCACAACACACTAACCAAAGCTTTTCTTTTCTACTTTTAAACAACAGTTTTATTGATAACTTTATCTTTTGCAGTCCTCCTGGGTTTGAGAGAAACAGAGGAGCAATACTATCTGCTGGTGAAGGAGTCCAAGAAGTTCAGAGAAGCTTCAATGAACTGTAAACTAAGAGGAGGCAGCCTGGCAATGCCAAAAACCAGCAACACCAACCGCCTAATGGCAGACTATGTCAGCCAGGCAGGACTGACGGGGGTTTACATTGGAGTACAAGCCCAAAACATGGACACAGTAAGTAGTCTTCATCTTTTGTTGTTGTTGTTGTCACTATTTTCTAAAGTAGGAAGGGTATCGAAAGCCACATTGATCTGAAACTTGATCCTTGTTTTTAAAAGAGTTCCAACTTTTGAATAACTTTTGAATTTATTCCGTTTTTTAACGTCAGAATGGAACAGACAGTTATGTGTATGCAGACTCCAGCCCTCTGCAGGGTTTTGCTGCTTGGAGCCAAGAGATGGAGCTAAACTCCAGAGTATCTCCCTCCACAAACTCAAGCTGTGTGGGGTTGCTCAGCACTGGAACATGGGCCCATGTGGAGTGTGAAGCCACCATGTTTTTCATCTGCGAGTTCTCAAAGAGCAGCAGAAGAGGAGGAGGCGGAGGAAGAGAGATGACTACCTCTGCAACATCATGAGTTCATGAGAATCTCAGGCTTGGAAGCAATATTTTAGTTTATGCTAACGTGGAAATGTATGTGATGAAAGAGCAACTGAAATATTAAAATAAAGTGTGCCTGCATAACCATAAACTGTTGGTTTTTTCATTTCGATGAATCGTGTCAGTATATCAACAAAGAGTGCAGTTGACTGTGTCAGGTCAAATTGCCGTATTTTAAAGACACATTTCAACAGCAGTACAAATTTAATCACTTACCTTAACATTAAACTGGGTCAAAAAATGATCAGAGGACTTTAATTTCAAGGAGAGAAAAGAAAGAAAGAAAAATGAGAACACTTCTACTTTAACAGTTGGTTGAGTAAAAGCCATGGTTAAACCAGCAGGTCTGACTTTACAAAAAAAACTGGTTTGCCCTGATGTACACTACAGGGAAAATCAGTAAAACTGACCAGGAGTCAAATACTGAGGTTCGAAAGATGAAGTAAAAGTTGAGCAGTTTGAGAATGGGGAAGTGGCACTGAGTTTCATGTGAATGAAGGAAATAAAATCACACCAAATGATACTTTATATATACTTAAGGGTTATTGTTCTTATTTTCAAAATCCCTACATTTGTCTAGAAAAAATACAGATTTTCAAAGTATCAGGGAAACTGTTTGGGGTAAATGAATGTTTTTCTTCAATAAGTAGTCGAACAAATAACAGTTCACTTCCAAGTGTGGAGGTATTATAAATATTTCTCAGAAAAAGCGTGTGATAAAGCAATGTGTTCTGGGCGACATGATTTCCAACCACACAAATAGAGGAACTGGGAAATAGTTGACTTTCAGTTTTTGTAAGTCATCTTGCCATAAGCTTCCAAATATATCACTTTCTACTCGCTGATTTTTCCAATTGTACAGCTAATTTGGATTAGAGTCATTTCCTCGTGATTTTAATCTGATCAAATGCAAACTTATATACTGGTTTACTCTGAGCATCAAAGTTAAAGTCTAAGGAATCACCCGTCTTCTTTCAATTACAGCCCAACTAAATCTGAAGACTTCATCAGAACAAATTATACAAATTCAGCCATTAACGTTGTTGTTATTAAATTGGACTTCAACTGAGCATGGTCTCTAAATCATAAATAAAAGAAATCTAGAATTTCTTTTTTTTTACTTCTTGTACTGTTTTTGAATTTGCAACATTTTTGAATCCGTGATCAGTTAATCAGAAATTGCTCAGGTTTTCCTGAAACTTCCATGTATCAGAGTAACAAATGTGAACTTTTAATCTGTGGGCGACCAACGCAAACTATTTTATCACCTATTTGTTTTATTTTATTTTACTAACTATTTGTTAGTAACTATTACTATTTGTTTGCTAGTACCCATTCAAAGATGTATCTGATAAGAAATTGCAAGAAACTGCTAAGTCCAACCATGTCTGCCATTTTAATGATTGGACATAATGCCCAAGGTTACTAAAGGATCTTGACTTTTCATACATTGTTCAAAGAAAGCAGAGACAGTAGGTGGAGTGTGATCATGAAATAGTTGTGGGAATATTTTATTTTTACTTAATCAGTAAATTTCACTTCAGTATTCTTAGGATTACAAGTGTTGTTCACCTTTAATACCGCTGAGTAAGAGACACTGATGTTTTGCAGTCTGCATGCCTTGTGATAAAAAAAACACATGGCAACAAATGATTGCTGACTGTCATTGAAATAATCAAGTTATAAGTACATTTCATTTCCAGCCCATCACAGATCTTGGTAAAAACAGTCTGACGCAACATTAAGAGACTCTGTAGCCGAGTTGAAGGCTGACAGACACCAACAGCAAATCTGACAGATGTCCTCAACATCTGATGACCAGTCAGAGCGGGCCAGAGGACCTGCTCTGTATACGATGGCTATCGAAGATGGATCGAGGAATAGAAATAGATCTCAAAGTCAGGGTAAGAAAACCCAACTTTACACCTTGGTGAAATATTTTTTAAGTTAACTGTGATAGAAATGGTAATACATTGTTAAAATGGAAAATCACTTTCAGTTGTTGAGGAGATGTCTTTTACTGCTTGTTTGTGTTTTCATTGACTGTTTTTTCCCCACAGTGTTCTGGATTGGAGCCATTGCCATCTGCCTGGTGGTGGTTCTCCTGCTGACCGTGATCCTGGTAGCAAACAGTGAGTATTTGTTCAATATTGAGCAAAAGAGCACTGAACAATCCTAGTTGTACGTCCCAATCACAAAATTAGAGCTTCCCATCATCTTCATGAGAGCTTTCACAGCTTTATCACTTCTAAAGCGCAGTTTGGACAGTTCACATCATTTTGCTGTCTTTATAAATTTGATAATTCTCCGCTGAGTTTCAATGTTGGGATTTTTTTCTTTTCAGGTGCTCATTTTAGCAATCAATGGGACACCAAATATGAAAACCTGATTTACAACCTCACAAAAGACAGAGCTGTCCTGAGAGAAGAACAGGAAGCTCTGAAACATAGGTTTGAAGCTCTGAAAGATAAACATGACCAACTGAAGACTGACTCTGGCAGTCTGACTGAAGGGACAAACACTTTAAAAGAAGAGCAGGAAGCTCTGAGAAAAGAACGGGATACACTAAATAGTGAGCTTCAAGCTCTGAGAGGTGAGCGAGACCAACTGAAGACTTACTCCATCGATCTGAAGAAAGAACGAGATGCCCTGAAAGATGAGCGAGCGGCTCTGACAGTTGAGCGTAATGCTCTGGAAGATGAGAGAAATCATCTGAGGATGCATACCCTCAACCTAACCCAAGAAAAAAACACTTTGGGTGATGAGAGGGACATCCTACGAGAAGAACGAGACCAACTTGAGATACTGTCCGTCAGCCTCACTCAAGAAAGAGACACACTTAGAGATGTGCGAGATACTCTGAGAGATGAACGAGACAAACTGCGAGATAAGTGTAGTCAGCTGCAGAATTCCTCTGACAACCTGATTAAGGAAAGAGACACATTCAGAGATGAGTGCGATGTTCTTCGAGGTGAGCGAGATGCCCTGAGAGATGAAAGAGATCGACTGAAGTCTCTCTCCAGCAACCTAGAAAAAGAAAAAGATGCTCTGAAAGATGAGCGAAATGCCCTGACGAACGAGCGAGAAGGTCTGAGAGGTGAGCGAGACCAGCTGAGAGTTCAGTCCAGTAATCTCAGGAAAAGTATGGATGCTCTGCAGAGCCAACTCAACTCTATGAGCGCAAGCCGCAATCAGCTGCAAGAAGAGGTCAACAGCCTAAAACTCAGAGTAACAGGTAAGAAATGTATTTTAATAAGACAGTAAAAGTGGTTTGGAGTCTCATTTTGGAGTCAGTGTGGAAGGCAATTGATCGTTGAACACTAAATCTTTTGATGCATGCAAGTAGGGCTGGGGGATAAAATAATATGATATATATATCAAAAATTAATTTCCCTCAATATCAATATAAAACATGGTGAATATGCTTTCCAATAGTCAGCATTCTGCTATGTTTTGGTAGACTATACGAATAGTCAATGAAAAGGGAGTTGCTCCAGGTCCACTTCATGCTGAACCAATCATGTGCTGAATTTGAAGTAGCAAACAACTGCGTAGTAGCAGGCTGCAGCTACATGCAACCATAGCACTTTAGCACGAGAAGCCGACAGAACTGTTGGGGGGTGGTACCCCTGGCAGAAATGCGAATTAAGTCTCAACAGATGATGACATCATTGACAACACTGGCACAAAAACGTTGGTGGTGTAGAGGTATTTTGGTTTTTGAGGTCGGACATGAAGCAGAGTAATGTGCAGCGCAAATTATGTCGCGAACATGTTTATGCAAAGTCAGGGAATACCTCAAATCTTTTTCACCACCTGAAGCAGGGCCGCACAGCAGAGCACGTGTAATGAAAAAGTTTACTAACACCGAGCAGAGCAAGGAGCCCATGGCGCCTTTGCAGCCAAAACAGCCGACCATTCAGTCCGCTTTCTTTGACGCAACCCCCTTACGACAAAACGTCAAAGAGACACAAAGACCTCACAGATGCAGTAGCTTATTGTAGTAGAAAAGACATGCTACCAATAAGCACAGTTGAATTTCATTTTTTATATTGTGATATATATATATATATATATATATATAAATATATATGTCGATATCGACTGGTATAAAATTAATATATTGTGATAAACATTTTCCTATTCGCCCAGTCCTACATGCAAGAGTACTTCATCAAACAAATAACCAAGACACTGACTGATAGTGTTAACTGTTTGAATTTAACTTTCTTGAGGAAGTAGGAATTTCAAACCCAGTAAAAACTTGCTGCATTATATTGAAGCCATGGTTCAACACATTAAAGTTTTTTTTTTCTTGTCAAATGAAAACATGAATATTATTATATTTTTAAAGCCTATGAAAAGCCTATGAAAAGTCCCTTTTCTTTGATCTGATATGTCTTTCCCGAACTCTTAAGAGAGGCCATTTTTTAAATCCATCTGGAGTTGTTGTAGTAAACAACTTAACGACAAAATCAGTCTTTATACCAAGTTTAGAACAACAAACTCACCACATATACATTTTTTCTCGCAGTTAAAAATTGCCCCTCAGGATGGAGCCTGTTCAACAACCAGTGCTACTATTTCTCTGGAAGTGGAAATGGAAAAAGCTGGCAAGATAGCAGACAAGACTGCTGGAATAGAGGAGGGGACTTGGCAACGCCAAAAACAAAATCAGAGCTGACATTTGTCAGCAAAAGGAACACCTTTACCTGGATCGGTCTCTCGGACCTGTCACAAGAAGGTGTGTGGCACTGGGTGGACGGGACTAACCTGGATAATCAAAGCTTCTGGAAAAAAGGAGAGCCGAATAACAGTGGGGATGAGGACTGTGCTGAGGTTGCCGCTGATACGGTGAAATTGAATGATGCACCTTGTAATAGACAATTTTCATGGGCATGTCAGATTTAAGGTCCATTTGACCCCCACACCCTGTTGTGAAGTATCCCTCTGTCACAGCTCCACATCCCCTCCTCTTAAAAGAGTTCATGTTTGACTCCTTGAACTGTGACCTTCAGTCTTTTGATGATAAAATGTTTTACAATTGTCAGAAAAGAATCTTTTTTTTTTCAATTTCACTTGTTATTTGCAATATGATATGTAATTCAAAGCTATGGACATTATGTAAAATGTTGTATCTATGTTGTACGGTTTTTTCAGTGGCCTTCAAATAAACAGTCAACATGTTAAAAAACACTAAACTGACACTTCTTGATGTCACTGCATTAGCATTTCAAATTGCGGTGCAGAAGTCTCAACAACAAGTGCTACTATCGCTCTCCCAGTGCAAGGGAAGAAACCTGGGAGAAAAGTAGACAAGACTGCCAATCCAGAGGAGGGGACCTGGCAATGCCAAAAACAAAAAGATAAATGACTATTGTGAGTGGAGGTCACCCTTTTACTTGGACTGGTCTGTCAGACAAGTTGCAAGAAGGCAGGTGGAAGTGGGTGAATGGGATAGACCTGGAAAGCCAGGACTTTCAGAGTAAAGGAGAACCTAATGACAAAAATGGAGGCCTGTGCTGAGGTTTCACAAGATTCAGTGTAAGTGAATGATAACTCATGTGATGCAAAGTTTGGATGGGTGTGTGAAGCTTGAGGTCTGGGTATCAACAGTCATGCTCCTTTGTTCTGCACTTAAGTATCAACTTACTGTAACAAAAAAAATGCTGAATGAGCTTTCTCAAATCACAGCCTGTTCTTATTTAACCTCTTCCCCTGCTATTGTCAGGGAAGGTCAGTGTTGTATCCTCTGAATTATTTTATGAATTTCCTTCAACTAATTCCAAAATTTAAAAAACCTGATTTAAGAATAATGAAGCAGATGTTTTTTTGTTTGTTTTTTTCCCCCACAGTTTCATTATTTCAATATTGGCAATAGTAAAACAGACATGATTTATCTTTTTGCACAATGTTATTCAAGCACACTGTGGCAACAGTCGTATAACAGGATACAAGGTCCTGCAGAGATAACTCTGTCTGCAAAACTGAAGGGGGCTGAGCCTAATTCCCCTTTAGAGGTTATCACAACAAGATTCACATAATCCAAGTCCTGTCTTTGCTATTTTACCACGACACACAGCCCTAAATGAAAGAAGAACATAGTCCAGTATTACCAAAAACAAAAGCCAAAGATTACTCCTAACACATATTATTTCAGTTTCATGTTTCATTCATTTAGCCAGTTTAGCTATGTGTAAGTGATATAAAAATATATCACTTACACACACAATACAGAATGTTATGTATAAAAATGTTAATGTTAAAACATGTTCCACCCAGGTACATATAAAAGTCACTATTATTATAAAATAACTTCAGTCGAACAGTTGAGAAAGTTATTGAAAACAAAGCTTGCAGTTAACAAGATTTGGTTCAAACCCAAAGGCACACCTTTAGGTTATCACAACAACATAGAGGACAGAGGTGTCAGTGCTCCAGTGTCAGTGCAGTCAGTTCTTATAGAATATCAGACTTCCACACAGTCCACACAGTTTTACAACTCTTTCTGGGCGAGATTACAGTGGCCACAGAATAAAGTAAAACTGGAGGCAATTATGAATCGACGCCACTGCACGGAAGACAAAATTTGAGTCAGAAAAGGGTTTGTTTTAGAGCTGTTGGGTACCAGAATAAAGGGAGTGATGGTTATGTCTCAAAAGGCAAATTCTATTCACTGTTGATAATCAACAAAAACAATAACAATTTTGATTGAATATGATAAAATGTAAAGAGTGAAGGGAGGGTATAATTAAAAAAACAAACAAATAAAAAACGTAACAACACACACCTCATAGATCATGTATTTACATTTCAACAGAGGGCTGATATTATGTACATGAAGGGTTTTCATTCAATCGGAAATTGCAGAGGCATCATGAGGAATACTGGATTTCTCTGTAACATTAGCTGTTTTAGCACATGGGCTACCGTTAGCTTGTTAGCAAAATAAACTGGAGGAAACTGTTTATTTGTCGTCTTTTGGAGGATTGCCAGACATTTTAGGATTTACAAGCCCACAAGATCTAATCAAGCATTTTCCCCACCTATGATCTACCTTTTACATTGTAAATGAGGGATTTCTGTTCTAGCTGGTGCTCATAAACTGATATACAACAATACCTTACATTCAAGGCATTCTGTCGTAATCTCCAGAGGTCATTGACTTTTTTGTTTGTCAGTTGTCATGATCAGTTATAGTGTTCTAAATCCGGTGAAAAGCACATGAAAGTGCACAGTAGAGCAAGTCTCCAGTTCATGGTGTGTGAGATTAAGTATGCACATAGAAGAAAGTGTTCGTGATCTTAACCGTCATCATCTATTTTTGACAGAATTTTCATCACATTTAATGTGTTGCACCAGAACGAGCTTTGCGTGATTCTTCACTGGGTATCAGAACATGCACAGTGCTCACATCCTGTTATTGTACACAGGAAGTAAGAGCAGCGAGTTTTGCTGACTGTCTTGTAACTCGGACAATGAGGCACCAACTGCCAAGACTGTGCTAACAGTAGTCTTTTGCTTTAACCCTGAATTTCTGAGTGCATGAAAGAAAGAAAGAAAGAAAGAACCCACTGAGCATTTTTTGGTCCAAAAGAGGTCTAATACACATCTAAATGTAGCCTAGAGGACTGGTCTAAAATCAGGCTACCACTGGTCTAAAACTGAAAGGTTTTTTTAGATGTCTAAATTTAGACCAAGTCTAAATATTGGCTATATCTGTACTACACTGTATATTGCTCAATGGCTATCGTAATTATTTTGGTTAAGTACTTGGAGATCAGTCATGCAACTCACAATAACTTTTTGAAATCAATAGTTATTGAAAAATGGGTAAAGTGCAAAATCTAAATTCCATCTAAAAATATACATAATCTAGACGGTTGAAATTAGGTTAAAAAAAAAAAACTAAACTAAAAAAATAGCCATGTATTGCTCAGTGGAAAGAGATATCAGGCAAAAAGATATGACCAGACGTTACCTGCTAATAACCCGTAAGTTATCGCATAACAACAAAACATTAAATCATAGCAGCCCATAACTCACCCTACTCATTCAACATTACTCTTAATTCATATATATATATATATATATATATATATATATATATATATATATATATATATATATATATATATATATATATATATATATATATATATATATATATACAAGAGCTTTAAGTATTTAGGAGATGAGACTGGAAAAGCTCCATATAAGTGCAAGTCCATTTACTATTTATAAATGCAAATACAAGAAAAGAAGGAAAAAATCTTTGAGGCAAGACTGGGGCTATATGAGAATGTCAACATAACTTCATCTTGTTTTAAATATATAGTTTACACTAGTTGCTAAGATTGCAGAACAGACACAAAGAGGGGAGAGATGAGGGATAAAATGTTGGAATAAAAGTAAGAAATTAATTTTTTTTAAATGATTAAGAATAGATGATAATGTAAAAGAATACCCAAACTAGTTTTAATTAACAGCAGTTTGGCACAGTCTGTGAACATTGATTGAATTGTTTTTCATCTTATTGTCACTCATATGATATGTCAGAACATGCCAGAGATGTGCTTTATCATAAGAGACTCCACCCTATGATGTTGTTTCCTCAAATCTTTACATGCCTCAACATGTATTTGCAGAATCAGCAATTTACAGATCTCTATAAAAACAGTCTTATGCAACGATTGAAAACACTGAGCCAGAGTGAAGACTGGACAAGAAAGTGGTAACACGGATCTGAGAGATGTCCTCAACATTCAGCAGAAAGTCAGGGGACTTTGGAGGAGATACCGGGTACCTGATGAGTATTGATGATGGATTTAAAAGTGGAAGACGATCTTCAAGTTTTGGTAAGAAGACAAACTGCCACACATTTTAGGGCAACATGGAGTATGGTAACTGTGACAGAAAAAGAGGCTGCTGTCATTGGAAAGGCAGTGAGGTGTATGATAAAATGCAGAGACAGAAAAAGAAAGGATTTAATACTCATTATGAAACTTTAAGTTACATGTACATATGCTTGTTTATATTGTTATTGCCTCATTGAATTATTTTTTCCTCAGTGTGGTGGATTGGAGCAATTGCTGTGTGTCTTGTGCTTCTCCTGCTGTCTGTGATCTTGGTGGCACACAGTAAGTACATTTTTTTTTTTCCCAATAAGGAATGTAAGAACAACAAAATCTCAAAATCACATGAATGCAAAATTCAGAGTTGATTCTAATATTTTCTTTATTTTCAATTCCTGTTATCTTTTTTTTTTTTTTTTTTTGCAGATACCAATGCTATTAATCGTTGGGATGCAAAATATGAAAACTTGATTAGTAACCTGACAAGAGACCAGAGCGCATTTAAAAACAAACCAGACACACCAAAGGATGAGCCAGACCAACAAAAATTGATCTCCAGCCTGACTCAAGACAGGGATGCTCTGAGAAGTGAACGAGATTCTCTAAAACAGGAACGCGAGGCTCTAAAAGAAGAGCGAGAATCACTCAAAAGTGAGAGACATCAACTGCAGAACCATACAGGTGACCTAACTAAAGAAAGAAATGCCCTGAGGGATGAACGAACCGCCCTGAAAGAAGAGCAAAAGGAACTGAAGAGTCTCTCCAGCAGCCTGACCACATACAAAGACGCTCTGCAAGAAGAACGAGATGCTTTAAGAAACGAGAGAGGTGCTCTCAAAAACACGCAAGACCCTCTGAAGTGTCCAACTCTCAACCTGACCGATGACAGAAATGCTCTGAGAGATGAGCGAGATGCTTTAAGAGTGGAGAGAGATCAGCTAAAGATGCGCACGGGTAACCTGACAAAAAAGCTTGAGGATCTGCAGAGCCAATACCACATAGCGACTGGACTACGCGACAGGCTTCAAGAGGAATTGAATACCCTCAAACTCAATCAAACAAGTAAGAAATGTACTTCAACCCCAAGAGATTTGGTTGGACCATGAAATGTATGCAACACTAATCATTAAATGCATTGGTCAGGACATTGGGGTTATATTTACTGACACAATGTGAGTTGGAGATAGATTCTTTGCTGGTCTTTCTCTTCAGGTTTGCAAAGCCCAGTTAATGATGAATCTTATTGGTCCGTAGACTCCCCTTTGTCTAAGGTCCAACCCTCTGTTAAACTTTAAACAGATGCTACATTACTACATACTTTCATCTCTCATTTAAAGTACAGGCTTTTTGCAGAATGATTCAATGAATTAAACTGTTAAATTTGACCATCCCCTGATATCTTGCACAGTTCGGTAATAACCATTTGACAGCACAGGCTCACTTGATGGTTTTGGGGATATGAGTAGGTACAGCGTATTTTAAAGCCCTTTGAGGAAGTCAAGTAATAAAAAACAAAACAAAAGGAAAATCAGTGTACGTTCCCCAATAACACAAAGCAGTTTGTAGACACTCAAGCCTTGGTGTATTACATCATATCATATTAGACTTCTTCTTTTATAGGCGGCAAACACAATCATTGAAGAGTAGTTATGAGAAATCTGCATTTGTTGTTCAAAAACATCATTTATGATTTTGACATGATATACTGTATATATATGATTGTGCAATGATGGAAGTCAGTTTACACACAAGAGCTTCCAAAACTCACTGCTACATTTGTGTTTTTCTCTAGATAAAACTTGCCTCGCAGGATGGAGCCTGTTCAACAACCGGTGCTACTATTTCTCTGGAAGTGGACAAGCAGAAAACTGGCAAAAAAGCAGAGAAGACTGCCAGGCCAGAGGAGGGGACTTGGCAATGCCAAAAACAAAATCAGAGCTGACATTTGTCAGCAAAAGTCACACCTATACCTGGATCGGTCTCTCGGACCAGTCAGAAGAAGGTGTGTGGCAGTGGGTGGACGGGACTTACCTGGATAATCAAAGCTTCTGGAAAAAAGGAGAGCCGAATAACAGTGGGAATGAGGACTGTGTTGAGGTTGCAGGTGATAAGGTGAAATTGAATGATGCAACTTGTGATACAAAATTTTCATGGGCATGTCAGATTTAAGGTCCATTTGACCCCCACACCCTGTTGTGAAGTATCCCACGGTCACAGCTCCACATCCCCTCCCCCTAAAAGAGTTCATGTTTGGACTCTTTGAACTGTGACCTTCAGTCTTTGGATGATAAAAAGTTTAAAAAGTTAAAAAAAGATTGAAGAATCTTTTTTTCAGTTTCACTTGTTATTTGCAATATGATATGTAATTCAAAGCTATGGGCATTATGTAAAATGTTGTATCTTTGTTGTGTGGGTTTTTTCAATGGCCTTCAAATAAACAGTCAACATGTTAAAAAACACTAAACTGACACTTCTTGATGTCACTGTATGAGCATTTCAAATTGTGGAGTCAGAAGACTAAAAGAAGATTGAAACTCAAGAAGCGTCATGTCTAATCAGTGTTTGCAAAAAAAAAAAAAATCTTATTGGCCTGTTTGGCGGATGACCTAGAGAGTCTAACCTATAATAGATTTACATTTTTGTAGTCCTACAGTTTTTATTAACAACTGTCTTACCTGATGCTACAGGATACAGAATATTATACAGATTATAATTATTCTGTCGACCACGGTGAGTGAATTGAGTCTGTTGCCCTTTTAGAGGTCATAACAACATTGTTTCACAAACTCCAAACCCTGGCTAAACATTAACCATGACTATTTACTGCCTTTAACGACACGTAGACACAGCCTTTTGCCAATTGATTGAAATAACTTTCAAGTAGTGGTTTTTCCTCAAACTTGATTCAATGTTTAAACACCAGTAAGTTCAATGTTGTTCAGTCTGTATAAAATCTGTACTCTTCTCTCCTCTGTGGTTAAAGTAACACTCAAACCAATATTTGCTTTTCAGACTACTTGGCTCCAGCATAGGGGATCTGTACACACCATTGTTTCTCAGCTTCCCGTGTCTCTTCAGTTAACCTGAAGACCTGAGAGCTACACCTAATCTTAACGATTTTAAAAGCAAACTCAAGATGTATCTTTTTAGTTTTACTTTTAACAGCATTTTTTATCATTAACTTAATTCTGCTTGAGTGTTTTAGCATTAATCTCTTTCTAGTTTTAATGTCAGGATCGTCTTTTATTGAGACATTTTGGTGCTCTTATTTTGGGTATCTTTTTACTTTGTTATTATTTCATTTTTATTTCTTATTTTTTAAATTTCATTTTATATCACTTTGTCTCAAGATTTTAACCCAGCCTCCAGTTTCCCTATCTTGAATTTTAAGATGGTGTTTCCTCAGTGCGCATATTCCTGTTTTTGCTAGATGAAGCTCTTTTTAAGTTAATGCATTTTAAAACTTGTTGTGCTTGGATTGTGGGGTGGGGATGAGGGGAAAGGGATGGGATGGGGGGAAATCAGGTATTCTTTCTTTTTTTTCTCCATCTGTGTAAAGTACTTTGTGCTATATTGCCCTGTATGAAAAGTGCTATAAATAATAATAATAATAATAATAATAATAATAATAATAATAATAATAATAATAATAATAATAATAAAGTTGAGGTATAGTCATGCCTCCATCTTTTCCCCCTCAAATAATTGGGGCTGTAGCTGAAAGGTAGCTCATTCATAAAAGTCAATATGAGTCTGAAACTGCTGCTCTTTGCGGTTGCCAGTCTTACCTTGAGAACCAAATGGAGACATACAACTAATCGTATAGTTATCAAGAAATGACAGTTAGGGTGTGGAAGGCGTCAAGGCCATGCAAACTGTCAGTGAAGAAAAGGATTAACCTGCCTATGGTGTTACATCATTGTAAACACACCTTAAGCCTTTCATGGCATAATTGTGTGTTACCACATGCAGCTCCAGACAGCAGGTTCACTTTAGGAAAAGCTCAGTTAATATCCAGATATTAAACACGTCTCTATAACACATTAAAAAATACAGTTTGTTAACATTCATGAAATGGTGATGGGTGATGCATTTGCTCGCAACCTCTCCTGTGACTTGTACTGGTCATATTTATATTATATTCAGATGCTACAACTCAACCACATTCAATGATCCTTTTGATTTCCGTAATACTGCACTGTATATTGGTTCAAGTGTAAGGCTATAACTAACTATATATACTATCTGTACTATCGATATAAATTAGATTTATCATTCTTGGATTCTAACTGCTTTACCAAAACTATCATCATATCCTCATTTCCAGACAACCATACAAACATTTTGTAGAATCACAAGTTTTACATCAAAGTGTACGAAACTGTGTATCCGAGTTTTTTCTTTCTTTTTTTTTATTTTTTTTAGCTTCCATGATGTCCTTGAATGCACCACAGGTTTCCAGGGAGTGGCGCATGCACCTGTCCGACCTGTTTGGGGGACACATGACTCCCGAGGAATTTCCCCCCGCTGCTCCCGGTCTTTGTTCAACGGCGTCTTTTTTTTTTTCAGAGGGAGACAGAGGGTGAGAGGCAGAGGAGAGAGGGGGAGACAGAGAGAAGAGAGAGGGGGATATAGAGATGTCGGAACCAGCCGCCAATCCCGCTGCCACCTCGTTCCCAGCGCCAACTATTTCTCTACCTTTGGGACTGGAAGTCCTGAGAACTTATTCTGGAGCGCTCGTCTGTTTAGAAATAGTAAGTGTCGTTTATGTAAATAACAACGTTTAATGTTTCGTTTATCAGTTTTTCAGTTACCTCAAATAGGCTGGGGGAAAAAAACAACCTGCACAGTAAATGTAACTGCATTAATAATTAATGGTGTGTGTAGACTTTAAACTGTATTAACCATTGGCCTGCTGCTGCTGCTACTGCTGGTTCACAGTTGTTCACTCACTGTTCGTCCCTGAGATTGCCCGAGGCAGGGTTTATTGCATGCATTTGACAGAGCAAGGGCAAATGTGGCCTCAAGCGACATCTAAACACCTGTTGACTAAAAAGTGAGGACTGTAAAATGCCATTATGTATCCTGGACAATTTAACAAAAAGGTGTCAATGTTCATTCTATCGGTGCCTTTGCATGGTGCTTCTTAGTTCAGCTCTATTTGACTGCTTATCTCTGGGCTGTTTGCAGTTGAAGGCCTGTATAGATAGGCCTTCACATGAAAACAGCCCATTTCAATGCAGAGTTGACATTTACTGAGTCAAATGCTAATGCAGGCTAAAACTGTCCTTATATTCAGATGCCTATAAATGGTTTTACTTGTATTTACTTTCTTTTGGATATCACCCAAATAGTCGACAGGTGCAGTGCTTTTCCCATATGGCCTTACAATACCAAAATATTGCATCTATAGTAGGTGCCACATTTAAACATTTACTGAGTCAAATGCTAATGCAGGCTAAAACTGTCGTTATATTCAGATGCCTGTAAATGGTTTTACTTGTATTTACTTTCTTTTGGATATCACCCAAATAGTCGACAGGTGCAGTGCTTTTCCCATATGGCCTTACAATACCAAAATATTGCATCTATAGTAGGTGCCACATTTAAACATTTATAGAAATGCAGGAAAACCTTGCAGATTTAGCAACATCTTGACTGAAGCAGGTGGCAAAATTGAATATACCTCACATCACTCATACAAGACGGATTTTTTTTTGTGTCAAAGTGAGAATAAAGGTTAGTGTTTATGAGTCATTTAAGCTCATACGGCCTCAACTATTCCTTGAAAAATGTATTTTAGTATGTTTAAATTTGTAATTTCCAAATTCTAAAAACTGGAAAAACTGAGAACACAATGATGAGACTGTAAGTCATTTCCACCAGAATGTAAGCATGGAAAACTAGCTCTAGAAAAGCTAAGGACATGGTACCAAAACAAATCGACTACATGAAACTGATGCACTTTATTGTACGTTTGCAAAGCTGTAATGAAAAAGATTTGATCCTGAATATGTAAAATCTCAATCAGCGTGCACATGTGCATGATGACATGAAGCTTTTGTAAATATTCCAGATATTTGGTGGCCTGGTATGGATCCTGGTGGCCTCCTCCAATGTGCCTGTGCCCTTGCTGCAGGGCTGGGTGATGTTTGTCTCCGTCACTGCCTTCTTCCTCTCCACTGCATACCTCACACTCCTCGTCACTGGCCTGGCCAGCCGCATCAACACTGATTGGAATTTTTTGGTAAGCTGTAGATAAATGAGCTGATCATATCACTTATCTGTCAGTCTGTCTCTCTTGCTATCTCTCTGTCTGGGCAGCTACGTCTTAGCAGCTGTCAGGTGAAAACCACGCACAAGATCTATTTTTTCTAGGGCACCCTCTGCTCCAACAGTGGTGCAGTGGGATGTTTGATGGTGAAGTAACACATGGAAACACATTGCCTACGCTATAGAAGTGTCATCTCCACTGATTCATTTGTGCCAAAGCAGATTCATATTATACACATTTCTACATCAGTACATCATCATGGTGACTGGTCTTGGTTTTCTCTCTTGCTATTGCACAATATTTCTTTCAGCATCTGACAAGCAAATTATTTTTTTGACGGTTTGACTGCTGAGAGATTATGCAACATAAAAAAAATACTGCTGACTATTATATAAGTTTCAATGTGAGGAACAAAAAAGAAATCCATGACTAACTCACCACAACATAGCACTTCTCAAAGTGTGGAAACACATTCTCAGAAAAGATGCACATGTGGGGGATTTGTGTCATTATGTGACTCACAGTATTACAACAGCAAACAGATCTGTCATGCATCTTTTTTTCTTATATTGAAATTACAAACATTTTCAATTCTATCAAAAATATCATCAATTTTTCTGTATGAAACAACCTTTTATTGCAGTAACTGGAGTTGTGCCAATAATTATGCACTGATTCACTATCGTTAAGGGTGGCCATGTGTCATGTTACTCATTCAAAGAGGAGCAGTTACAGCCCCCATCATGACCAGTTTCAGTCATCTGAAAAGTCTATCACCATGTACTGATTGATTTGGTACCAATGTAGGCCACAGGTATAAGATCTATATTCCACTAGTTGAACTTTTCTGTAAAGTACTCTTAAACTTGTGTAATCAAGTGGCTCCAAAATATCCACATCAAGCTGTAAGATCTGGAGAAGGAGACAGAGAATCAGAAGCAAGGACACATTACAGCAAAAAAGCAACAGCCAACAAAGTCCTTACAGGTCTTCCCAAACTGCGATACTATTTATAATTGGCCACATCCAAATTTGAGGCAGAAACCTCAATGATATTGTACGAAGTAAACCAGAGCTGCAGTTATTAGATAACATCATCGACAGAAGATGAACAGTGACATCTTTCCCTCGTTTTAAAACCCAAGTGAAAATACTTGACATTTGAACTAAAACATGTCAGACATTTAACGATCTGAGTATCCAGATGTTGCTGTTGTTCTTCAAGTTATGTCAGAATAAAATAATTCTCTGTGTTTGTTGGTCAAAACAAGATATTGAATGTCAAAACAATGGACTTGTAAAAGTTATGATGGCAGTTGCCTGCTATCTCTAGGCCAGCTGGTAAATCAATTAAATGAACAAACAAGCTGTAAAGAAACCAGTCGTGAGAGTTGTTATTAGCTACAGCCTTTATGCAAAATAGCTCAGCCTGTTCCAACTGCGCAGTGCAGTATTTGGATAAAAGAAGTGTGGCTGAAGATGCTACATGTTAGCACACTGCTTCAGGTAACTAATGATAATATAAAGAAGTGTGAGCATGTCCCACCTTCTTGTTTTGTCCTTTTTTGTGACTCTGTGTCAAGTGTGGGCTCTCCTTGCCTCGGGCTCAGGGCTTTGCTCCCAGGAGTAGTCGGGCGTGAGGGGTTGTTTGTTTTCAGCCGAACAATGAGAGACATGGATGATGAGCTCACACCAAAAAGCAACAAAGGCCTGCCTGTATTCCTGGCAGGGTTGCACAGTTGACCACACAAACTCTCATTAACCTTCTTTACTTTCTGAGGCGCCTTCTCTTCCCCACTGCTTCTTACATCCCTGTCTTTGTCTCTTTGATTTCTTTGTATGAAGCTTTCAAATACAAAAAATTTTACCCTCTTATTTCTATCTTGTTTTTTTTTAAGTTCTAACCATGTGGTTCTTTGTATTTGTTGTAAACTTTTGATTCCTTGACAAGCTGGTTTGTTTCATAAATTACAGAGTGCAGGTATCTGCAGTGACCAGTACACTTTGTTTAGTGACATGTAAACAAAAAGTCATCCTGCAAGTTTACAGAAAAAAGAAAAAACACAACCTCATGATGCAAATGTCTGCTTTGTCTACACTTGCGGCCATCAATTCTTGTTTGATCGTGTTGTTTTTTAATGCCTTTCTTTATTTTCCCAGGACGTGTTTTACCATTTTTTGGCTGTGCTTTTCTACTTTGCTGCCTTTGTACTGGAGGCAGCAACTACAGCCGCTAATGGAGGAGCCCACATCAACCCACTGCCCAACAGCACTGAAACTGTCTTGTGCATTACCTACCCACGGGGCAACATATTCACAGTCCTCACTGGCCATCAATACAGTATTAATGTGGCAGCCACGGTGAGTGCTGTGTACGATTACACCATGGCATTTAAATCCATATTAGCATGGCACACCCACCGTGATAATGGAAATTCTTTTTGCATTTTGCATGCACCAATTAATTGCATGTAGCATATGCTCATAACTGAACCAAAAAATGTTGACAGGCTTATAGTAGACTGTCCTCTGTTAGACAAAAGCCTTAGGTCATTAAACAGTATCTAGTGTTCAGCTTCACAAGCAGATTTTTTCTCGAATGTGGAACTTGAAAAAATAAATAAAAAAATTTTTTTTCTGTGCTTAGATTTTGTATTCAGTACTGAGTGCATTTAGCAAAAGTTAACCATTTGTGAATGAACTCTGTAGCCTTCTTTAAATGAGTTGAGTTAGCTGTTATGACGCACATTTAAATCAGCATTTCCTCTGATGGAGAAGTAAAGCAATGTGAACAGGACCTCATGAATTGGCACCACACTTAACTGGGATCTTGTGCAATGTGAAAATCTAGCCGTTGGCACTTTCTTTACCATTTATCTCTCCTTCAATAGCAGCAGGCAGTGTTTCCTGAAGTGTTTAAATTTTTCTGTTCAAGCCCACAGTTAATGTTTAACTTTTCCTGCCTTTTCTCAGCTGTTTTTTCTCAGCTTTTTTTATATGAAACATCAAATTTACTAGACTTCTTTTATGCACCAATATAAAAACAATACTTGGCCGTAGCAAAGGTCTACTATCTAGCAGTTGTAGACTGTTGCTCAGAAATATTGCTTTTGAATAACCAATCAGGATCAAATACTCATTACAGATGGGATAATGAGATATGTAATAGATAAATAATCATGTCACTTAAAAAAATACATTTGATTGGTTTGTTTTGATTTTTCTGACTGTCTTTCTCTCCTTTTCCCCTCTGTCCCAGATTTTCGCCTTTGTGGTGACACTGTGTTATGCCTGCAGTTTAGCGATGGGCTTCAAAAGATGGAGGGTGTAACCAAGAAAACAAGTTTCAGTAACTGCTTCATAACATACATGAAGACACACCATCTGAAGAACCATGAAGAGCCCTGCTCTTGAGATTAGTTCGGGGAAAAAAAAAGAGAAGACAACATTTCAGGTCCAATCCAGGCTTTTGAAGGTATTTTGATAACAGGGGAAAATAATTGAACTTCATCTGGGTGACACAAGCTCCATATAAATTTTACTAGTTTACTCGTGATTTCACTGTTTTAAAGCCTTCCTTGACCTCAAGACAAAATCTGCTTTAAAGGTGGGGAAAATTGCATAGAAACCTGCACATGTTGTGACACTAAAAGCTATAAGGGCTATGTAAGCACTAACAAGGTTTCATTTTGGCACTCGCTTTGCCAGTTACAGAATTATTGTGTGACTTCCAAGGAACTTACTCGCTGGCGGGAATATAATTTCCCTTTTTTAAAACCACAAAAAAGTGCCTACGCCTGCTGCTTGTGTGTTATGCTAAACGAAACATGTTGATGGTGCAGTGTTTTTTGTCCTTGAGTAACCTTGATGCCAAGGAGCTGTAAATTCACTCTGGATGTAAAATAAGTTTTGTAACATTTTAATGTTGACATAATTTAAAAAAAAAATGGACAGGGTATTTGAATTTTAGGGCTATTATTTGCAGCACTTTTGCCAAGCAATATCCTGCAACCCCCACAGAAATGTTTTATTTCTGTCTGTATTCTAATATCGTTACTATTATACTTTTTCAGTCCCCTTACAAATACATGAGGATGTATAAACTTTGAGTGCAGTCCTGTGTGGCTCACTTTTGTGGATAATGTTTGAATTGAATGAAAACTGACCAATGTTTGACTATGAAGGCTGTCATTCTGAGACTGACAAAGTACTTGTTCAGTTCAACTCATGAATACAAATATTGCTGTAGTGAGTTTCTTTGTTTCAAAAGATTATTTTTATTTAGTGGTTGATCTTTAATGTATTTATAATAGGATGTATTTTAGTTTTAACCCATATTATGTTGGTGTATGATAAAATTGTCTAAATCATTAAAATCTCACAAAGGATGTTTTGGTAATATTTACTGAATTCTTTTGATGCATCAGGCCAATAAAACTATTAATTAACAATAGTATTTAGAAAGCATTATGTTTTTGACAAGAAATTAATGTGTTGTACAACTACAAAAATAAAAGACCACAAAAGGAGAAAAGAATATGGCTCCTGTTTGCATTATTTAAGGAATATGTACATAGTATTGCAACCAGTTATGCTCTTATTTTACCACTTGATGTCGCCAAAATCACATAAATTCAAGCATGCGCTATGTTGCTATGTGACTGCACTTACCGCAAGTATAAAGGACACTGGCTAAAAACAGGGTCTAAAGCAGAAGCACCTCTCCCCAATAAAGTTCAGTTCTCCTTTATCACAGCCAAACAACTTTAAATGCTTTACCAAGTGACTACATATTCTCTCAATAGCACATTCTGCATCACAAGCTTTGTGTATTTCAGTGTTTCTTCACTACTGGTGAAGTGGACCACGGTATGTTACTGAAGATATTCATCATCTTTAATGCGTATTAACATAATCTCTATTCACCGAAACATTTGTGCAAAATTTAATCTCAGATACAAACTTTGAAAATCAAGAAAGGTTTTTTACAGAGTTTTGTGACTTTCTTTGCCATAATATATTAATAGACCTATGCAGTATCTTGCAATGCTCCGGTTTGCATATGTATTTGTCTGCTTTAGGTTCTGATTCATTCTTAAGGTACAATGAATAAAAAAAAGGGTTTAGGCTTAAGTTTCTTTCAGAAACTTGTCAATTTTGAATATTAATACCGCAGAACAAACAGAACTAATTATAAACGTGTTTTGTGTGAAAACTTAACACGTGTTTTAATTTGATTTGCACAAAATACCTGAACTTAGCCTGTAAATATTATTTACCATACCTTTGGAACTCATTACAAGGGTTTGATATCTTGTATTTTTGCCACTAGATGTCACCAGTTACCTACAACAGCTCACCTTTTTCCCTCAAAGCTATAGTTTGTACATACCACAAATTCAACTTCTATAGAAAATATAGGCTTAATTGTGGCTGTGCATGCATGATGGTTTTGCCAGCAGAATGCACCATCTCTCAAAGCCTGGTGGGTGGGATGACATACTCTGTTTTATGCTTACCACGCTAATCTTTTACTTATATCATCCATGTTTTTGGTTTAAGCGCGGTTTTGTAAGATACTAGTGAGTCAAATAAAAACATCAGGTGACTACCTCGATCACTACCTCTGCCTGCCCGCTAAAAAGTTAAGTTCTACGAACAGAACCGGAACATTCCTGTCTCTCCTTTCATAATAAATGATATTATACGTGTTTTTATGACAGTAACGATAAGGCACAAGTATTCATAGTAATAACATCCTAGCTCGTTAGTGTGAAATTAAATTTCTGTGCACTAAAACATGTTGAGCGTCCTCCTGGGCTGACTTTAACTTCGATTAAAACATATTTTATTTTGGTGAGAATGAGCTAACCGGAAACACTTGTTGTCTCTGTCGACGGGGGTTTTACCTGTTTGTAATGTTGGGTTTTCTTTCACTCAGTGTTGAGAAAGCAGCGAGAGCAACTGTGGGTGCCAGTAGGCTTTTTACCTTTCGAGAGACGGAATAACATTTTCGACCGAAAGTCGTGGATTATCTGTAGTTTCTGCCAGCGAAATGCTCCAGACTGTTTTCACGGTGCAGCCATGGGTTTGAGCGGGGCGGCGTGGAGGAGAGACTGGGATTTAAATGTGTCTTTCGTCCTGACTACAGCTTCTATTGATTTTAAGTAAGCGGTGCAGGAGCAGGAGCAGGACCCAGCTGTGGCTGAGACTAAGTAGTGAGTTCACCGCTGCTAGTCAGAACTAAAGAAACTAGTATTTTTTCATTTTTATTATCATTCTCTGGAGTTTGGGGCTTTCTTTCTTTGAGAGCGGAGGTGGTCGACTGAAAGCAGCGGCTCACGGAGTCGGGACTGACCACCGGAGTTGGTCCTGAAAATGGAGGCTGTTATCGAGAAGGAATGCAGCGCGCTTGGAGGACTCTTCCAAACTGTTATCGGAGACATGAAAGTAAGCCAAACTAACTCTGCAACTCAATTTTAGACACATAGAGTCTCCAAGGACACTTGGTTTGCCAAGAATTGACTCCCAAAACATTGGTTTATTTCTTTAATGATAAGTTAATGAGGTTTTAACCTCTGTTACAGGATTTGATTTCAGGTTTAACGTCCTGCCAATTTGTAATTCTACTATGACTGATGTAGCAAAATAGTTAATTGTTGATAAAATGAGGAGTACAAAATGCAGGACACATTTTATTAATGCCACGAATTAAAACATATTAACTAAGCTATTATTTTTACTGGTTTCAATGATAGGATATTTGTATCAAAGGAGTCATTACAGCAATATTTCAATTAAAGTATTTTTTCCCAATCCTAGAAGATCAGTACAAGTTAGGTGAGTGTTTTTATAATATTGAAGGACAGCCTCATTACTGTATATGACTATAATTTTATCCAGTCTGTCTATTCTCTACAGTCAAAAATATAATTCTGCTGTCTGTACTATTCATTATTGTAAGTTTAAAGTGATGCAGTCGTATCAAGGCTAAATAGAACAAACCATGAGTCTGAAAACCAGGGCATGTTATTTTGAAGAGGGTTATTTTACATCTTGCCTGATGAGACAATTAGGAGATTTCCCAGCTGTTGTACTTGCCTGGAGGAATGTTGGGAATGTATCTGTCAGGGTAGAAAATGACCTGCAGTGTCTGAAGGCTCTGACATGTGTAGGTCAAATGGCCAGCCATAAGGTGGACTGGAGTCAGAAAGTTTGTTATGAATACTGCTCAGACATTCAGCACTTCTCTGAGCCCCATGTCCCACTTGACTGCCTAGTTTATGGATTCCATGTGTCTGTGGATTTGGTTTGTTTAAACCCTGAGAAATTCAATTTATTTTCGTTAAACTGCTGCATACAGATGGGGCTGTGTGTCTGACAAATGAAGTTAACTGTGGGATTTTGTGCTTTCTACAAGAGGAGTAAGATCTGACACGACAAATGCAGAGAGAATTGCCATTTGTATTGTATTTGATATCGAAGTTGCTGTGGGCAGAGCTGCTGCTGCTGCTGGTGGTCTCTTCAATCAGTTTTTGTGGGACCTGTAAAGAAAGGATCATGATCCAAAGGACCCAGAGTGATGTAAAAGATTGAAGGATACGAACACAAGGTTAGGTAAAAAGAGAAGTCCTTGAGGTAAAGACAGCTGACTTGGTTGTTGGGTGTAAAGTTTGACAGCATAACACAACATTCCCCATGCCCCTGACAGTAGTAGCACACCAGTGACAAACACATACTCATACTACATCATTGAACAGTGGACACACTTAAAGATATGGCAGACCTGGTCTACAAAACAAGTTTGATTTTGCAAAGTTTTGTTATGCTTTTATATATAAGTTGTGGTTCAGATGTCTTCTTGGTGAACCCATACATCATTTTTTGTGGCAAACATTAAAATTACATCTGCACCTTTTATGCCTTTAACCCTGTGTTCATTTTTACCATGCTTTCTTTGTAATACCTCCTCTCTTAAATGCACTAGGCCACTTGTTCTCTGTTACAGTTGCGATAAAAGCCTCTTCAACTATTTTCAGCCCAGGACCTGAATTAGGTAAATTTAGAGTCCCATCAGGAGCCAGGCTCATTATAACATAGTATTAGAGCTCTAGAGACCTGTAACCTATTTTTCAACTGAACACAAGCAGGGCATGACAGTGTATCTGCTCCATTACCAGGTACCAAAAATCTTGAACAAAGTCAGAGAATCAAAGCACACTGGCTTAAAGTTTTATAGGATATCATTGCGCAGATGTTTTTCAAAGCTTATGGGAAAACATGCCTCATGTTGTGTCATAACTGTGACAGTCAGTGCTTGCGTTAGTTGTGTTTAGCCCTGCAGGTGAGGTGAGGCACCAGGGTGGCCTCATGTTGTCTGTTTGGTTATGGTGGGAATTAGAAAATTTGCTCTGATGATTATGTAACTTGTGTTTGTTTGCATCTTTTCCCACAGAGCAGCTACCCTATCTGGGAGGACTTTATCACCAAGGCCGGCAAACTGCAGTCGCAACTAAGGTGAGAACTTTTATTAGTGTTAATTAATGTTGTGTACTTCCTGTGAAACTTGTTTTAAAGGTATACATGTAAAATGTAAACTCAAAATACTCATTTACTCCAATGATAATGTAACTTTTTTCTGGCTTATTAAATTAAATGTTGGTGTCCATTCTCTCTTCCTCATGACCTTAAACTGGCAAGTCATGCCGTTCAACGTAAACCTAATCTCCCAACAGTGCTGCACAAGGTGTGTTACATGTCCCTGTCCCTCATTTTGACTTCTTTAAGCTTGATTGATTTACATCTCTAATGCTGTAAATGTACACACCTCCTGCCCAAATTATTCCAAGTCTTCTGCTAACAATAAATGCCAATCCCAGCCACCTCTACTAGTTGGTTTTAAGTGGCCACGTGTCAGAAGACAAACAACCTCTGACAGCTGAAATAAAAGCTCATTGTACAGCAAGCACTGTCAATATGGAAGTCCTGTAGTCGACATTTTTCTTCAATTAACATCGCATTGCAGTTCCTCGGCCATGTAAGTGTCCACGTGTCTTGGGACAGACTCGTACTGACAGTTGTATAAAGGCTCAGGGACTTAACAATACTTTCCAGGGGCCACTCAGTGTCCAATTCCTCCTTTTTCTGAGTATTAAGACTGATTAATGGTGATATGTTATTCAAGTGTCTGCATCATTCAGGGGTTAAATATGTGACCCTGTCATGCTAACACTCAGGGGAGTATTGGTGGCTGTGTTGCTAATGACTGCTGGCTTGGCAGTGGGACGTGTGTGTACGTGTGTGCGTGTGTGTGTGGAGACTGTGGCAATGATTAACAAATCTTCCAGTTATTGTGGTGCTGAACAGAACAGGTGAGGTAAAACCCTGAGTGTGTTTGTCAATAGGAGGTTAGTCACAGCTTGATGGCGGAGATCTGTGTCCCATTTCCCACTCCTGATACTGAGTAATGGATTATTCCATTCCAATGGAAAAACACCTGAATCATTATTATTACTATTATTATTATAAGTATGTTGTAGGGCTGGGCGATATTGCCTCAAATCAATATCACGATATATTGAGCAGTTCACCTCAATAACGATAAATGGACGATAACTACTCCACAAGCTGCTCATTCCCTCCCACATTGACTTTGTTGATTTCAGCTGCCGCTCCAGCCGCTACAACTTTTGAACCATCCTCCATCTCCTCACCTGTCTTTCCCTCTTTGTTACGGACTGGATGGGATGGGGTCACTTCCAACGTAGGACAGCGTCTTAAAGGGACATGAGACCATGAGACCATAGCCTACCTCAGTGGTTCTCAAGTCCAGTCCTCGAGCCCCCACTTTCCTGCATGTTTTGGATGTTTCCCTGCTCCAACACACCTGATTCAAATGATCAGCTCGTTATCAAGCTCTGTAATGGCTTAATAACGAGCTAATCATTTGAATCAGGTGTGTTGGAGCAGGGAAACATCCAAAACATGCAGGACAGTGGGCCTCGAGGACAGGACTTGAGAACCACTGGCCTACCTACTAATGCTGGACGATAATTCGATAACAATATATATCGATCGATAGACGTGTGGAGCGATAGAAAAAAAACGGGTCGATAAAAAGTTCGATAGAAAAACACAGTTTCCCTTTCTTTTTCATCATAGCCTATCATGTAGCTTTTACTACAGTCATTACTTCCTCCCAACCAATCACAAACGCAGACCCAGGTACGCTACGGCACCAAGCCCAGCCCCTATCAAACCACAACAGACAGCACGTGTATTAGAAATAATGTAACAGCAAGGAGAAGCGGAGGAAATTGTCCCGAAAAAAGGTTTCAGTAGTTCACCAACATGGCAATGTTTTGTTTTTTAGAAGTCTGACAAAAAGCAAACAGCGGTCGTTTGCAAAATTTGCAGAGAATTAGTAAAAACCAAGTCTGGTAACACAACCAACTTGTTTTACCATCTAAACCGGTCGCACCCGCAGGAGTACGAGCTGTGTCGGCCGCGCCGCGGCTCCACGTCGTCGTCGGAGGAATCCTCTGGAACCGCTGTTAGCACCAGCACAAAGCAAGTGAAGCAGACCAAACTGGACTTCGTTTCTTGCCAAAATACGACAAAGCGTCCAAGCGGCATAAGGACATCACCCATGCAGTAACATGCTCCATAGCGAGGGACATACTGCCAATAACTACCGTTGAAAAGCCTGGCTTCGACCAGCTTCTAGCCACTCTCGACCCGCGATATGAAGTGCCCGGCCGCAAGTATTTCTCAAACACAGCGCTTCAGGCATGAAAATGGGTCAGGGGTTGAAAAGGTGAGAAGGGTGCGGAGGAAATACGCTCCGGTGTAGCTTCTTAAAGTGGAAGAAAATGAGCTCATATTTTACAAAGACGCGAGTATTTGGATCATGGCTACTAGCAGGGGGGGCATTCGGCAGGGGTGCATTCTACGACACAACACCGGCGTGGATAAGTCCTGCTTCTCGTGCTTAGTTTGTTTATTAAGTCAATCACATGATATTTAAAAAAAATAAATCTCCCGACCCCAGGAGAAATATTTCAGTGTTCAGACACCAGGCTGTGGGCAGTTTCCCACACAGTTAAAACTGGTAGTATGCTATTCCCACCTAAAGCTATTCTGTTTATTTATATATTTGTTTGTTTTGTTTATTTTCATCAAAAGACTATTTAAATATTTATTTATCAGATTTTCTGGTCACTTTAGTCTTTATGTTTGTCAGTATTTACTGACGTCACTCAGGCCACTTTTTTTTAAGTTCTTTTTTAAAAAAACTTTCAGTTGTGGTAAAAAAAAAAAGGTGGTTGAATAAAGGTTTGAATTTGAATTCAGTGCTTGTGTGTTCTTTATTAAAAGTAGGTCATTAAGCAATAGCATAAAACATCCAGGGCTGCAATTAAAATATATGTTAAATAATTATAATAATTATATCGATAATTATCGATATCGATCAATATGATTTATTTTTTATCGATATGCTTTTTTTCTATATCGTCCAGGCCTACTACCTACACACATCCAAAACCAACTTTTATGTTTTTTTTCTTTTTTTCTATTAATTTGATACTGAATGTACCAACATGGGTGAAATAACGTCAGTTAGTGTTGTAAATTTCAGTATCTGTAAATTTTCGGTTTATCGCCCAGCCCTCGTATGTTGTTATATTTAATAATCTCTTATCATTGCTGTGTGACCTTGCTCTAAAAAGTTAATAAAAGTAAATAATTTTATCCTTGAAACAGACTAGGCTAACATTAGCAGCAGCCTTGCGTTATTGTGTTGAAAATATGCAGAAGTGCTAAAAACTGCAGTTCCTGGTTTGTCCCCTTGAGGCTGGCTCCAAAAGCCAAGAAGACCCCATGAACACTCATTTGAATGCCGATTTTGACAAAAAGAAAGAAACATGTTTGAGGCTTGGTTTCAAAATAAAGCTTTGGTCTTGAAGGGACTTTGCCTCCACTCTGACACAGGTATGAATTATTTCGTGACTCATTTGTTTTGATGATATTAAGGCTACAGTGCACGTGGTGCATGATGAGGCATCATTAGAAGTATGACTGACAGGCAAGCTCATTGTCACTGTTCGTCAGGAGAGGAAAGCCCCACCCCATCTCCACCTCTGTCGCTGACCAATTCAAAGTATCTCCAAAACCAGAAAAGAAAAACTACAATAACCTTGAGCTGTCAGTTTAGAAAAGATCAGTTTGCTCTGCACAGGATGAGTTGGGTGTCATTCATTGACAGACTATTAAAAGACTATGTTTCAGTTTTTATGAGTATCTGCTGCCTGACGAAGCCTGGCCTACGCCCTTCTCCAGGCTGCAGTGGTTGTGGCCTTTTGCCGCTGCAGCACTAATAAGTGTGCTATCTGGGTTTGCGAAAATTGACCTACAAAGGAGGCTTTTTCTGTCGACTTTAAAGCTCGTCTCCAGCCGCTACAAATTTGGCAAAAGTAGCCCCTTCGTCTGCAGCATAACCCCCCCACCCCAAGGACCTCTATAATCTGTTTGGGGACTGGGCGAGATAGAAGGGCACACACACACACATAAACTCACAGTAAAACACAAACACACCCACCTTCCCTCCCCAGCCTGGATAAGTGACTATCCAGCAGTGGCAGCAGGCATATGTCTGTGTGTGTAATGACGTCCTGAGGCATGCTACTCTGTAATTTAGACCCTCTGTTCCTCTCTCACAAAGCAACGAGGAAATCAACCAATTACAGTGTTGGGGTTGTTCTGTCATTTTTGGACCAAATATGGTGTGTTTTTTTCCTACCCTTTCTGGTTTTAAGCAGCTATCTCTCACACACACATACACACACATTTGTGCACACTTACAGAACAGAGCTTTGAAGAAGGAGGGCAGGGCAGAATATAGGCTAGCTGATTTCTAATCAAGGACCTCTTTTAACTTGTCCGTGTTTGGTTGGGCATGGTCGATGCAGCTGTGTCAAGGCAAGGCTCACAACTCAGGCCTCCCTCCTTTTGGTCTATAGAGACCACCTCAAATCTCCAGATTCAGCTTATGAACTTAGTGGTTATAAAACTCATTTGGGCTCAAGGAGGAGCTTTAAATTATTAAGACAGTGGTTGGAAAAGTAGATTCATCATGACACAGATAAATGCAATACACATTTATGCAAAGAGAGCTTTACAAAACATCTGGAATCACTCTGAGAGGACTCTATCTGTTACACAGTATGCTGTGTCTGAAACAAGTGGAGTTAAACACAACCTCTTTCTATGATTTAGATTTACTACAGTCACATTCCAGTTTGTTTTGCACTAAGAATAGATGAGGGCAGCGGTGCTGAATGTATCATTGTCAGAAAAAGCACACCACTGTACTACGCCCGGGTCTGTGGGGAGTTCAGATTGGCTTGGTCAAGGCCTTGCAGAATAGATATGTTAAAGTCGTTTGTCTTGACTCCAGGACAGAGGTGCTTGCAGATTTAAAGGCCATTGGTAGCAGTGGGGTAATCACTGGAGAACAGTGCAAAACTGAGGGCTTGTAGTAGAGGTTTAAGATCTAAAATCTGATTATCTACTTTAGCCACTTTGTTTTCATTTATTTGTGAATAATTTGCCTAATACTGCTGCCTTTTTCGAGTGTAATTTAACTGTCATACTTTGATTGGTATTAGTGTTAATCTCCAAAGGGTTGAGCTGGTAAGACTTGAGAGTGTTGTGAAAGGAGAAACAAGTTTAACGTTTCTCTGGTGAACAAAAACAGCACAGATTACAGCAGGTGAAAAGCTGTAAACTGCTGCACATTGTACCTCAGTCTTCTGGAGCCTCTGGTACTAAAACAAGGCTCAGTTAAACCCTCTTCCCACACAAACCAGTTCTTCATTAATGACTTAAACCTGACTGAACACGACTTGGCTGCATGTAGAATCCGATCTGTAAGAGCTATAGGCTTAAGCGTTCGCGGTATAAATTAGCGGGTGCAGATATGAGTTGGAGGTTGCTCTGGTGCTGCACGGGGCTTTAAATAGAAAGGAATCTGTGTGTGCCTGCACGTATGTTTCTTTTTCCATTTGCAGGACACACCCATGGATCTTCGGGTGAGCTCTGTATCAACACAGTTCCAAAAGATTTCAGAGTGATAAAGGACATGACTGCTGATCATTGACTGATGCTCTCTCTTGAATAAAGGTGAAGATCAGGGACTGTGACTGAGTTTAGATCTTGTGTTTATCAGTTCAGCAGCTGTTTTCTGGATTACCTCGTCTCAAGCTTGTTTTAGTCCCCCTAAGACATGTAAACTATAACTTTTTTTTAACTCCTAACAACTGTAACAGTCTTTAGACAGCTGAAAGAGGAGCTTTTAAAGTGATGAGCAACACAGCATTGGGAACATACTTGCAGCTTGATGAGCTTTCTGTCCATGTAGAGTTTTTCCTCCATTAAAGTCATGTCTTAAGCTGATGCTCTGTTACTGGTGTCACTAGTTCTTGGTTTAAACCAAAGGGTGTATATCATGAAGAGAGGCTTTAAATGCAAGTTTTTGTGTGAATTTGTTTCCCTTGTTGGTATTTCTGCAATGACCTAGAATCCTCTCTAACAGTGTTTCACAGTATCGGGATACAAAGAGTAAAAACATACGTGAGCAACCACCACGCTGAACTAATCCATTGTTTTGCCCAGTTATGAAAGTCACCTGTCTGGACTGTTTATGGAAACTCCCAAATGTGTTATGGTGGTTCCCTGTTGGCCAGTGGAAGATAAAGAGTGACTGTGAATTAAGGAGCTCCTCAGTAGAACAAATATGCTTCTGTGGCTGAACATGTGGTGGAAAATTACCCAGATTGGGTGCCTTTTTTTTTTTTAGCATGCATGTCTGATAGGCAGTCCTGTCTTTGTTGAGGAAATCAGATATCTCCAACATGCGTGAGCACCCCAGGAGTCTTTAATCTCTGTACCTGTGATCTTAATCATGAGAGGGCCGTTGTTACACGAAGAGATAAGTCAGTTTGTAAGTTAACCTGTCAGCTGGCTGGCTAGTGAAGTCGCCAGCTGCAAGAACAGTAACCCTGCTTTTTTTTTTTTTTTTTTATTCAGACTGTGTATAAACAAACATGATACAGCAGTTTTGAGATGACTTTGCAAACCACACAAGATTACCAAGCAGCAGGTTTGAGTTGTGAACATATCACAATCTCCTTTTCCATTTTGGAGCTGAACAAAGTAGATCCTACGCTGATCCTCTTGTAGACCTGTAAGTGTGACAAACGCAGCCCCAGAGCTGCTCTGCTGAGCCGGACAGATTCCAACAGTCTCTAAGTAATCACATAGACATTCCTCACTCAGCAGGGCACGTTTCAGTTTACACACACACACACACACACTCACCTACAGCCCTTAAACTGCATCATACAGACTTCAGATTCTCAGGGCTGATTTGAGTTTCTTTCTTTGAAACGTAGCACACCTGCATGCACAAATGAACATGCAAAGTATCTTTTATCTTCACCTTTCCCAACCAAAAAGAGTTGTTTTCTCCAATGGATTGTTTGTCCACGTGTGTGTTAAGTTGATTTGCCGCCTGAGTTGTGTAACTTTTGACTGATTTTCAGCTTTCTTTTCTCCCAGGGCGACTGTAGTTGCTGTGGCCGCATTCTTGGATGCCTTTCAGAAAGTTGCCGACCTAGCCACCAACTCACGAGGTATGCAAACAAAATTAGAGGCTTTAGTGTTTCAACAGCTGTCTTTTACACCTAATCTGTTCTTCATCGCTGAATGGAGTCACAATGTGTTACTTTGTTCAGTCTTGATGTACACCTAATTTAGCACAGAGCTGACAGGGTTAAATCAGTTACCTCACTGTTTAACTGTCTGCGTCTGGGCACCTCTGTGTTAGTGCGTTTGTCTGTGAAGCCCCACTGTGCAGGTCTACTTTTTTACCCACCAGTGCTGAGGTTTGTGGGTTTGTTTGCTTTATCGTATAGGTAGTAAATCCCTCACTATGTTGTTTGAAGCTCTGCTGCTGGCTTTGTCTTCCACTTCCACCCCCCCTCCTTTCCTTTGCTTTCTAACCCCCCACCCCCACCTTCACATTTATACTTCACCTCAGCTACATCTGGACACTCTGGAGTCCACTTTAATGCTCTGTGAGTAGGAGAGAGAAAAAGAGACCGAGTGAGAGATCTCACCCCTCCCTCGCCTTGACACCTTCAGTCCTGCTCCTTACTATTAATAGGAGCAGAGACAGACATGCACATTCATCACCTCACTCACTGCAGAGAAAAGGCAGGGGGGGATAGAGCTGGAAGAAAAAAGAGAGAGAAAGGGGGAGGTAAAGGGAGTCATCATACTCTCTCCGTCTCTGTCGAACTCACACAGAGTAAATGTTTGCCGTAGAGTTAGGTTCAGTCAGCTGAAGAGCATTGCGTCACCTCTCATCTGCTCTTTCATCACTTTCTCTCCCCATTCCCTCAACGTATTGTGTTGTAGGTTAGCGGTGTCACATGACATTTTTATGTTCTGTAGTTCAAGTTTCACTGCACACCTGGGCTCTTCAGCATGGAAGAAAGCATGGATAATGAGTTATACATCTCTGTTAGATAACCACTCCATGTAGAAGTCAGTTAGGGTTTTATTGACACAAGCCTAGATTATGTACTTTTTAGGCTATTTTCCATTAACAGACTGGTTGTATGTGTTCTGACTCCTAAAGGTCAATGTAAAACTTTTTTACATCAGTGAAGCCGAGCTTTAGGACGCCACACAGGTGTAAATCTTAAATTTTGTTTACCATGATAGTAGGGGTGGGAATCACTGTAGCCCCACGATATGATATTATCATGATACTTGGGCCACGATATGATATTATCACGATACTTGGGCCACGATATGATATTATCACGATACTTAGGCCACAATATGATATGATCACGATACTTGGGCCACAATATTATTGCGATTTTTAATATTTTGCAATACAGTGAGTATTACGACACAATATATTGCTATTTATATAATTTTTTCAACTGTTTAGCTAATTTGTCTTTCCTTTATGTTTGTCTTATTTACGCTGTATTTTAGTTTCATATAGCACATCTTGCAAACCTTATATATTTGTTATAACAACTTTCTTCTGCTCGATGATGCCACCTCTGCCAACCTCACTGGACAAACAGTTGATTTTATTTTTCCTTTATCATAGATTTGACTTCATATTAACAATTAATTTGAAAAAAACGATACTTGGTAAATGAGACAATATGATATATCATCAGATAAAATACTGCGATATTGTGCTGTATTGATTTTTTTTCTCCCACCCCTAATGCTTAGTTTGTACAGGCTTACCAGTGCACAGACAGTGGAGAATCTGGATTTTAATATGAAATCTTCTTTTAGCTAGTTTAATAATCATTATAGTGTCATAAATACATAGAAAATATCAGGTCTTTATTATTCTTCTTTTAAATCTAATATCATGTCTCACTCTCAGATACAGGAGAACACATGGATACACATGTATAAGTACATGCTACTTTCCCATCCATTGGTTTCCTCATTACTTCCCCAATCTGAAAAATGTGTTAAAGAGAAGAAGAAATCTCAGTCTAAGTGTAGATGCTCTTTTATTTGTTTGCCTGTTTTTTCAAAGTTTTGATGGATGAGCCTTCTCACGACCCTCTGAAGCTGCTGCAGAGTACATTAAACAGTTGCCAGGAGGCAGGAGATCGAGTCTGAGGAAAAAGTTTTCCTCATTACTCCTAAAGTTAACTCATTTTGAAGCCGTGAGCAAGATTGTTTTTGTGGCTATCAAAGGTTTTTCTTGTCCTAGAGGCATGATCTTTGGATTCTAATTTACCCAGGAATCATTTGTCACCAAACAAACCACTTTGTTGTCTCAAACTACATCAAATATTGCTACGTACAAGTAATGGCTCTTCAAAATCGCCCGTGGCGGCGATCTCTCTACTCAAGGAAGATATCAGTTTACTGTATTGTTCACCATCAGAGCTATAGAGCAAAGCTTGTCTTGAATCCAACCTGTCTGTTTCTCAGCGTGAGTCTCCTCTCTGTGACTTTGATGTTGAACATCATCTGCATAGTTTAGTGACTAGATCAGATCGAGTGCAGACTGACTGACAGGACGGTTTCTGTTTGCACTTCAGATTTGGCTTGAGGCTTCAGGGGACCCAAAAAAACAATGACTTCTATTAGTTTGTTGTTCTCCTCTGCTTTTCTAAGTCTTGACCAGCTTCTTACAGCCGTCAGTATGCTAGTGGGTACTATCTTATTCTATTCACCAACCACATTACAGATAAGCTAGCTGTGAGGGTTTTTCAGCAGTCTTTGTAATAGTAATAAAAAATACTGTGCTGGGTCCAAAGGTTTGTCAGTCTTGTAAACAGGAGAACAAAGCTTTTGGTTGCCTTTGTAAATAGATTTTGTCATGTCTATCCTTCAGATACTGGCTGTGATAGTTGCTCATAAAGTTAATGGGTTGATCAATGGACTTAGCCAGCTTTGACATGTGACAGCAGCAGTTATGTTTATTGGTGTTTAGATGAGTCACTGACCTTTTTAACAGTATCACAGTGTCAATACTTACTCGTTCCTTTTGATGCTTAAAACATTTGACTGCATTTAAATATTGCATGTAGAAAAAAAAGTACTTTTTGAGCCAAATAAAATAATGTTATGATACCTTCTTCACCCTGACTCATGAAAGATTAATCACGCCGTCATGTTGGACAGCCATCTCACAGCAAACAAGCGCATACAAGCAGCAGACATACAGTATGTAAAGCTATAGTTATTAAAAGCAAAAACTCTGATGTTTCCAAATAGTTAACCAGAGTAAAGAAGCGAACACCTCACTTAATAATCAACTGTGATGTGCTGTTTGTGTTTCTGTATCTGTGTAAGTAGTTTACTCTAACTGATTTTTGAGAACCAGATGTTTTCATAGAGATGAATAAAGGAGATTAAACCTGCAATCGAAGGATTCTTGGTTACTTTTGAATTGGGTGGACTGGCATGACAACGTCCAATTAGAGCAGAGTTAGCGAGAGAAAACTGGTGGATTATGAGCGAAGGATTAATGACTCCTGCTAAATAAGAGACCTGCATTTGCTCCCTTTTTAAACAAGCATAGCTCAAATAAAGCCTGGCTTAAAAGTTTACAGTTGAGTGAAACAAAATAACTGGAATGCAGAGTGGAGAAAGTATGAATAGAAGAGAGACTTAGGTTTCCAGACAAAGCCTTTCTTTTCTCCCAGTTGTGTTTTGGTTTTTAAGTGTTCAGAGGCTGACAGTGGACACACACATATCACACACTGAAGCCGCGCACTATAGAAAACAACAATTGTCACATAAATGTAAGAAGTTTGCAATACCAAGCTGCACTTCTTGATGCACAGTTGCTTGAACATCTCTAGGGGTTAGTTTTTTAGCTGTTGCTCCTCCTTGTATATTGAGGATGCAGAGGAATTTGGTTGAAAAGCCTTGAATGGCAAGTTTTTGTAGAAAAATCATGTTTGTAACATTAGTTAAAAATTAAAAAGTGATGTTTGTGCTGTCAACTTGAGAAACCAACATTAACAAAACTAATATAAATCATTTGTTAATGACTCACAAAGAAGAGTGATGCAGTCTTGTGTTGCTGAAACGACAGCAGATATTAAAATTTTTGAATCTTTGCTTAAATAACTCTTTTTTTGTGTGTGTTTCCAGTAACAGTTTGACAAACACACCACATCCTGAAGTGTTTAAGTTTTGTTTGTTTACTGTCTTTACTGTAATCCACTGACTCACTAACTGAAAGATTTATTTGTGTGGGACTTTTTTCTCCTTCTTTAAAGTCAGTCACAGTTTGCACACCCTTACTCCTTTCCATTATTTTCAGTCGAACTTTTGAAGTCCTCAGTCGCGTTGTGTCCCTGTTTGCACTCAAATCCTCTCCAGCTATTGACCTTGAATTGAAAACACTGCATTTGCCTGTATCCTTGAAATTATTGGCACAAAAACACATTTTGGCACACGCTAAATGCTGCTGTCGTGCCGCCGCCGCAGCAGTGTAACTGAGTTTGTTTTATCGGGTATATTGATTCAATTTGATTAAACTCGTGGTTAAACATTAACAACTGAACCTGTTTTGGGTCAAGCATTAAGTAGTGCTCAGACATCAGACCATGAGACTGACAAACAAGTGGTCAAAACGGAAAGAAAAACCTTGACACCGTTGTCATGGTGCCAAGATAAAGATTTTATCATGGTTGAAAATCAAAATCTAGTTCTAACAGTGAGTCTGTTGCACTAGGTTAATTTAACAAAACGAGTTGAGTGATAGACTGGTGTTATACATCTAAAGCTCACTTCACCTAAAAAGACACAAATGTTGGAAATACAAGTAACCAATGGGACGACCCTGTGAAACCATCATTTGTTTACCTTTTTACTGTCATCAGTGTTTGGTCATACATGAGTCAAGCTTCACTGAAATTTCTGCAGTTCACCTCGAGCTCTTTAAGTAACTCCTCAGCTGAGAGAACTTTTATTATGTAGATAATTACTATTAAAAAAAAACTTTGCTAATACACGTCCTTTCAAAAGAATCAAGCCAGACCAAAAGCTTGGATATCCAACAATCTGTACTGTTTTCATTCAACCTGAAAAACTTGAAACTGCAAAGGTCATTGATGAAGATGAGAAAACGTCCTGTTGAATCTTCATATGAAGAAAAAGGGTAAAAGACCAGACAGGAAGAAGAATAATCACGTCCCTTGTTTCAGGCGCCAGATCATTTTCCATGTAGATCCCCTCCTGCTGTTTAGTATTGAAGTCTGGTTTTGTCATGGTTTCCTTCTCCGTATAATGGGCCTGTGTCTGTTTGTGTGTGTGTGATTCTTTTTTTAGCTCGTCTGCGTGTGTTCATACAGTATACCAGTGCTACCTCTTTGTGGTATTCCATTCACCGAGTGTGAGAGTGAGGTAGTGGCTGAGTTGTGATATTTACTCTGAGTCCAACACAGTGAAACAGCTGACAGCATCTATGGCACATTGAAGAATGGGGTTATTCCACACAGGCTAAACAAAGAGAGTTTTCTCATTTTTACACTCAGATCTTGTTTGACTTCTAGTAACTTAATGTAATATCGTTAGAATCAAGTTGGTCACTCTGACAACACTATTTAAGTCTGGCTCTACAGCTCACCTCTAAGTTTGCAAGTCTGTTTCCTGGAATGCAGACAGACTTTACTCCTCTGACTGCTTCAAACCTTAGAACCTCACTTTATTAAAGAAAAGAGAGCAAGTTTTACCTGTTTTTTTTTACACAATTAGATAGCTTGTCCTGTAAAAAAATTATTTATGAGGATTGGTAGATTGTAAATCTTAGTTACTCTGTCCATATTACATGTTTTGAGATCCACTGACGTAAACCAACACGTCACCAAATTTCTCACTACACCCACTGCTGTGTTCACGGTTTCCAAAATAACCAAGACTATGTTAGTTAGCAGCTGTTAGGACACCGTCTCTGCATGTAAAGTGAGTATTTGTGTGTGTACATTATGTCAGTGTGTAAGAGTGTGTGTGTGTGTATCTAATAATCCCAGTGGCTCTGTCAGCATCTCCAGTGTTTAGTCTGTTTGAACACGTCTGACTCTGTAGAGATGAAATGGACACCTGCCACAGGGTTAGCATGCAGCAGCCTGTTGGAGCTATTTAGACCTAAAAAGATTGTTCAGATATTCAAGCGTGTCATTAGAGCTGATAATTATTATCTAGCTAGTTTATAATTCAGGTTACTTTGTGCAAGAATCATTGGTTATTGTCACAACATTAATCTGCACTTTATCAAAATGCCTTTTTTAAAACAAACTGCCTTTGCATGAACAGTTTGTGCTTTTCCTTGTCTATCATTTGAGCCTGCATATAAAAAATGATCATACTTTTCAATCATTAAACACTCTTCTAAATTGAAATGGAAACACACTTGTCCTAAAAACAGACTCTCAGTCAAATATTTGTCAGCCTTGCCCATCAAATCATGCATTTTAATATTTCTAATTGTAGTTTTGTCACACCTCCGCTGATGAACCAGTTCTTTCACATATTGTGTCTGCATGGAAAAAAGCCAGCTGCTGTTGTCATTATTGCAGTCCTGATGTCATTATAGTAAGTGCTGCTATCTAAGCCATACCTTTCAAATACCTCACTGTTTGTCCTTCTCACCTGACTGCACCTTTGTTTGATTTGAACTCACTACACACAGGCTGTCATAGTCTTCTTTTTCTACTTGACCCAGTTGTGAAAAACCAAACCTCCACATAACATAAACTTTGTGTTCTTCGTGTCGAAGGTGTCCAGTGGGTCTGGGTGAGCTGCAGCCTTTATGAAGTGTTAATGATTTTTTTAGTCCCATGGTAGTCATAGAGACAGAGAGGATGGGGCTTGTGAAATTGAGATGCTAATATGTGTTGAAGCTGTTTGTGTTACGCAGAATCCCACATCAAACCCCCGCAGATATGTTTTATGTACTAACAGCAGTCATTTTTCTGAAAGTGTATACGGGGACATGCCTACAAAACAACCCAGCGGTGCAGTCGTAGATGTCTTCTCATTAGCTGTGACAAAACTGCTGCGCTCCATCCCCCTGACCTCTATACTCCGCCTTGCTTCTGCCCATTGTATAACCTCTCCCATTAACATCAATGCAGCCCCTCCTTATGGAATAGCTTAGTTCCACTGAGGCCACGTGTGCCAACAATGAGTTCAGCTCCTGGTGAAGGTAAGGCAGCATGAAATACTTTGTGCACAACTTATTACGGTTTTGCAGTTCTGGGTCTGTTCTTGAATGAGGGTTCAAGTCATTAAAATATGTGAAATTCCTTGACACAAGAATTCACACATTAGTTATTACACTTCTGTTTTCAGTAGAAGGTTTTCAAATACCTCATTGTATAAACGTTAGAAGGTCCAATCAGTTGTTTGTGCAAAAATTGCATTTGAAAGAAGAGATTGCGTCTAAAAAGCTGTTTAGTATTGAAGTCTGGTTTTGTCATGGTTTCCTTCTCTGTATAATGGGCCTGTGTCTGTTTGTGTGTTTGTGTGTGTGTGTGATTCTTTTTTTAGCTTGTCTGCGTGTGTTCATACAGTATACCAGTGCTACCTCTTTGTGGTATTCCATTCACCGAGAGTGAGTGACGCAGTGGCTGAGTTGTGATATTTACTCTGAGTCCAACACAGTGAAACAGCTGACGGCATCTATGGCACATTGAAGAATGGGGTTATTCCACTCAGGCTAAACAAAGAGAGTTTTCTCATTTTAACACTCAGATCATGTTTGACTTCTAGTAACTTAATGTTAAATCTTTAGAACCAAGTTGGTCACTCTGACAACACGATTTAAGTCTGGCTCTACAGTTCACCTCTAAGTTTGCAAGTCTGTTTCCTGGAATGCAGACAGACTTTACTCCTCTGACTGCTTCAAACCTTTGAGCCTCACTTTATTAAAAAAAGAGCAAGTTTTACCAGTTTTTTTCACATAAATAGATAGCTTGTCCTGTAAAAAAAAAAATTATCAATGAGGATTGGTAGATTGTAAATCTTAGTTACTCTGTCCATATTACATGTTTTGAGATCCACTGACGTAAACCAACACGTCACCAAATTTCTCACTACACCCACTGCTGTGTTCACGGTTTCCAAAATAACCAAGACTATGTTAGTTAGCAGCTGTTAGGACACCGTCTCTGCATGTAAAGTGAGTATTTGTGTGTGTACATTATGTCAGTGTGTAAGAGTGTGTGTGTGAGTATCTAATAATCCCAGTGGCTCTGTCAGCATCTCCAGTGTTTAGTCTGTTTGAACACGTCTGACTCTGTAGAGATGAAATGGACACCTGCCACAGGGTTAGCATGCAGCAGCCTGTTGGAGCTATTTAGACCTAAAAAGATTGTTCAGATATTCAAACGTGTCATTAGAGCTGATAATTATTATCTAGCTAGCTTATAATTCAGGTTACTTTGTGTAAGAATCATTGGTTATTGACACAACATTACTTTAAATTGAAATTTAATCCATTTTTTATGACTATTATTTGATGCTGAACATGTATAAACTGTGATACACCTCTAAAATACCCCTAGGTGAAATGTCTCTGTTTCAAAAAATGGACATAGGCAGACTTGAAAACAGCACAGTGTCCAGCACCATATTGTATAAATCGTCCATGCTATGTGGCTGTGTTTGGTAAATATTCCAAGCAAGTGGGGCTGTGAAACCCAGATGTCTCCAAGAATTCGCCCTCTACAGTTTCCAGTCATCTGGTAATGCACTTGGTGCCTCTGCTAATCCCCATCACAACTGTTACCTGTTATCTATGCCTGTCACTGTTAAAAGCATGCTTAACATATTCACATTTTGCCACTCTTTTAACTCCTTAGTCACGGTATTAAAGGCTCGAACGATGATTAACAGCTGAGTTAAATGTACTTTAGGCACGGTCATAAATTAAGTTGATTAACATGCACATGAGGCTGACAGTTCACTTTGTGTGGTCTGAAAGGGAATAAAGGGTTAGCAATGAGTTTATCCATGAACTGGATTCAGGAGTACTCTGTTGTCTTTTAGTCAGAATGAGTCCTCATGGCCCAGTTTTCATCTGTGTGTGAGTGTGTGTGAGATATCAAGTGTGTGGGTTGTCATGTGTGTGCAGGGGTTGAGTCGGTGGGTACATACAGGAAAGCACATGCACCACATATTTGCTCTCTTGTGTGCATATGCATGCTCTGGTTGTTCCTCAATAGGGCCCCTGTTCCCTAACTCTCATCCTTTTTGTCCTCACCCAGTGACACTTGGCCATATAATTACTCTGAACCAGCTCACAGCAGACCTATTTACAACCACATAAAAGAGCGATCCAGCGCAGGAGTTTGAAACAAGACGACACTCAGGTTCTATCATGCCTTTTTTCCATTTTAGCTGAATACAGTAACTCAAGATAATCCGGTAAATTCTACCTGAATGCTCACGAACTCTGACTTGACATGTTGCAAGACAAAAGTGACTTTTTTTCAAATGAGATATCGCTGGCTTTGTTAACCTGCTGTGGAATGCGCTAGACTCGAGCTTTTTGTGGAGCAGACTTGGATTTAATTCTCTGTTTTACTCATTTTTCCTCTGTGAGCGCTCTGTGTGCTCTGCCGAGGACAGAGTACCATACTTTCCTCCTTGCCCCTCTCAGTTCATAGCTTGGCCTTTTGTTACAGAGCAGCTTTAGATCCTGAACCAGCCCACTGTCTCAATGCCCTCTCTGAAAGGCCTCTGTCCTCTTTTTTTTTCAGTTTCAGCCCAAGACCAGTCTGGCTGTATACATTTCCTGTCCGGTGTCCAGCCCAGACCTAGATCCCATCCTCTGAACAAGCTGCATGCTTCTCAATCCCCTCTCTGTTCTTCTCTGTTCACCCCGACCCAATCCTGGGAATCTTACAGATCACTGGAACCAGCAATTAAACCAGTAAACAGGTCAAATACTCGCTCTTGCATAGACTCACAGACCAGCAGGCCGCACGTGCGCACGTGTGCGTGTGGATCTTAAGTAGAGCGTCAGCCATACGGACTGAAATACACTGTGTCTATACTCTCAGGGACGGGTCCGAGCTAATTCTTCTGCCTCCTGTCAGAAAATTTATGAGTGGAACTCTTTTGTCGTGTCTCACGGTAGACTCACTTCGCCTCGCCATTTAGTTTGCTCGATAAAACACACTGACATCAAAAAATACAAGCCAGTGTCTCAGAAAGATTTATCCCAACCATCTGCTGTAATAAACACATCTGTCCGTGGATACTGCAGATTCAGACTGAGGCTACTGAAGACTCCTGTAAAATGCTAAAGTGATGCAAGGAAGTGGGTGTGTGTCTGTTTCTGTTTGTGTCAATCAAACAATATTAATAGACATATTTCTCTCCTGGAGTGAGAGAGAAAGAGTTCCTTTAACAGATCAGAGAAAGCCCAAGTGTGTGGTGTGAAGTGTGAGCGGAGAACCGTCTGTGCTCTTGACTTTGCGTTCATGTACAGCGTGAGTCCACTCAAGTGTTTGTGCTGTTTGCTCTGTTTTTTTTTGTTTGAACATCAACCCGGTTGAACCAGTGAGCTTTGGATTTGGAGCATCTGATTTGCATGCAAAGCTAAATTCAAAGCACGCAAATGTCCCCCCCCCCCCCCCCACACACACACACACACACACACACACTTTTTATTCTTGGGCGGCTCGATAGGCTTTAATTAAGGATGATGCAAAACTGAAACATTTCCAAGTAAGATTCTTAAAGGTCCCCTCTTGATGTAAAGTGTGAAGAAAACACTGAGCTGCTGATGGGTCTCCTGACTTTTTTTCGAGGGAAACCAAGCACGAGGTTCTTTACACACAAGGGTTGTTTGCATGGGTGTAATTGTATCTGTCTGCTGAATGTGTGTGCTTGTACAAATCTGATGGAAGCACCAGCCTATGAGTGCCTTTTTGTGTCGCACTTACGAGTGTAAATGTTGTGGCTGCGCGTGTGCTAATTTTAGGTTTCTCCCTCTTTACAAGTGAACACTGAACACTGAACACAAGACCACTTCCCAGCAGTCAGCCTCTGACCCACACAGTCTACTTTTGTTTTATGGAGCCATGCGTACCCACATATGCTCACATTGGCTTTCACACGGTTGTTAAGAGCTTTTACACAGATAGTTGCCTCTGTTTAGGGCTGGGCGATATGGCCTCAAATCAATATATCCCTAACTCTATCAGTTAAATTTTCAGTTTATCGCCCAGCCCTATTCTGTCGGTAGCTGCATCCTGAAAAATAAGTGTCTGAAAACTTAGATTTTTTTTTTCTTTTTTAATCTAAAAAGATAACTTCTTATGAACTTTACTTACTTCACTTTTATTTTCTACACTTTGTCTCCTTGTCCTCCTCTTCTTCGTGTGTACAACCTTACCTCCTGTGTGTGTCCAGGCTGTCGAGGCCAGGTGTATACACAGCCGGTCTGTGACAGCAGCACCCAACCATTTCTGCTCCCCTCAAGGACAGAGAGAAAAGGTGAAAACAGAGGGATCTAGGTGTTTTTTGTTTTTGGTTTACAGTAACAGAAATAAAAAGGCAGATTTTTGTGCTTTAATTCTGTGATTTATTTGATGTTTTTTTACTTAAAAATGAAGCCAAACAGTGACTCATCTGCTGAGAATCACACAGATGCAAGTGTGCACAGTGGGATATTTTCATCAGCTTGTTGCTGTGTGACTTGGCAGGTGAGCCATCTGCTGCAGCATGAGCTGTAAAGGTGATATTGGATGAAGTGGTTCCTCATTAAGTCCTCCCACAACGAGAAAAGGATCAGGTGAAATTAAAGGTGCACAACTACATTTGACTGGTATGTCTATATGTCATCATTTTGAGCCAAAGTTCACAGCTGCGTTTAAAACTTTAGTGTATAATCGCGCTGTCCTCTGGAGAGATTTATTAGGTATGACTTTATCATTGAGTGTGTGCCATAATACAGCCATTGTAATGGTTAATAGATGAGGAAATAATGCTTAAGCCACGACCATTCGAGTTACTCAAACAGCGGGTCGACTCAGTGGGCTCTCTGAGTCTGGATTGTTCCCCATCATCCCAGAGACACTTCATAAAACACTCCGAATGAATGATGTGTTTGTGTGGAGGGCTAGTGTTTGTGCGTGGGCGGGCGAGTGGAAAGAAGTGGGGTGGAGAATGTCCCTTTACTTATTCTTTGACAGCACAGGGAGCTCATGCACACACTCACACATGTATGTGCATGCAGAGGCTCTGTCTCTCTCTCTCTCTCTCTCACACGCACACGCACATATGCACACAGTAGACGTAATCTGGTGGTCATTACTGCAAACAAGGCAGTGTTGTGTTGTACTGACAAACAGTTCAGTCTCTGCAGTGTCGGTCTGGTTTGAATTATCAGCAGTATCTCTAGGACCAAAGGCCTCTCAGCCTGTCTCCCTGCAGGGGAAGTGGAGGTCACAGGCACACTCACGGCATAAGTGGAGAGGGTGAGGAGCAGAAGGCTGCAGACACTTGCATGGCTTTGAGTCATCGCTAGGTGAATCTTAAACCTGATCATCATTGCAGTCGGGTCTGTGAATTAGACAACGAAGTGCTCTCTTGAACTAGATATTGTGATTTTGTCCTGTTAGATTAAGCACCGATGAAGTGGATGCTCTTCCAACATCTGCTAAATGTTCACTTCCTTTGAAGTTTAGCTTTCAGTTGTTTAAGAACAAATATTTTTTCCTTATCACTTTAATGCTAGGTTAGACTGAAGCCTGATGTTGCAAGAGAAATGTTCCAACCATCTATTTAAATTTCATCAGCTTTATGTACTTAATCTTAACTGTCAGATAGACCAAGACAAATATTGACGCTGCCCTTTTTGAATAACCTCACCTTTAATCACACCATCTTCTCTTGTGTTTCCATTGCATCAGGTGAGCATCCTCACTGCTTCAACTGAATCGCTGGTTTAAATTTTGCATGTGTGTATGATCTTGAATTGGCAGACAGTAACTGGCATGCCATGTAGAGGTGAGAATCACTAGTGGCTCCACTATACAGTATTATCACTTTACGTAGGCCACAATACAATATTATTCTGATTTTTAACATTTTGCAATAAAATGAGTATTGCGATTTTTTTTAAAAGCATTTTTTCAACTGTTTAGCTAATTAAGCATTTGGATTTCCTTAATGTTTGTCTTATTCACGATGAATTTTATTTTCATGTAGCACATTTTGGAAACCTTATATATGTGTTTGTTGTACCAACTTTTTCTATGATGTCACCTCTGCCAACCTCACTGGACAAAGAATTGAATTTCTTTTTCCATTATCATAGATTTGACTTCATATTAGCAATTACTTTGAAAAATCAATACTTGGTAATTGAGACAGTAGGATATATCACCAGACAAAATATTGCGATACTGTGCTGTATCAATTTTTTTCTCCCACCTTTAATGTCGTGCATATTTGACGGCACAACAACCCAGCTTTGATGGTCATGAGCTTTGATTTTTTTAAGTAGCCATTCATTTATGCAGAACAAAAGAGTGAACGTTATCATGCCTTAGAGGTTTATATTTCTGTGATTTCAGATTTCAGTAGGGTGCTCACACACACAGTGTGTACAGTGGCTGTAGTGCATCTGCCACAATTAACTGACAGAAGAAGATGAATATTTACTGCATGAAATAATGAAATACAAAAAAAACAAAACAAAGAAATATAGGCTCAGCACTGTGAGAGTTGGAGCCTGTGTATGTCACTCTGTGTGGGTGTACCAGAGAATACCTTTCACACCTCGCCTTAAGGACTATAGGAAGGATAACACGGACTCATTACTGCTGCATGTGCACACACCCATCATCCACAAAACATCATGGCATCTGAATACTTATCTGCACAGTAGCTTCCAAGTTAATCTCTTTTCTAAGCCCCCTTTTGGCATTTTTGACTGACTAGACTCGTCTCATACTACGGGCATGTGCCCACAAGATCTCAACTCTGATTTTTAGAAAGTCTCCTCCACCCTCTCTTCTTGAATGACCTGTTTTCCTGCAGTGATTTACACATTCATGTTGTAACAGAGTTTTCAATCTCCGGATTTCTTTAAAAGTCATGCTGTTTTTTGTCTACATAGTGTAAGTGTTATTTATACCTCAAACATGACTGTTATAGCTCCACCATGCTCAGGATCATGTGAAGAATTTCAGATTAGCAGCTCAAGCTGAAAGTAAGAGTAATGAAGGTGACTTTGGCTGGGGTGTTTGTTATGTATTAAGGATAAACGTGACTCAGACCTGTGCCTCAGACCTTTGGTTGTTTTGCTGTTGCATTAGATATGACCCTCTGTCCCCTTCAACGCAAATGATTAACTGGGACATCAGACTTTTAGCACATCCTAACCAAATATTATGTCATTCTGGTCCAAACTGTTCACAAAAAGTGTCCCTCCAGTTCAATGTACTGTTACGATGAAAAAGTCTGTTATGACAGTTTAAAAAAAAGTCAGCTGCACTGTGATGAAGATTTTTAAAACGCCTTTTTTCTCTCATCTGTAAGATCAAAAAGGATTTCATTAGATGAGGGGATCATGTTAAACCTCAACCATTTCCGCCTGGTTACCTTTTACATTAAAATTTGGGTAACACTTCATGATAACTATCCGGTATACCTAGTTAATAGATCATTAGTAAACTGTTAATTAATAAGTTATGCATGACTTGTTAAGTGTTTGTTAACAGTTTGTTAAGGATTTATAATGATGCCTAATAGATAGTTAATATAGCATTAATAAACTGTTAGTTAATGAGTTATATATGACTTGTTAACTGTATGTAAATGATTTATAACTATACCTTATAAATTAGTAATATATCATGAACAATCTATTGGTAAATCACTGACTAATAACTTGTTAAATATCAGTTGATAGTTTATATATGTTATTGGGATGTTATTCCAAAGTTGCAACTATTCCTCATTTATTAACAGTTAATAAATGATGAATAGTTTCTTAGAATAGCGTCCCAATAATATATATAAACTGACACTTAACAAGTCATTAGTAAGTAGTTTACTTAAAGCTTGTTCGTGATCTATTACTTATTTATAAGGTATAGTTATAAATCATTAACAAACAGTTAACAAGTCATTTATAACTCATTAACTAACCGTTTATGATATAGTAACTGCATAAGGCATCATTATAAATCCTTAACAAACTGGTAACAAACACTTAACAAGTCATACATAACTTATTAATTAACAGTTCACTAATGATCTATTAACCAGTTATAATGGATAGTTATTATAAAGTGTTGCCAAATAGAGAATACGTATTGAATTTTCCTGGTTGTTCAAAAGTCTCAATTCTGCCATCATAAAACCAAAGCCTTCAAACTTGAATGGGACATACAGCAATTTTAAAAAGTCTGTAAAGGTCGATGTAGAAAAAAAATGTTCTGGCTGTGGATGTGGATGTGGTCTAAGCTCTCCATACCACAAACAAGGATGGCAACATCCAAAAACAAAAAGCACTGAATCCAGTTCATGGATAGAGGTCCTAATAAATCCTTTCGGTCTATCTGTCTGTGGAATGTGTGTCAGACCAGAAAGGGAGATTAGAGAAAAAGTGGGGCACCAGAGCCCGGAAAGAGCAGGAGTGGGCTCTGGGGTAATCTAGTATCTCTCTTGTTGGCGCGTTCTCTATCTGTAGTTCTGTGTTTCTCTCTCAACATTTCTCCCTCTCTTTTTCTGGTTATGTGATGATTCTCCTAAACCCTTATCTTTGGGGGTTTCACGTGGTTTGATGATGGGAGTGGACTTCAGACCATGATGCTCTCTGTAGGCTTTTAGTAGATGAAGCTCCCTATTTCATCACCATAAATCCTTTTTTTGTTTTTGTGTTGAAGCTTTTACATTTTTTTTTAATCTGTGATGTGAAAATGCCCTCTTGCTGTAAATTTGATCTCTTATGAAAAGCCTGTTTATTTGTTCTGTACTTTTATTGTTAAATGTTGATAAAGTATTTTGACTCAACGCTGCACTGGGAAACCTGTCTAACTCTTCAGTCAATGGAGGTGGTGTTCAAATGCTATATTTCCATCATGTGTTTTCCCATGGGACTCCTCTCTGAGCACTTATTTTTGTCTTGACTTTGACCGCCCACTGAACTTGCCGACTTCTTACTGACTGGATTAACTCAGTCACCGTGTTAACACTATGGTACTACATTCACAGAAACATCACAGACATGGGGCAGAAGACTTAAGCCCGTACAAAAAAAGGCGACCAAAATCTACAGAGCGCAAGAGAATTGAGGCCAGGATGGAGAGAGAACTAGATCAGAGCCAGAGCAGCTTAAAAGAAGAAATCAAAGGAGTACAGTAAAATTAAGGGGAGGGGGAGATGAAAATCTATCATGACCTACATTTGTATGTTAATCTGCAGCCCAAGCCAACATGTGCAGTTATGACATAGCAGTGTAAGACTTCAGGGAGCCAGTTATCATAAATTAGCATGTCAAATCTGCCCAGAGACAGTTTGCTCGATTCGGTGTTTCCGTCAAGAGGCCGCCCTCTCACTTCTCTCTCATCCCAATCTTGTAAACTCTCAAATTCAGTCTTATTTGTTGAATTGGGGGGCCCATATCTCTCATAAGCCTCATCTACTCTTTGGGTTTGTGGATTTTTTTTGCTACCAGTGTGGTCCTCTGAAAGTGAAACACCTGCTCAGATGGACTGAGGTCAGGGCACTCAAGGAAATTCCACTGTTTGGCCATAAAACTCCCCTTGTTTGCATAAGCTGTGTGTCCAGAATGTGTGTCCCTCTGCCTTGTCCTGAAACTCAGGGTCATTATATACTGTATAGAAGGGCTTCAAGGTCTCATGCTATTAAAGTAATGTGCAGCAATTGTGCATAAACAACGTAACTACAGAGCATAAAACAGAGTGTGTCAGTAAAGGATGGCGGCGCTTTGCAGACAACAGCAATGTCCTCTTGCTATCTTAATTGGTTCCCATTCCTCGCCTGAGTGTCCCTTCAAACCGCAGTGCAGGAAGTCAGGAACAGTGAAAGAAGAGTGAGTACAAAAGTAGAGGTGAGAGGAAGAGACACACACACACACACACACACATCTGTCAGCTATCTTTTCTTATTTATCTGCGGCCTCAAGACCTTTTTAGCATTCAGGCTAGAGAACCACACAGAAGTGACATGTTGTTCCTCTCAAACACTCCTCTGGGTCATCTGTGCGCCCTCATCTGCTCATTACCTCTTTGGATGCCAGACCCCGGGCAGAAGTTCAGTAGTTTACCCCTTTTTTTTCCACCGTGCTATTCTTCCCTTATCTTCCACTCTATTTCACACATCTTTTTTTTCCCCCTAGTAAGCACGATAACACGGTAATTATGCCCGATTGTTGTTCATTAACAGTCAAACTGCAGCTCTACGCTGGCACACTGACACACTTATCTGTTACCAGCCTCTACCCCGCTCTGCCCTAATCTTAGAGGGTGGTTTTAAAGTACTCACTTTAACCCTGAATGAGGGTGAAAATGAATGAATGAGGAAGTAGAACAAGAGATGAAAACTGACCAAGATAATCGAAGAAAGAGGAAAAGAGGGAAGAGGGCAGATACAAGAAGAGAGCGATGGAAGCAGAGAGGGGTGATGGGAGTCCCATGCATTGCTATTCAAGGTGCATTTCACTGCATTGCAGTGGCACACTGACACACATTCAGTGATCTCTCTTTGGTTCTTTTGCAATAAAAGCATGTACAGTAGATATCTTTGTAAAATACCATTGACTGTTACCACTACATAGCTGGCCCAGTGCCATGATGACGAATATTGTCACGAAGCGACACACCCAGCTGTCAGTCGCTGCTACCTGCGCACGTACTGCACATGTCATCCTGCAGGTGCGTCATTTGACTGTGATGCAAACCATTTACAAACAGTTGATCCACCCTTCCTCTGTCTCTTCTTATCTCTCCTGAGTTAGCAGGTTGTAAAATTTGACTAGTTTATAGTTCAGTGTCCTCATCATTTCCTATCCTCTGTCTCCTCCTCTGCCCTCTGCTCGTCTGTACCTCTCCTCTCTGTCCTCCTACGCCTCCTCCCCCTGTCCCTCAGTGACAGCTGCTGGGAGATGTAGTCAGAGCGTCCAGAGTTTTTATTTTAGTGTGTCAGCGCTGGTCACACTGCAGCAGGTGTGTGTGTGTCTGTGTTGCCCACACTTTTTTGAGTGTTGGTGCCCCCGACAGGCTAGACCTGCTGGCTTTGAGGGCGTGAGTGTGTGTGTGTGGGTGGAGAGTCAAGCTGACTTCCTGTCAGCATCTATTGATGAATGAAGGGAGGGGTTTGGTTCCCATGAAGGCAAGTTCAGCTCTAAGGGTAGAGTATTATAAGTCCTTTACGTCACAGACTGTGTCGTTTACCACCTGAGCATCCTTTCACACAGTACACGTGATGAGTTTGGATGATGAAGTGACACCAGTTTTTTACTCTGTCATTTTGACTCATTCTATCCTGCAGTCATTAACCCAGTAAAACACACACACCCAAACATGCAAATCACCACCAAGTTTATTGACTCTGAAGAAATATAATTGTAAGGGTTACCGTGACTACCAGATGGATGCAGGATATAAATCGATGAATGAAATGCTATCCTGAATCTGTGCTCTGTGGGTGGCTCCATCTGGGCATGCCAACTGCTCAGCAAGGTGTTTGCGCGCGCGTGTGCATGCGTGTGTGTGTGTGTGTGTGTGTGTGTGTAATCATATTTCTGTCAGTATGTGATATGTTCTCGATGACATATGATACAAGTAGACAGTAAAAGTCAGTTGAAACAGAACAGCAACATTTGTTGCAGTTTATTGACCAAAAATAGTGACTGTTAAGCAGTAACATGTTGCTGTTTAAACATACTTTTCAGTCAACCTGCTGAAAAAAGTTGCCACATGTGAACAACAAAGCCTGATAAACTCAGGTTACAGACTGATGTATTGTGTAACTTGCTGTATTAGCCAAAGGCAAAAATGTGAGCCTCTTCAGATAACTGCTCCATGGCACAAAGTCAAAGGGAGTGTACCAACATGTTGACTATCATCATTTTAGAGATATGAGGATTTGCAGCTTTGTTCTTTGGAAAGCCAACATGAAGAAGATTGATTTTAGACAGTTTAGAGCAGATATAGCCTTTATGTTCGACTCAGGCTCTCTAATTAGCAGGTGAGCATCTCCCCTACCTCTGTCCAGCTGGTTGAATGTGTGTGTGTGTGTGTGTGTGTGTGTGTGTGTGTGTGTGTGTGTGTGTGTGTGTGTGTGTGTGTGTGTGTGGGTGTGTATCCAGCTGTATGGTCTCCACTCTCTTATCAGTGTAACCACTGGCCCATAGTTAATGGCGACCATCTGGTGCCCATACAGAGCTGGTTTCAACTAGCAGGCCTCTCTGGTTTTTATGAGAAGAACTCAGCGGCCAAATAACTTTGTCTTTCTTCACTTTTCCTTCTACCCTGTTGCTTTCTCCTGCTTATCCTTCTCCTCTCTCCTTTCATATCAGCTTTCCTTCCATTCTCTGATGACAAGCTGAGATCTGTGTTAGGAGGCAGACTGACTTAGTGTGTACCACATGTTCTTTAGAGGGTTTAACAGAAATAAACCAATGCGCCTAAGTATCGAATAGAGAAACACAGGAGGTATCATAGCACCAGAATCCTTCTTGTATGGATGGTTGGCATTTTTGGCAGCATAGAGCAGGCTGAAAAAAATAAAGTCCAAATCCAGTCACAATTCATTGGTTAGACTGTCTGAAGCCTTTAAGGGAACTATTTAGTAGAGCTGTGATCAACCAAAGAAATTCTTGGTCGACCAAAACCCTGAAATTTTGGACCCAAAAATCGACTAATCATGGGGGCAGGGGGTGGGTTGATAATATACTGATATCAGCACAAGAAGGCAACTAAACACAAAAGGCTTAAATATAAATATTCAGTAAACCACTGGACATCTTTCTTCTTCTTCTTTTTCTGTTTTACAGCAGTTGGCACCTAGTGTTAAGGTGCATTATTGTCACCTACTATACTAGAGTATGGACCAGAGTTATCTAACCCCAGAGAATAAGCAAATAAACAAGCAAACCAATAAATAAAATATAACTTTAATATTTTCAAAATGGTGAAAGCAAGGGGGTGTTCTGGGACATGCTGTTACCTGTGAAACGGGGGTGCTCTAAAAACACCCTCATTAGCACTTGGTACGTTCTTCCTGAATAAATTAACCATAGACTGTAAATTGACGTGAAAAAAAATCAAGAGTGACCGATCAGAATTTTGGTCAACTCAGCACGAATCGACCAATAAGTCGACCAGAGGACTAGGACTTTACAGCTGACTATTTAGAGATCTTACTGTGGGTCGGCCCAAAACACAAAGCAGTCACTCTTTGGGACTTGAGTAAATGCACTTATGTGTCTCGCTATAAAAGCCTCACCTCAGTGTAAGAGCTTCTCTGAAAGCCACTTAAACGGAGTGCTTTTAAGCCTTATGTATCTAATACATTAATACATCCCACTGCAATCTACAGCGCTTTCAAAGTGCCTAATGCTTTCCTATAGACTGCATCAACACACAGACAGACACACGTCTGCGTCAGCACAGTGTGACATTCCAGAGAACAATCTGGAAGGAGGCTGAGGACGCCGACAGACTTGGCAGCTCTGCATGAAATTGCCATACTTGCTCCCTCCCGCCTATGCACACACACACATACACATACATAGAGAGAGGGAGAGAAATATCACCTCTGTCACAAATGTCCCTTGGGACTACCAAGACCCTCGTTCCCACGGACAGCCTTGAGGAAATGCTTTTGAGGAATATACACCAGCTTTTCTTTACAGCCTTGTTTCTGTTGCAGGAAATCCACTAACTTAGTGCTGTCTAATTCAAGTGCTTACATAAATACTGTCCAAACTTCAGATACACGTTAGCCAATGCTGCCTATACCTCCCCATATGTGTGTATCAGTTCAGCCGTATTTTTATACTGATTAACCAAAGAGCTTCAAGTGTCTTTGTGTGTGTTTTTCGTCTGGTTAAGTGTCACTAGTGCATGGATAATTACAGCCCTCCAAAACAGCCGTGTCGCACAGCAGCTATTTCTACTGACAGCCAGCTATGCCACTCACACACACACACTTACACACACACACATTTGCACATGCACACAGCAGCGGTCTGGTCTTAGAGTAAGGCAATTGAAGCCTGCTTTCTTGTGTGTGTGTGGTAAAAAGTGGAGCAGCCAAAGCAGCTATTTCTATCCCGGGGTCACTCGGTGCCAGACAGAGTCAATGATACGTGTTAGCAGCCACTTTATCCTGAGAGCAACAAAACAAGTGTCTGCAAAAGGAGCGGGTCAGTCTGATATCATCTTTGGTTAGCCTGCTAGCTCTTCACACATGCTGTACAAGAGATTGTTACTACTGATACATCCACAGTTAACATGTCGTGTGTAGTATTTCTATATCATACTATCAAAGTGGCTCAATCGTGGTTTCTGTTCCTCTGGTGTGTAGACTGTGTGTGAATTTCCTTGAGAGAAAAAGCGCAAATAGCTGGAGTTAGATCGGTATTTCACACCAACTTCGACACACCTTCGCTTCAAGCTCAGAGATGATTTTTTGGTTTTCTAAAATTCCTAGTTCTGGATCCAAGAGTGTGGGTTGGGTGTTGGCAAAAATATAACCATCTGAAACCAAACTCTCTCTTTGACAGCACAGACTAGAAGCCTGCTGCAGAAGCTTTCTCTTCAAAAGAAAAAGAAAAAAAGGAGTTTTATGAGCTATCTGTTTTCCCTCTTTTTTGGCTCTGCGGCCTCTCTGTGGCACCGTGGCATCTATCCGCCACACCCTCTGCAAAAACAAGCGCTCATAGTGAGGGAGAGGAGGGCAGATGGATGGATGGATGGATAGGATGACTAAACAAGTCAACACAGGAATGAATGAGCATTGTGGTGTTGTACTACAACTACAGAAAGGTCTCTTACAGCAAGTTGTAGCCACACCCTCTGCAACAACAAGCACACACAGTGAAGCAGGAAGGGATGAATGAAAGGGACAGGGGGGGAAACTTTAAGGTCATGATGGGCTTAAAGGGACAGGGATCGAAGTTTACACTGTCGGGTGATGATGGAGAGTTGTTGTTAAGCAGTGAAGAGCGCAGCGGTGTCTCCATGGATGCAGACTGTCAGACAAACCTGTTCTTAGACTAACTAACTGTGTGTTGATCTGTGTGATGTGCAATCACACTGAAGGGTTTTAGGTCAGTGTGGCAGTCAAACAAAAACACCCTGAAAACACAGAGGCGAAGAGATCACAGGCTCGCCGCCTCCGCAGCGCCCTGACCTAACACAAAATATCAGTTTTAAAGGGAGGGCTGCCTGTTGCATTTGCATTGGTTGAACAAAAAAGGGGTCAAATATGATGTGTCTGAATTAACATGAGTGTGTGTGTGTGTGAGAGAGAGAGAAAAAGGGGGGTGGGATCTGATTATAAGTGGGTGTGAGTGAGTGACAGGTCTGTGTGTGTGTCTCTGCATGAAGCAAGGACTGAGCTGACAGCAGAATAGCTTGCTCTGTTGGAGGGGGTTCACACTTCACATCAGATCATCACAGCCAAACTGTCTAACACACACACACACACACACACACTGAGATTTGTGCACACCTAAACAGTGAGTACCCCTCTGTTAGTGAAGCACCGAGCATGTCACAAGAAGTCAACAAAGTTTCATACAAGATCCCACCCCCCCCAACATCCTCCCCCCTCACACACACACACACACACACACACACACACACACACACACTTAGAGAAGTGCCTGAACCCCACAGAGAAGCCAGCTAGTCATACTGAGCAGCCACACAATAGTCGTGTCAGTCACTGTCAGGTCTCTGCTTAGCTGTCAGCCTGAGGCCGTCAGTGGACAGCTAGTTAGCCTGTGTGAAGGAAACCCACACTAGCCTCAGGCGCGATTATTAGACTCCAGCTCCAACTCCCCATCACTCCTTTTGACCCGAATCTGTGTGCAATTCGTATGTCAGTGTTTCCTGCTGATTCCCACAGTTCTCAGACACAGTGGGGTCAGCAAGTGTGTGTGTCGTACATGTGACCACAGCCACTACTTTTTTTCTACAGCTTGACCACGATTATTCTTCCCTATAAATCCTGATAGTCTTTGATCGTTTTTGATGAAATGCATGGAAGAAGTTTGTTTTAATAAACGAGCAGATTGTATTTGCAATTATCACAATTCAAACTGGAGCATGTCTTAATTTCCTCCTTTTTTGTGTTTTTTTTGTCTTTCAGGTGGGACCAGGGATATCGGATCAGCGCTGACTCGGATGTGCATGAGACATCGCAGCATAGAAGCTAAACTTAAACAGTTCTCAATGTAAGCAACATTAAACATGGTGTTTTTTTGTTTTTTCCTTTCTTTGCTTGGGCTCAAACTACTGTTGATGTTTACAGAAAACAGGACCTGATATAATATATTGCTTCTGTAATTTTGGTGAGTGCTTGGCTTGGATATAGGAGGGATTGGGTTGAGCAGGGATTTCGTTGGAGTTACTACGCCTCAAAGCCTCTTCAACGTGGTTTGGCTGAGCTAAAAAGAAAACACTGTGTCCCAACAAAACCTTCTATTCAACATTGACTCAAGCTGCCAACTCCAGATGATAACAAACTGACTTTGACTTTTTGACTTCTGGTACAATACCAATATTGTAGCCTTCAATATTGATCAATACCAGATTGATCTGATATTGTGCAAAATTGTGCATAATAAGTTTTTCACTCAGCTGCAATGTCTTTTTCGGACTTAAACAAAGAATACTGCCACAAAGCCAACATCACTATTACCTTTGTACACACTGTTGTTGTGATTTTGTGTGTTCAGCTTGCTGGATCAGGGCGCTGCTAGATAGAGGTGCCGGAGCGGAGTCTGGGATGGTCTGCTTGTATCGGAGTGCTGATATCGGAGATTTTAGATGCAGGCCGATATAATCTGATATTTGTTTTTTGCTGATATCGGACCAATATCCGATATCAATATCGTATTAGGACAACCCTACTTTTGAAACAAAGATAAAACATAAACATCCGGTGTGTTTTCTTTCCCCCATTTGGTTTACAGTGTTTCTTACACACATTGTAGTTAGCGTAGTTAAATCCCTACTGTTTCCCTCAGCAGTCGAAACTTCATTTCAGTCGTTTTTATCTGAGTGTGATCTCACCACGTCTTGATATTTTGTGTGGGTGTGAGTGAGAATGCCCCTTGTTGTGGAATGTTGGGAAAGAGACGATTTGTCTGGCAACACAAGCATCTATAATGTTTCAGCGTCGTCAACACACCACATCCCTCTCTGTGTGTCTGTCTCTCTCTTTTCATCACGCACACACACACACCCTCTACGCAGACAAGGGGCTCTCTAATTTCGTGTGGCATTTCAGTACAGATTCCTCTTGGATCTCCATAGCAGGGGCTGGACACAGGGGGGCTTTGGCCACCACCCACACACCCACCCACTGATACACACTCTGGAGAAACGTCTGCAAGAGGGAGAAGTCTAAATTTAGTTGCATGCACTAAGCCTGCAGCTGCCTTGGTCTCATACTCACAGCCTCTTTAACACCCTCACAAATACAAGACGGGCACAGTTGGGTAATGATTGACAGACATGACTGCACAAGCTTCTTACTTCCTCCTGTGGCCCACAGTCAGACATAAGCAATCCTCCATCGCCTCACAGTCACTGTTTTTCTCCCCTCCTCTCTCCTGGTTAATGATTGACAAAGAAGACTACACAGTGTGAGACAGAGAGTCCAGACAGACCTAATTATTCTTATGTCTGTGTTTTATAATCAAGTGACAGATATACTGACATATCCTGCTGGGTAGGTTTGTAAAACATGAACTCAGATGGCCAAATTTGTTGGCTTGTACTTTACATGGTCTCTACTAGGGCTGGGCAATAAACCAAAAATTTACTGATACTGCAATTTACGACAATAACCAACGTCATTTTGCCCATGTCAGTATATTCGGTGTCAAAAAATAAAATAAAAGTCGGTTTTGGATGTGTGTAAGTAGGCTATGGTCTCATGTCCCTTTATCAAAAGTTGTAGTGGCTGGAGCGGCGGCTGAAGTAGATGAAGTTAATGTGGGAGGGGGTGAGCAGCTTGTGGAGTAGTTATCATCCATTTATCGTTATCAAGGTGAACTGCTCAATATATCCTGATATTGATTTGAGGCCATAGCGTCCAGCCCTAGTCTCTTCTCTTAGTGCATAGATTCTGTTTTTTGTGATTTGAAGACAAACATTTGATTACATTTATGAAAAACTTGAGCTGTCACTCACAAAAATGTAAACTTGCGATGACAGTCAAGTTATTCTGCTGTCATTTACAGGGGCTTCCTGGAGGGTCTGATCAACCCTCTGCAAGAACAGATGGAGGACTGGAAAAGAGGGGTGAACACTCTGGACAAGGACCACGCTAAAGGTGAGATAAACAAGTCTAGTCACAAAGTATTTATTGACATCAGGGTATAACTCAAACAGTTAAAAGAAATGAAAATAACAGCTCTCCAATAACATTATTTCATCATGCTGTATGTTTAAATCTATTCATGACTTCGAGCATAGGATAAAATTTAAGGTGTCACACTGTCTTTTTCCTTCTTTAATCCGAGAATATAAAAACTGTATGTTTACACTTTCTGTCTGTTTCATCCTCTCCACCTGAACCAGAGTATAAAAAAGCCCGGCAGGAAATAAAGAAGAAGTCCTCAGACACACTGAAACTTCAAAAGAAAGCAAAGAAAGGTAAAAAAGTTCATAACAAATTAAACAAAGTTCTTTTTTTGTCCAAACACAATGCTTGTGGGAATTTTCCAGAAATATGCTTAGAAGTGCAGTTAGAGTCGAAGTTATGGAGACAAATCTTTTACTCAGACTCTTTTGTTCAGAATTTGAAAAACATACAAGTAGAGCCAAGCATGATATGACCTCGCTTACTCTTTCCTGTGAAGACACAGTATTGGGGTTAGATATCTGATTACATGGAGTATTGTCTTGCTGGTGGTAAACTTTTTTTCTTTCACCCTGTGACTTTGTAACTACAAAAAACTAGCCAAGCGATGCTTTGTGTCTGCTGTAACCTGCAGACCTACCTGTAAGAAATGTGGTTTTTATTGACAATTGGATCAACTGGCCATCATCCATCTGGACCAAAGCTAATCTAGTGATGAATTACTTTAAAGGATTTGATTAGTCTCACTTGAACAAGATGTACTTGAGCTTGGATTGTAATTCAGTGTATTGTGATAAATGCCTGAAGAAGACTTAAGATTCCTATCATCGAGGATTTAAGGAATCACCTGATTATTGAAGTTATAAAAGAAGGGTGCAGTCATAAAAACAAGTCGTTGAATAAGATGCCGTCTTTGATTTGGAGTGAAAAAATCTCCTCGAACTGTGTAAATAACATCTTCATAAGACAGCACGGACGTGTATGAAAAGAGTTTGTCCTTGCTGAGATGAGACTTGTGCAGATCTAGCGAGGATAAACATTACCTTACTTGGTAAACACTCAGAGAGAGAAGGAGCTTTTTTTTTTTCCTGCTGCACTTCTCTTGGCTCAGTTTCTGCATACGCATTCACCCACCTAGAGAGAAAAATAACATACACAAAAGGGGAATTAGGTAAATATGCTTACAGTGATTTCTCAGATGTTGATCGGTACATGTTGGAATTACAACGCGAACAGATGTCCGTGAGGAAAACACTTAAAGAGTCACTTTAAGAAAGAGGGTATCTCGCCAAGTATTCAGGGGTACAAAGTGTCACGCACTTGACTTCATCTTAAAGCATCATTTTGGCCCTACATGACGATGTTAAATAGACATCCACAAACAGAAGACTGTACCTTTAGGTGATAGATTAGTGTTTAGTGCTGGCACCCCTTCAGTTGACTTGGATCTCTTTCCTCCTCTTGTCCGCATGTGTTTCGGATACATCCTTCTCCTTATGCTGCACTGCAGCTGACACTCTAGGTAAGTCAGACTGTGGTTTAAACATGCTGTCCAAGTTTTCTTTCAGTTATTAAACTAAGCATCTTGGTTGCATTGTGTCAAAATCATTATGAAATCATTGATATGGCCACTTTGGTTTTAAATCTATTGTTTATGATTCCACCATTTTTTTTTCTGATGCCCAGGGTGCATCTCTTTTTTTTGTTTTAAATACAGCCTCCTCTATTTCTTTTTTCAGTCATCTCTCATTCACTGTCTACAGTTTGGGGATGAAGCCTCATACCGGTTCGATCATAAAGTGATGAAGTGTTCTCAGGCAAACAGAAGTGTGCTGTAGGACTGAGCCAAGGCTCTGACCTACTTGTGGTCAAAAAAAAAAAAAAAAAGAACTACGACTTTCACACAACTGCAGAGTCATGATTGAAGTGGAGGCATCAGTAGACCTGAATTCCACAAGGTGTATCCCTTTGTCCACAGGGGGCGCCAGAAGTAAAACAGACCAAATCTTCCTTACAGGGGCTTTAACATGAACTTTTTAGAAGTATTGGTTAGAGGTGCACTGATACATTTTTCCTGATCCAATCTGATACCAATACCTGGGCTGAACATATCGGCCGATATCCAATACCGATCCAATACTACTGTTGAATGAATGAACTGTATACCTCACCCTGTGAGTGAAGGCATCAGACTTGACATTAGCCTTGTTAAAAAAAGGTAACAAATTAACAAAGATATAAATTTGGTTAATATTATTTATTAACAAATAACAAATTGCACATTAGCACACAGCAAAAAGAAGACTGCCATGTAAACATTTAGTGCAGAAGGATGGACAGACATAGAATATAGAGCGAACAGAATCGCTGTGTTGCTGCATATGATAAAGGACAAAAAGACTGGATCAGAACGCTGGATCGATGTCATCCATCAGATATCTGGTCCAGTTAATTTGTCAACATCGGAGTCGATATCCAATCCAAACATCGGATCGGTGCATCCCTAGTAAAGGGTGTTAGGGGTTTCTAGTAAAAGCAGCTTTTTCTCGAAAGAGTTAGTGACAGTGCAGAATAACAACTTGTTGATTTCCTTCTACTGTTTTGTCTTTCAGCCATCTGTCATTCCTCCTCTGGGGATTTCCTCTGAGATTAGCGCAGGGAAAACTTCATCTAACTTTATCACACTGCATCTGGTTCACCAAGGTCGTCTTAGCTCATTCGCCGCCTTGTCACAGGAGTACACTTGAACGTTCAGAGTCTAGGAGTAAGGCGGTTCTTCAAGTCAGGCAACTCTTACAAGAGCTCTCTACTTAGCCCCAGACATAACACCTCTTCTGTCGACATGTGTATGTCTGATGCTTAATATGGGTCTCGTGAGGGTGTTTTTCTGAACTGTGTCATTAGCCTTGTTAAGAAACAGCCTGTGACTGCAATCTTAATGTAATCATCAGTCATGTGAAAGCCGGAGCAGATAATCTCATTTCTGTGTGTATGCACATGTAGATCTACGTGTGTGCAGACCATGCAGACACCTCCAGATTAGTGTTGGCTTAGTTACTGGATTTGTAGTGAGTTAAGTTTGGTAAAATGAGAATATAATACCAGCGGGTACAATTTTAATACAGTTTCTGTGTATTATATATGTGAGTCCCAAACTTCTTGGTAAATGACAGACAGTACAATACAGCCAATTGTACAGCAAAGTAAAAGAAGATTATTTTATTTGAATAAATCCATGGAGTTTCCCTCTCTCACTCTCATAAGAACTTCTCTTCTTGTATCTTCAGCTGTTAGAAGTTAGTCAGCTCTTTAGCCATCTGTTCACATTAACAGAGCTGCCTAATAAAGAGGATATTGGGTTTGGTAAGCCACTGTTTGGAGACAGAGGCTTTTACTCAGTTCAAAGTCTGAAACCCAGAGGACATCCACTGTAAATCACTGCTCAGTCAGCCGGGCGTACCAATGAGACACTCATGTTGTCATTGCGACACAGAACTGTCTGCCTACAGTATTTACTATAAGCTCTAATTATCCATTTATCGAATATTGGAACAGCTTGCGAAATACGTCTCAGGGTGGATTTGTTTACTATGCAGTTGGCGACCACTGAACTTTTGTGAACCCCAGTGTTTGTCTGTGGTTGAAACGGAGGAGGAAGTAGCAATCAGGGCCTTGTCATTCACATAGTTGCTAAAGTCATGGCACAGAAGTCAGGAATGTGGACAGACTGAAGAACAGCCCACGGCAGAGATGATGTTTTATTGTGACAGAGCAACCCCTCTGCTAACATCTGTCACCACTAGGATGTGCATTCATTGATTAAATTTGTGAAACCCCTCCATCCCAGATCCATCAACGTTGGATCTGCCTCAGGCTGCTTGAGTAATGGTAATGGATTTTGGTTTACTTGGTTTCACAGAGGAGATTAAAACTTCATCATATAATTGAAGCGTTTGAAACGATAAGTTGTTTCTTTATGATTGGGTCACATCTAACAGAAGTAATGTGACAATCCTGGTGACATTTTTAAACTCAAGTCGAGGTTCTCATGGGCATGACCAAAACAGCAACAGAGAAAATATTTTGCTTTTCATCAGTCGAAGACAAAGTACCTCAACTTACTGTAGCGCCTATCCAAAACCAATGTGGTCAGAATGGAGAAACCCTCGTTTAACGGGATGCCAGGAGACACCGCAGCATATCTGGCTTTAGGGATTGGAAAAGCTACTTTTCGACTGCAAGGCCAGCGAAGACTTAGAGCTTGAGATGTTTTTATTCACATAAAACAGAGTCAAGAAGATTCGGATGTGAGGAGAACATTTTGGTTGAAGTTTTTCCCCACGGCAGGTGCTGAAGGTTCAAAACATGATTGAAATGAAACGAAATGGGATCATCATTCTCGAGCTGTTTACTTCTCATGATTGACGCAGTTTGAATTGTCAGCCCGGCTTACAGATAATTTCCTTCGCAATAAGACTGAATCAGACTAACTTTGCCTGAAGGGATATGATTATTACTGAAATAAGTCCAGCAGTGGAAACCAGACTAATGAGTGAGGCCCGTCTAGCCATATCAGGCTCAGTCGTTGATTAAGCTCCCCGCTAAACCTTGTACAATGTAACTGAACACTTGTCTGCTCAAATGGTGCCCTTTTGATATATATGAGACTGAAAATATACACTGTAATTTGGACTTTCCAGTCTTTAGTCCATTTAGTCATCATTATAGTCTCTATAGTAAAATATAGGAGGAACCGCCATAAACACACACATAACTCACATTCCTCTCAGTGTTAGAAACCATGCTTGGTAATGGATTCCTTATACGTGGAAACTTTTTTAACCTTCTTGTACTTTTCTTGTTCTCAGTTTAGAAACATCCTCACAAGACAGTTTTATTTTGTTACTTCAAAAAACTTCACCGTTCAACGCCGAAGCGATACTTTATTGATGAAAACATTCAGCCATTTCTTATTTATGTGTCCGAGGATGGATGGTGAGTGAATAACGACAGCAGACATTTCCACGGGGTGCTTTGCCAGTCAAAGCAGCCATTGTTTATTGTCTCTTTAATTGTGGTCTAGTCAACCAGCAGAAGATAAAGCAGTGGAAACAAAGCTTCCCACATGATATACAACTTGTAGATTATACTGCTATATCATCCAGACAAGAGCTTATGGATTGTCTTCAACATAACACACACATCATTATTTTTCTGTTTGAAGTGAAGATGAGGCGGCTGCATAAATATCAGTGTTTCCTTTACACTTCTTTGCATCGAGGGCCTCACATGTAAGAAGACGCCAGTTTGTTATCTTCGTTCACACACACAAGAGTAGACAGACAGACAGACAGACGGACCACAGAGCCGTTCACTGTGGGGTTGACCTTGATGTACCAAAGTCAAGACTGTGTATGTGTACATGTTTGAGTGTGTAAGAGCAGTTTGAGTGGTTAGATAATGCTTTGGAGGCCCACTATAAGTCCACTTGGGCAGTCTCCAGCCTTTCTGCCTCCATACAAAGCTCAAGAGGGCTTCAGTCGGCTGCAGGGTGTCCTCTCAATCACACACACAGAAAGTACGCAGTGCTGAACAAGAGGGCAACTTTGGCATCGTCCTGTGATATTCTCTGGGATTTTCATCTCTATATTCAAACATACATTAAGAAAGCACAAGGGCCAGATGGTCATGCACACAAAAGCATACACACACACACACACATGATCTCATTTCTCTCTTTCTCTCTCTCAGCAGAGTAGATAAAAGTTTTCAAAGACAACCAATCAAATAAAATCCAAAATTTTTTTATCTAGCGCCAATTTGCAAGCTGTTATCCCAAGACGTTTTCCAAAGAAAAAGAGCAGGTCTGGACCACGCTCATTTTTTGATGAATTATCAAGACCCAGCTTTAAGATGGGACAGATTTGACCCATTTCATCTAACATGAGTGACAGTGGCAAAGAAAAACTATAACAGGCAGAAACCTGGGGAAGGACCAGACTCATGTTAGACAGCTACCAAGCAGCTGCAGGGTTGGGAAGAAATACAGAGATAGGGAGGAAGAGAGAGAGAGAGGAGTAGGAGAGAGGGCAGGGGTAGAGAAAGAGAACAAGGGAGAAGGAAGGAGAGGGAGAGAAGATAGAAACCGATGGATTAAGCTGACGTTGATAACCTTTCTTGCAAACTCTGAGTGAAAGACAAGAAACACTTCCATGACATAAGAGGGCCGTTCATGTGGAGGTGATAACCAAAACATGGTGTGGACATTCAAATGCTGGCATTGAAGATAGCAGCAGCAGCAGCCACAGTGAGAAGATAACATTCGAAACAGAACCCACACTCAAAGCCAACTGCGTAGAGAAAAGTGATGAAAAAAAACCCTAAATACTTTCATCGCTTTGTGATCATGTTGTTTGTCCATAATCATGCATGTTACAGCAGCAAAACTGTGATTTCTCTTTGTAGTATTTGTGTTTCGGCGAAAGGCTTCTTGTCCAGTTCATCTCCGTACACCGGTCATGTGAATCCTTGTTATATGATCGTCTCATTATCCTTTTGATTTATTTGTTCTTTTCATGTGTTTGTGTGTCTGTTTTTTTTCCTCCTAGGTCGAGGTGATATCCAACCTCAGCTGGACAGCGCCATGCAGGATGTCAGTGATAAATATATTCTGCTGGAAGAAACAGAGAAACAGGCTCTGAGGAAGGCTCTCATAGAGGACAGACAGAGATTCTGCTGTTTCGTAGCCATGCTGCAGCCTGTAGTGGTGAGTAAAAGAGAATAAAGCCTTTACAAGCTCCACTGTGTCTTTGCTGGAAAAGTACATCTCTATCCTTGCAGTGCTCTAGACTACTGTACTTTTACATTTTTACACTTTGTTCATTGTTGTTATCTGAGGAGGAATTGTTCCATTATTTGTCAGGTCTTAAAACAAAATGCACTCTCCGCCATTTGTTCTTCTAGGACGAGGAGATTTCTATGTTGGGAGAGGTCACCCACCTTCAAGCTATCTCCGACGACCTCAAAGCCCTGACCTCTGACCCACACAAGCTCCCCCCTGCGAGTGAACAGGTGAGGAAAAATAATAAAGATGGCAGCTCATGAACAATGAACTTAAACTGGCACAACTGACCCGAGGTGACGCTCTTTGGTGTGGAGTCTTTCATCTTCACAGGTGTGTGTGTGTGTGTGTCTGTGTGACTAATATTTTCCGCTCTCTCAGGTGATCTTGGATCTGAAAGGCTCAGACTACGGTTGGTCATACCAGACACCACCCTCATCCCCCAGCACCACCATGTCCAGGAAATCCAGCATGTGTAGGTAGGTGACTAGAGCCAAATTACAAGATCCACAGCGACATAGAAGTGGAGTAAGACCCAGACTTTTCAGTGCACTCTCTGCACTGTCTAAAAAACATCTCGTATGATTGAATGAATGGCACCGACTGGAAAACAAAATTACCACAGTTATTTTCTTCAGCTATTTCCAAGAACTACGAAAATGAGGGTGAAATACCTGAACATAGCCAAGTTATAGGTTACATCAGAGCATCAGATTTACACACAGGATCCATAGAAATCTGAAACCCTCCCAGTGGCTGTGAGTTTTTCCTGGGAGGCCTCTGTGTTATGGGTGGGCAGCAAGGACATGGAGAAAAAACTCTGTGTTGTCTAATCTGTGTCTGCCACCCAGTGGTTGATTCTAGCTGGAGAAGTTAGCAAACTCTGTTTTTCTTTGTTGACCTCATTAAGTTACATTGAAGAGACCTTTGCTGTCAAAGTAAAGGCAGAAATAAGTTTTAAATGTGCAACCTGGCATGTTTGCTGAGAGGGATATTTAAAAACAATTGAAATCAGAGATTAAAGCGTTGAAAGGTTTCTTCAGTCATAGCTCTTCAGACCATGACCTCTGCATTCTCTCCTTCCTGCTTCACGTTTCTCATAGTGGTTTTTCCCAAACTTTTGCGGGTTACAGGAACAAACCGTATGCCTGGGTGGAGCTGCTTTGCATTTGCTCAGTCAAAGCTTTGAGGCTTCAGTTTTGGGGTTGTGGGCTAATCAGCAGCTTAATTGCCTTCTAGTTTGTCAAAATGCAAAAAAAAAGAGCAATTTAAGTGTTTTATTGTAACCAAGAATTTTAACTTTATTACCACTTATAATTTCCAAATCATTCTGCGCCGAATGTTTTTGATGATTTTGATGCTTTTTATTGATTATTTTCACAAACTTGAAAGTACAGAAGCTAAAAATATTAAGTTGACATACGATTTGCTTCATAATTTTGAGCATATTCCCACTTTTATACGACCTTTACACGTCCAGAGAGTTGCTTTCAAGTTTGAAGTCACACTGTAATTGAATCTCAATAATTGCACCAGGATACTTGGTCGATGCTGTTGTCGGTTTTCAAGTGGAAACTCTCAAACAGCCGTGTCAAAGGCATGAAATCTTGTGAATTCCCGCCCTGTGATTATTGTGGTAATGATATCACGCCGCTCATGTTGGTTTGTTTTGTTGTTCTGACTGGTTCGGCCTCAGTCACTGCCTGCTGCATCTTGGTGTGCCGTGTTAATTGTTTCCCACCCTGTCTCCTCCACATCCCCTCCCCCCCACCCCAATCCTCTCCTCGTTGTTCCTGTTACCTCTTTCTTATCCAATTTTCCTCCTTTTCCAAATCCTTGTCTTTGGGTGCACTTTGATTCCCCTTCACCCCCTGCCTGTCACTGCCAAACTTCTCCTTCCTCCTCATCCTTCACCTCCCCCCCTTCACAGTAGTCTGAACAGCGTTAACAGTAGTGACTCCAGGGGATCCAGTGGCTCCCACTCTCATTCTCCTTCCTCCTCTTCTTCCTCCTCTTCCTCACACCACCTCTTCCACCACCATCACCCCCGCCATCGGTACCGCAGCTCCACACTACCCCAGCAGACCCCGGCTCGGCTCTCCAGCATCTCCTCCCACGACTCTGGCTTCATTTCTTCATCACAGGACCAATACACGTCGTCCAAATCATCCTCTCCTATGCCAGCTGATACGAAGGTAAGAAAAAGCTCTCTTCTCTCCCCGCATTTAACCATAATTCCAGCTTAGAGCAAGAACACGACTATAAAACTCCCTCTGCTGTATGATTTACAGGTCATTGTAGTCAGGGACAGAGAGAAAACCCCCAATCAGCAATCCACAAAAGTCTTTCTCACACATCTCCCCCCAGCCACTCTCAGAGGCAGTTTGCTGGCAGCGGGGAGCATATGTGATCATGGTGAAGTCATTTCACTACTATTATTATAGCATAAATGCACAGGAAATGAGTCTGCCTCCATTCTAGCCCAGGGCATAACAGGTCAGCCCCATCCTGCTATTAGAGAATCAACCGCTGTGACAGACTGTGGTTCGGTTCAACTCGCAGGGGCCTGATCACGCTGTGCCATGTATTATCATTACATGTATCACAGTAAAATGAGAAATCACTGTGTCAACACTGTTTTCCACTCACTGGGAGCACGTCTTTTACCAGCAGGTCTCTTTTATCGCACCATCTGACACAGACTTTGTGATAATTATCGATGTAATAGTCCGGGGGATCGCCTGTGTGAGGCTTTCGCGGTTTCAGATCAGCCGTAAGAGCGGCAGGCTGAATTAGATGACGTTTTGTCAGGCGCCAACAACCAGAGTTCTCCTGTCCAGAACACAGCGGTGGAGTTGAGACTCCAAATTTTTATGATGCAGAGAGGGTGGTTTGGCAAGAACGTGTATGACCCATTTACAGTTTGGTCCCAGGAATCAGCCCTCTCCCCAGCTTTTTCTTCGAGTAGATACTGTAGTTGATGTTTGAATGAGTGTCATGGGTAAAAAGGGCTTACTGGGGCTTACGTTTGAACCCACTGCTGGTTAGGGAGCGACAACTCTTGTACTTGAATCAGATTTCTTAAATTCACATCATTTTTTTATAGAATGTTAGACACGGCTGACTCCAACCTCTTTTCTCCTTCTGAAGGACTGTATAAAGAGCAATTATTCCCTCCTGGAGGCTATCACCGAGAATGAATTATTAACCGTGATGCTGATTGCTAATAGTTCCCTTTAAACACACACACACACACACACTCACACGTGGGTTTGTGGGGATATTTTTAACATCCAGAGAAAGTCCTGTATTCTCTCATCGGTGCTCCAACACTTGACATATCTAAGAAATCAATGTTGGTATGACTCCTGGTGCCCCTCACTTGGCTGTACTCCTCACTAACTGCTGAGAACTGTGGAAAAGTTGCAGCTGCTCTCTAACAAACTGCTCCTCCCTGCTTCACTACCTGCTGACATGTCTGTCTTTGCATTTCTGCCCCCTCTGCTCATGTCTGTCTGTCTCCATTTCTCCCACCCCCACCCCCCCTCTTTTTCCTCTATCCTTCCTCTGGTCTCCTCTCACTGCCTGCTTGCTGCTGCTGCTGCCCTTGCTGTCCCAGCCTTGTCCCAGTTCCAGGTCCTCTGAGGTGTCAGAGACTGGGCAGCAGCTTCACAGTGACTGCAGCTCCCCCTCCTCTCTAGCTGCTGCTACTGCACCTCAGCACGCTACTGACAAGGTGAAACACACTTAACCTTCTTACAGATGTTCATGTTTGTCCACTGTACGGCTCTAACCTGCACCACAGCTCCTGTCTACTAAACTTCAACTTCAGATCATCACCTGTGTGTTTGTTTGAGGATCATTTGTGGTTGTTTCCTTTTTGTTCCATCAATTTTGATTTATTTTTGGGTTCCTCTGAATTATTTCTCCTCAGTTATTTGCTCATTTTGGCTGTTTTTTTTTCATTTCTGTTTCATTAATTTATCCCGTTGTATTTTGTTGTTTTTGTCTGTTTGTGTTATGGTCCTGCACACGCACACATCCAGCTATCCAATGGTTTTGACCACTACAGTCCTGCAAATTCCCCCTACATGCATAGCAATGGGGGGAGTTTGGGTTCCAGCAACGCCTTCCTCTTCTTCCCTCCTTCCTCCTCATCCTCCACCTCCACTTCCTGCCCTACCCGCTCATGGTCACGTCCCGCCTCGGCCTTGCTGCCAGACTACCCTCAATACTGCACGATGGGCTCCCCCATGGTGCCTTCATCACGTGTCCCCAGCTGGAAGGTTTGTCCATCACTCTGGTCTTGGTGATCATCTTGTGTCCCATTCTCCTTACATGTTTTTATAATGTTTAAGACGTCTAATGTTGAGAGCTAAAAAGAGGGTGAACAGTCAGAGTAATGCAAATTTTCAACACTGATATGTCCGTCCTTATAGGACTGGGCTAAACCGGGCCCCTACGACCAGCCCATGGTCAACACTCTGAGGAGGAAGAAAGACAAAGAGACCCCAGCTGTGGTGGACAGTAACGGTAGCATCCCAGGGCCAATCTCGAACACAGCGCAGACCTCAGCTGCTCTCCAAACATCTGCACCTGTGGAGGAGAAGAGCAGGACTGTGGCTGCAACTCTCAAGGTCAGATTTGTCAAACAGTTTGAATTTTTTACAGGAGTTATTAAAAAAGTGAGATGGACTTCATTTGATTACTCCTCCTGTTATGATGTATAATCACAGTCTGCCTTTGGTCATTAGCAATAATGCTTCAGACTCAGACTTTGGTTATCTGCTATAGATGTCTGATTTTTATTTTAGATAGAAATTAGAAGAAGAAGAAGAATTTTATTGATTTCCGAAGGGAAATTCAATGACATTTGTTATTAATAGCTACTCCAGCATTTGTGGGATGTTCTGTCCTTCTGATACTCTTCTTCTTCTTCTTCTTCTTCTTCTTCTTCTTGTCCTTCTTTTCTTCTTTTTTTTCATCTTCTTTTTCTTCTTTTTTTTCGTCTTCTTTTTCTACTCCCTCGTCTTCCTCTTCTCCATATTTTCTTCTTTTTATATCTTCTTTTTCTTCTTCCTCTGTTCTTCTTCTTTTCTTCTTTTCTTCTTCTTCTTCCTGCACTTCTTCTTTATCTTTTTCTTCTTCTTCCCCTTCTTTTCTTCTTCTTCTTCTCCTTTTTCTTCTTCCTCTTCTTCCTCTTTTCTTCTTTTTTTCTTCTTTTCTTCTTTTTCATCTTCTTTTTCTTCTTCCTCTGTTCTTCTTCTTTTCTTCTTTTCTTCTTCTTCCTGCACTTCTTCTTTATCTTTTTCTTCTTCTTCCCCTTCTTTTCTTCTTCTTCTTTTTCTTCTTCTTTCCTCTCTTTCTTCTTCTTGTTCTTTTCTTCTTTTCCCTCTTCTCTTCTTCCTCTTTTCTTCTTTTTCTTCTTCTCCTTCTTTTCTTCTTTTTCATCTCCTTTTTCTTTTTCCGCTTCTTCCTCTTTTCTTCTTCTTTTTCTTCTTTTCTTCTTCTTGTTCTTTTTCTTCTTTTCTTCTCTTTCTTAGTCTTCTTTTTTCTTCTTTTCTTCTCCTTTTATTATTTTCATCTTCTTTTTCTTCTTTTCTTCTTCTTTTTCTTCTTCTTCTTCTTCTATGATTGCAAACACTCTTCCCCTTCTGCTCTTTATCTTTCTGCTCAAAAACATACATCGACAGGGTCTCCTGATGTCAAATGACCATGAAAAACAAGCATTGTTGGGTAATTCGTGCGTTTGGCCCAAAGTCAGAGGACATTTATGGCTCATGGGTTGTGTAATTTCAAAGAGTGTTTACATTGAACTCTAAGCAGTGTGTTCACAGTCTGACATTTAGACAACATGAATAGGCCTCTCACTAGCAATTTTCTCATTTAGTGGCATAATGACCTGTACTTTATGATTGTAATGACTTAAATAGATTATATGCGGCTGTGTCCAGACAGTCAGGCCTTCAGACCCCATTACTGAATGGTTTTGTCTCTGATTGGTTGCTAAAGGCTGGAGATATCGAGGCCCATGAGGAACTGGCTCTGGCTTTATCTAGAGGTCTGGAGCTGGACACCCAGAGGTCCAGCAGAGACTCAATCCAGTGTTCAAGTGGCTACAGCACACAGACGAACACGCCCTGCTGCTCTGAGGACACAATACCCTCACAAGGTAAGAGTTTTTTTTTCCCACGGTCAGATAGCGATCAGTGTGACTGTGAACGTCTGCTTCCCTCCTCTTGAGTTATGAAACACACTCACTGGTTGTGTCAGTGTGCTGTTAACCCCTCTGTTTGTTCTCTTTAGTATCGGACTATGATTATTTCTCCATGGCGGGGGATCAGGAGACTGAGCAGCAGTCTGACTTTGATAAGTCCTCCACCATCCCCAGGAACAGCGACATCAGTCAGTCCTACAGACTCATGTTCCAGAGCAAACGGCCTGCCTCCACAGCCGGTCTGCCCAGCACACAGGCTCCTTATCCTGGACAGGGGACCTACCCTGCAGGGCCCTATCCCCCTACACCCATCCACACTGGGGCTTATCCTACGACCCCCACAGGTACAGACTACACTGTTTCAGCTTGATATGTGGTTCTGAAATTCTTACATCTGTACTGACTTTCCCTTTCTTGGCTGATTTGTGCTCTGTTGTTGCAGGTTCGAGTTCGGGTCAGGCTTTTTATTCTGGATCCCACAATGCCCCCAGCTCCTATTCTTCAGGCCATGGTCCAGTTATCGTAACACCCGGGGTCGCCACAATCCGTCGCACCCCTTCTTCAAAACCCTCCGCCCGCCGTTCAGGCTCAATCGTAGGAACAGGTCCTATCCCTATCCGCACACCTGTCGTCCCAGTGAAAATCCCCACAGTGCCTGACATGACGGGAGCTGTAAACGGGAACAGGAGTGCAGAGGAGAGCCGAGGAGACGAAAGCCCAGATTCTCCGACATTTGCCGGGGGCGGGGATCCTGGCACTCTGCCTGTAATGTCCTGGAGCGGTCAGGCCACAACTAATCCTCCCACTATACCCCAGTCCAATCAGCAGCACCTGCAGGGTGAGACGGGGCAGAACGGAGGAGAGGAGGGAGGCGAAGGGTCAGAGGGCAACATGCTGGTAGCCATCCGCAAGGGAGTCAAGCTGAAGAGAACCCTGACCAATGACCGATCGGCACCACGCATCCCATGATCATTTGACACCAAGGAAAAACACAAGCTTCGTCAAAGAAGTGCAGCTCTTCCTTTATGTCAAGGGCTCTCAAAAAATGTTGCTGATAGAGTTAAGATGTACAGAATCTAAGGCTCCTTGTTGTACAATCAACAATTCTTACGCTGTTTAATTTCTCCTACAGAAATAATCTTCAATCACCCAGAGAAGAAAGGCCGTTCTTCTTGTTTTATAACTTGACGTATAATGTCTAAAAACAGTCAAGTGGTTAAGATTTTGGTTTGGATCACGAGCCAGAACAAGTCTTAGGCCTTAGCACCAAAATGCTTTTGCAAATCCGAGCCCACAGCTGTGTGATGAAACACAAGCGGATGTTTTTTTGAGTCAGTAAATAACCAGGAGGACTGAGCTGCGTAACACTAGAGGACAGTGAAGATGTATTTTATTAACCTGTATACAGTATTCTCCCTGAAGCAGAGGGTTGGACAATGTGCATGTGTATATAAACACCGTGTATTATATGTAAACACTCATTGTTTAGGGAGTGCATTGTACCATTGTGGGACAAATAAGCATTCCAACTGCCAACTGACTTGGCAGAAGGAGCACGACAAGAAATTCAAGTACCACGCAGCGCCAGGAGAGAAACAAACAGGTGCATCTGAGAGTAAGGACTCCAGTGTCCAAGCTCCCTGATGTACCATTTGGCATCCCCAGAACTGCAAGGACTGCTCACTCTGAGGGACGCCCTGCAGGCTGCAGGAGGATGCTGTGTCATCAAAGCTGTTTTCCGTTCACAGTTCAAACATGTGAGATTTCCTCAGAGCCAATATTGGGAGGCATGAGTAATACAGAGAGCTTGTTGCTAAGCTAACAACCTGGCTTTGAGTTGAAGTCAGAGTTGAACGAGACAACAGTCTGACTCAAGTGTCACATTGTTGATTCCATGACATCAAGAGACACTTAATTTGAGTTGTTTTTCCATCGCGTGTAAATAATTTTGCATGTCCAGGAGTTAATTTGTGCTCCTCTCTTTCATATCTTTGTAGTTTTCCATTTCACTTATCCTTCTACACCTCCACAGAGCCACAATCATTGAGTGAAGATCATCTTCACACATGATCTTATAGAACTGCCTCGCCTAAAAAGCTGTTTTGGTTTTATTTTCTGTACTGATCTCTTAAATCTGTTATATCTACAGGCTAAGATTCGTTAAATCCTAAGTGGTATTTGTTTACACATTATCCCTTGTGTATTAGCCTTTTTCTTTTTTTTGCAGCTTTTATTAGCCATACTGCAATCAGCTGTGCATTAATGAGCCTTTAGTGTAACTAAGAAATGTCCAAGTACAGATGTGCCGTCTGGAAACTCAACGTAAAATCTATAAATATAAGGACATTTTTATCAAAGTTAGTTTAACTGCATCAGTGGAAAGATATGTGTGTGGATATACCACACTGTTCCTCCTGCTGTTCTGTTGACTTTTTAACAACAACAATGTAGCCTGCATGCTCATCATCTATAGGTTTTAACATCTGTAATCTTAAAATGTTCTTCACATTCACATTAAACTCTCTAGTTTCCACTTAGGTACATTTTTAGAGAGTTTGTCTTATTTTGGACATAAGTGTTTTTTGGGGGCTTCCTCAGATTGCAGCATTGTAAAACAAAAGCATTTAGTAATTTTGAATTATATCTTTTACTTTAGTTCAGGCACTGTGAGAACATGGCTACTACAACATATATGAAACTGTAAATGTTATATAGCTGTACAAGTTAATCCAGAAACATTTTAATTTATTTCCTTTTTCTCTCTTTGAAATCACATTTTAGTTCTTAACCTATGTCTATTTTTGTACTTGTATGAAATATCAAATAATAGAGTTGTTTCATCTATCCACGCATGTTCATTGAAAGGTTCATGGCTGTCCTGCTACACTTCGTTGTGTCCCTTATTTCAAACAGACGTATGTTGTGTAAACTGCATTTTAATTAAGTAGAGTTAAGTTCGTCCCTTTGACGTCCAGATAAAGTTAAGTTATATACCGGAGAAGTTTGCATCAGTATTATGAGTTCAGGCTGTGGGTATTTGAGTCCAGTTTGGTTTCATTTCAGATAACAGTGCATTGTCTTTGAATCATTTTATCAGAGCTATATATTAACACTCATTTTTGGAAAGTTGACTGACAGCAGTCCTGTGATAATTTTGCTAGAACAGCCAACGATATTTCCCTGAGGTTCATTTTAGGGCTCTAGTTTAATCAGTTTTTAACAAACGGCACACTGCCCACAGTCTCTGACCTAACCTGATCGAAGTTTTCCAATGTCTTTGCATGAAAGCCCAGTTAATTTCTTCACTGTAACCAGGTTTCATATGTATTTTATATTTTGAAAGTACAATAGATGGCAATAAAAGAAAGGATGAAGCCAGTCAGAACCCAGACTGTGAACCAGGGTGAGCACATAAACCAATATAGAGGAAAAAAAAGCTCTTTACTGTTAAATTTGAGCTTCCCAAAAATAAGGTAACTGTGAAGCTGTTTGGAAAATTGAGCGTTCAGTTTTTGATGTTGTTAGCGATGTGAATAATTCTGTTTTTGTTTGTTTTCTGGCCGTCCATATGTCTAAATCTTGTATTATAAACTTGTAAGTTGCATATTTAAATTGCTAGCACAGATATATATTATATCAGAGTTGCCAAATGTCTGTATATCCTATAATAATAAGTTTGTGAGCGTTGGAAAATACACTCAAACCTGGTTTCTTGTTTAGTTTTTTTTTCCTCCTTGAAAAACATTTGAGTTATTTCCTTCACAGGAGAGTTGACCTCTCTGTCCCTGTACAGTTTAACAGCCTTTGATGCAGTTTGTTTCAGCAGGTAAAGATTGTTATTTTTTTGTGTAATGACAGCTTTAGCAATATAATAAAAAAAATACAAATTATGTATTGGCTCTGCCTTCCTGAATGTGCATGTTTACAATTTCTCCTGAGTGTTGAGAGTAAGATGAGCCAAAGGGTAGTAGTAGGGATACGGCTCAACTTACCCCGCTTCTATGGTCAACTTACCCCATATACAGGGTAAGATGACCAAAGGAGACCACTTTTTTGGCATGCTATATTATCTAGACCAGTGGTTCTCAAGTCCAGTCCTCGAGCCCCCACTGTCCTGCATGTTTTGGATGTTTCCCTGCTCCAACACACCTGATTCAAATGATCAGCTCGTTATTAAGCCATGACAGAGCTTGATAACGAGCTGATCATTTGAATCAGGTGTGTTGGAGCAGGGAAACATCCTAAACATGCAGGAAAGGGGGGGCTTGAGGACTGAACTTGAGAACCACTGATCTAGACAGTTATGTTTACACTCATTCTGTTGGTTTTAAGGGATGCCCAACATCTTGAAATATATGCAGATACACTAGTTAGTGACAAAACTATGATTGCCTTGATGTAGTGATCTGAAATATGAAAAATGGCTCATCTCACCCCACTCTCCCCTATATAAAAAACAGGTTTTGTGGGTGGGAAGGAAGTGACACACGGTGGACTGATGTATGAAGCCTTCCCTCCCTCAAATCAGAATGTCAATAGATGAAGTTCCTTGTTCAGCCACAAGGGGGCGCCATTGTCTGAGTTTCCTGCCAACACCCATACTTATGATACATCGCTGCTCTCGTCCTCAGGGGCCAGAAAACACTTGTCTAATCAATAAAAGTAAAACCACAACAATGAATCAGCCTGTCTGAGAGCTTAGGCATGAATCAGGAACTAGGTGAATTAATGAGGAGCCAACCAACAGCCTTTTTCGCTTTTACCTCGAGTCTCCTCCTCGAAACTAATAACTTCCACATGGTATCATATTTTTTTTCACTGGGTGTGGACTTACTGTAGTGGACTTGAATAGCTAAAATGCCCCACGTGTATATCAGCAGAGGGAGGGGAGGAAACACCCAACAGACACAAACACTCCCTTAAAAAAGAAAAGCACGTGATTTACAGTCGATTTTATAAACCTGTAACTCTGAATCCACTGTGTAAATTTGAGTTAAATGAATTAAAAAATATATATGCGTGCACTAGAACCCTTTTTCCTGACTTGAAATTGTTAATTTTGGGCTCGAACAAGCGTAGTACCCTATAATCTGAACACAGCTTCATTGTGCCTGTGCTCCGGTGTTGTGTCGTAAAATGCACCCTTGCCGTCGAATGCACTCCCCGCATCCTATCCATTCATTAGCTTCTTAAAGTGGAAGAAAATGATCTCATTTAAAAAAAAAACACGAGTATTGGATCATGACAACATGTTAAATTGACTACGAAACATTCTTTTTATTTTTATGTGTCATAAAAATGCGCATATAGAGGTGTACTTGGGTGTATAAACTGTACAGTAAGCTGTTAAGGTAGAGAGCATAATATTTTCGGCTATTTTTTCGGCTTATCTAAATAACCTGAATAAAATCATTGAAGGCACAGGCTTTGAGTCCATTAAACGGTAAGTAAAACTTGGATTATTTCGCATTGTCGTGTACTTTCAACCGCGCTCTCGTAAAGGGGTGCAGTCTTCGGCAGGGGTGCATTCTACGGCACAACACCCCCGGCCGTACGTACGTGCGGCACTGCCGTCAGAGTTACGCACGGAGGAAAGCAGCGCTCCTATTGGAAAGTATTTTCGTGGACGCTGGTGCCCTCCCATCCGCCTCACACACCATCCTGTCAAACAGAGGTTACACCAGCTGGGATTACGCTAGCGAAAATGTGATATTGAACAAATCCTACAGCCAATTTTCAGATTGAGGCAGTTTGTGTGAATCTGCGAGATTTGACAGCAGCGAAGGAAGAAGAAGAGGAGCCGTGCGCGCCGGAGCAGCTGCTGTGTTTTCAAGGTTTCCTGTGGAGGTTGTTGGACGGGACAGAGGAGCATCGACTGAGGTACGTCCGAGAAGACAAGTTACAGTTTAAAATGTTCACACGTTCTTATTCTTATCCTAACACAGAAGGCGAGCGAACAGTATCGTCCTGAATAAAGAGTATCTTGTTGTCAGGCCCATTTTTGCCCTCAGATAACCCGGGCTGCCTCCAGATGGAGGATGTGTGGGATGTTTCCATGCCACGGTTGCAGCGATAACTCCACAAATTATTACGTAAAGCAGCATGCCATGTGTTTTTAACCCAGTACGTCCTCGTTTACTATCATCCATCAGGTCCACGGCTTTCCACTTCACCTCCATCCCTAGAGATGCTGCCTTGTCTGCGGAGAGCTCTGCGGCCCGCCCTCTCTCTGAGAGCCGGGGCTGGGTTAACCTCAGCCGGACTCAGCAGCCACCAAACTCCCGCTGTATCATCGCCGGCCCGGTCCTCCTCAGAGTCGCCCCCCTTCACGCTGCTGCAGCGGTGTCACCTGGGCACACACCCGCTGAAGGAGCCCGTGGAGCCCCTTAACTCGCCCCGGGGAGCCAAGGAGTTTATTTATAGCCTTCATCCGTCTGAACGTACCTGTCTGCTGCGAGAACTGCACAGGTTCGAGTCCATAGCTATTGCTCAAGGTAAGTGATGGTCCACAGAAATCATTGTATGTCTACATTGCAAGGGGAATAAGGCTGAAAATCAATGAAAACACAATTCAGGCATACTCCACATTGTAGACATTGTTTTGACAGGCAGAATGAAGGGTCTTACATAACAAGAGATAATAAATTAGAGCCCACAAAACTGATGCAGTAGCTTAGTTTATTGTTTTAATCTTGATGGTAGTGAGCCCCACCAGCTCACAGTTGGATCGAGTTCTCCTCACTGCACCACTATATGATAAAAGGTTATTATCTGCATACAGTTAAAGGCTGCAGCATCTAACAAGCTGCAGTGAAAGAAGCAGTCTGTAGTATCAATAAGAGTATTTTGTAGGGCTGGGCCATATGGGAAAAAAATTATCACTATATATTCTTTTCATATCAGTTGATGTGGATATATATCCCAATATAAAAAATGAAATTTAGCTGTGCTTATTGGTAGCATGTCTTTTGCAATACAATAAGCTACTGCATCTGTGAGGTCTTTGTGTCTCTTTGACGTTTTGTCGTAAGGCGTTGCGCTCCTTAAGTGCTATGGTTGCGTGTAGCCTGCTACTACACAGTTGTTTGAAGTGGACCCAGAGAAACTCCCCTTTTCATTGGCTATTCGTATAATTTACCTAAACATGGCAGAATGTCGACTATCGAAAAGCATATTGACCATGTTTTATATCGGTATTGAGGGAAATTAATGTTGGATATATATCGTTATCATTTTAGCATCCAGCCCTAGTATTTTGTCACTAGTACCTAGGATGGCATTATACCTCCTACTATTCAAGACTGGTGTCATTGCAGTTTTCCAATAAACACATAAAATAGGTAATTGGACACCGAAAGCTTAGTTCTATAGTTAGTTGACCCTGACCTCTGACCCCTGACCTCCCTATGAGCACAGAATAACAAAGTCCATTGGCAGTGATCAATAAATATGTCACTATGACTGAACTCATTACTCAATACTCAAGTGGTACGCAAACTGCAGCAGCAGCAAATGTTGCGTTTACACCAGTTGAACAGATAGAGATTTTTACATTCTGTTTAAGGTAAATGTCAGAAGTGTGTATTTATGTTGGATCAGGATGTTGGATTTTTGTTATCGTTGTAGATGCTGCGGACTTTGTTCTCACCTTTTTCTTCCCAAGACATGCATGTCAGGTGATACTTGCAGCTGTGAAAGTGAGTGCTGTTGCTGTTTCAGTGTGGTAAAATGGGAATGTGTCGTTTCTGCAGGTTTGAGCTAAAACTTGTGACTAAAAAAAGGTGCATCGAAAATGGTTTGGCAGTTGTTGTTGTCCTGCAAGGAGCAAAACCAGTCATATTTTTAACCAACAGGCCCTGCAGTTCAGTTTATTTTGAACATGTATGATTCCTCCAAGTTAAAAAAAAGCAGCTACTGTAGCAGGCTTTTAGTCTGGTGTTGTCCTTTAGTGTACGAGTATAGGCCTGAGACCAATGTCTGGTTTCAAGTGTAGGATGAGGAGCACAGTGGATGTCCCACAGATGGAGAGAAAAGCAGGAATTGGGTCGATCGATGTGGAGAGGGGGTTAGAGGTAGAAAGGGAAGAGAGCCATGAGTGATGAAGACAGTTTTCAGAACGCGAGGTTCTCTCCAGGAGTTTACTGCTCCTGTCGCTGACCGTATTTCTTCACAGCAGTACGATGAATACACAAACAAATTGATTTTACAATTTGCTACTTCCTTGTAAAATGGCTTATCGCTCGGTATAAATCAACAACCTTGAAGCCATTGAAAAATAAGTATTAATAAAAAAAAACACCTTTAATGATAAGAATATCTGATCCATCAAACTGAGCCCTGGATTAGTGGATTGAAGATTAGTCGCTTTATCACTGACAGGAGCCTCGTTGTCTCTAGTTTCTCATTGATGGAGAAATGATGGTCATCTTGTGGGACAATTCCCAAATCTGTCAATTCCTGTTCTCAGTGCACTGCATACCAAGATACTTTAAACCATGAATAATGTTGAAGATGTTTACATCAGTTACTGTGTGTAAAAGGCACATCTGCACTGTTTCCTACTAATGAACAGACTACGTTTCTTGATCACCTGTGAGAGGATTTTTAATCACAATCCTGGACCGTCAGTATCAGCCTCTCCAGTCAGAGAGTGATTTCTGATTTCTATATTTCCATATTTTCATCAAAACAATAATTTAGAGAGGGACTTGTGTTGAAGATATTGATTGGATATTTGAGGAGCGAGTGATGATATTAAGTACAAAAACTTGTAATTATTTACTCGAGGCGGGCACAGCTTAGTAAATACGCAGTGTGTTATTAGAGGGGTCAATACTGTGATAACAACATGAATCTCAATGAGATAATGCACATTTAAGTGTGCACATGAGCTTAAACTCTCTCTTTTGCTGTCTTTTGTATTTTTTATGAACAAATTTGTTTGGAGAATGTCCTTCTTAAATCCAAAAAATACCCCAAAATTTCACTTTTAACATTGGCAACATTCAATCTAAGCATAGGGGATTGCAACAAAATGCATGACCATTTTACTCAAACCTCCATCTAGTAGTTAAACACACGCACGCTGTGTCTGGAGGCATACTACCTGTCAGATTCTGGATTAAAGTGCTTCCTTGCTAGGGCTGGGCGATAAACAGAAAGTTTACTGATACCGAATTTTACGACAATAACCGACGTCATTTTGCGCATATCGGTATATTAGTTGTCAAAAAAATTAAAGTTGGATTTGGATGTGTGAAAGTAGGCTATGGTCTCATGTCCCTTTACGACACTGTCCTACGTCAGAGATGTGACTCCACCCCATTCAGTCTGTAACGAAGAGGGAAAGACAGGTGAGGAGATGGAGGATGGTTCAAAAGTTGTAGCGGTTGGAGTGGCAGGTGAAGTAGACGAAGTTAATGTGGGAGGGGGTGAGCAGCATGTGGAGTAGTTATCGTCCAGTTTTTGTTATCGAGGTGAACTGCGCAATATATCGTGATATTAATTTGAGGCAATATCGCCCAGCCCTAGTGGTGCATGATAAATGTGATCCTCCAATTGCCAAGTTTTACCATACAAAATAAAAGCTATCAATACCGATTCTTTTGGTGTACAATTAGGTGCTTCTCATGATTGATAAAAGGTGACAACTCCATTTGATATTATGCTGCTGCTATTCGTTTTCTTGACAATGTGAATTGAAAGAAAGCACAAAGACGAACATATTTTCTTGGTGGCTTCAGTGTTCAGCTCTGTATAGTATGATCCTGCTTCTTAAACATACAGTAAATTATCCGGGGATAAAAACACGCTGCCGTTGGCTATAGTGAGTGGGCTGTTATTGATCCTCCTCCTTCCGTGTACGCTCATTCAGAGTAATAACACTGCTGCTGCTTGGAGCATCTTTTTTCGAACTGAGTCATAATTTTCTCAGTGTGATTAAAAGTAAAAGTTTTAATTACAGCTTAACAGTGTCATCAAACTGTTATTTGCTTAACAGATAAACTGCTGTTTCAGTGGCTTGTTCTTTGCCGCTTGGCGTGTTAATTATTCCTAGATATGATTAAACCCTTCACTTCCTGCATGCTGCTTCCAGGGAGTAGTTTGTTCACCGCAGGAAACAAGGGAAATTGATGTGTATTTTTTATAAACACAAAAACCCAGGTTTCATATCTTTACATATTCCCTGTGTGTGTGTGTGTGTGTGTGTGTGTGTGTGTGTGTGTGTGTGTGTGTGTGTGTGTGTGTGTGTGTGTGTGTGTGTGTGTGTGTGTGTGTGTGTGTGTGTGTTCAGATTCTGGGAGAATTGTCTGAGGGCCTGTCTTTATGAGGTGTTACAGTGAGATCCTCCATGCCCACAGAACCAAAGAAGACATCATTATTCTCTTGTCCTACATGGCTGATTGCATCCTGACCACATGCTGAGAGTCCTCTGTGTGCCATAACACCATCACTGAGCAAGAGCACTTAATCTCATCCCTTATGTGCTCCATGATCGGGAAAGAGGAGACAGCAGAAAAAAAAAACCTATTGCTCTGATTTCATCACTCCTTTCCGCAGAAATGCTCGCCTTTGTTGATTGTTGCATAAAAATAGAGAATTAAGAAGCAACATAAAAAATACAGATACTGTGGCGTGAAAATGAATAGTTTTGGAGCTGGTTTTCTATCACTACTGCTCCCCTTGGCTTGATTCACATCTCAGAGGATAGTGCTTGCTGCTGTGCTGATGTGACTGTTCTCAGAGGACAGATCAGCTCCTCTGCTCTCACCTCTGGGGCCTGTTTGACTAGAACTTGCTCACATCCTCACCTTCACATTATAAAAACCCTCAGGGATTGTCTTACCTACTGTACGTGCGTTCCGGTGATGAGCTGAATCAGTGATTGTTGGAGTGACAGACTTTCTCTCACTCCAGGAAGGTGCCTGACAGATTGATTTTTTTCTGGTTTATCTACATCCATCATCATTCTGCCCCGAGGCTTCATGACCCAGGGACCTAACCCTTATTTTCCATCATGGTCATATACTGGTTTGCTGAGAGTGGAGAGAAGGAGCTGCATGTCTTACTGGCATATCCTCACACTAGACTGTCCTTAGGGTTAATAGAGTTTCCCTGCAGTGTGTCCCTGCTGTTTACTGTCATGGTTGCAGATTATGATCTGGTTTAATATAAATTTGAGCAACAAATAGAATTACCCATTTGAACCAACACAAGCTGCTTTGTCATACATGGAGGTAATAAAACTGTTCCTGTAATATTATTCATTTGAACATTTAACCACGAATAGGTTCTTCCGACCATTTAAGAGCAGCACAACAAGCTCTAAATAAAATATAATCAACACTTAAGTTGAATGTTGTTGCAAAAGTTGCTCTTCAGTACATATTTTTGAAACTGAGCACCACTTGCATCCACTTCTAGCTGTATTTCTGGTCACTTGCTGAATTTCATATCCTCTCCTTTGGCTTGGTTTTTGGTCACTACAAACTCTTAAAGGGAAGCAGATGGCCTTCATCTTCTTAGGTAGTCACTGACTTTGACTCTCAGGTTTTCGTTGCTTTGTTGGTTGCATCCAGTAATTATTTCATAAAGCTATCAACCAAGAAAATGAGATATCTGACACTAAAACAGATTGAGCTGAGGAACCTGCAGAGTCTGTCGAAATATGCGTGTCTCTACATGCAACTCTTGTTTAAAAATTATTGCCCCTATAAATAGATAAACTCTGGCTTATTATGGTTGCAGAAACAGAAAGCTGAGTGGGCTGCATTAGTCTTAAAAATGTGAAATCTAATGTCCATTAAGCGTATTTAGAGACAAAGAATAGTGACCTAGAGGCTTCAAGGATAAGACATTTTATTTGAATGCAGGCAAAAGAACATCTAACTGGGGTGGAAATAAGGAGGGAGAAATGTCTTAAGCAGAACTGAAGAGCAAGCAGATTAGAGAAGTTCAAGAAAAGCTAAAACGATAAAAAAATCAGAGAAGTAAAAACAACTAGAGAAACAATACCACTCATTCTTGGACAATATGCACTGTATTTAAAGCTCCTATGAGCAGTTTTTTGACATTAATAAGAGACACAGAAATTAATGTTGATGCCTTTTAATGAAATACAAAAGCAATTAAGGTCCAAGTCTTTCAGCTGCAGATAAGGTCTTTTTTTTTTTTTTTTTTTTTCAATTTCCACATTAAATTTTCATGATGAAAGAAACATTTGACTGTTAAGAGTCAGTGGGATGAGATTGTTGCTTTAATATAGGGTGACCATACGTCCTCTTTTACCCGGACATGTCCTCTTTTTGGGGGGGCTGTCTGGGTTTGTCCGGGTTTGTCCTTCGAATGTTTTGTACGTAAGTTTCGATTTTGTGTCACGTGGACGTACTGAGTTAGAAGCACATAAAAGACACTCGATCAGACCCAAAAAACTCCTAAAATGAACTTTGTGCGACTCCATGACTCCGTCCCTGCCTAGTCGTGTCCTCTTTTTTGGAAGTCAGAATATGGTCGCCCTAATTAATATCAAATTAAACTTGGAACAGACAAGATTAACAAAGACTGCTCTGTCCACAGGGGTTACCAAAGTTGAGATAATCCAAATGTTCCTGACAATACCTTTAAGTTTGATTCAAGCCGGACATCCCTCCATCCATAAAATCTTAAACACTTAACCCATTCAGGGTCAGAGGGAGGAGGGTATCCCAGCTGTCATAGGGTGGTCAGTGGAGCACACCCTGGAACATGTGTAGCCCAGTTTATCACAGCACTTCAAGCCTGATTTGATGAACAAATAAGTTGGAGATGTGTTCAAAACAGCTTTAAAACTGTTGTTGCAAAATGGCTTTAAATGTTATGTTATGACAGAGCGTTTGTGGATCTACAGCAGTGTTTAAGTGTGGGTCTTCATGACCTCAGTAGTTGTTAGTATTGCAATTAGATACACATCTATTTTGAGAAAAAGCAAAAGTATTTTTGCACCATCTGCATGTAGTAGTTGTAATAGTAATAGTTCACTAACAGACACAAGATCTGACTTCACAAAATGAACTTTTGCTGGAATCTGTCAGACCAAGCCTGGATGCTGAACTCTGCCCCACTTTCACAGGAAACATACTGAATATTAAACAGAATAGAAATCTTGAGCTTTTTCTCCTTTTAAAGCACTGCAGACGTCATCCTCGGGTGGTTAAATGAATGAATAAGCGAGGAGAGTTTCTGCTGTTCCATCTGGTCCTTCCTGATCTTCAGAGTGGAGGCTCAAAGTGACTCAGTGAGATCGTCTGTACTAACAAGGTTTAACCCACAGGCCAGCTGGTGAAAAATGAAAATGTGAGAGGAGATGACATAGAGGCTATTTCCCTTCCTAGCTCAGAGCACAGAGAGGTACAACAGCGGAAAATTTAACAGGAGGGGTAACAAGGCACAACATCAAGAAGGAGGAGGCAGACATCTTGGGATTTATTGTAACAGGGGGGGGCATCAACAAACAGAACAAACTAAATCTCTTACATCTTCATGATGTAGTTCAGGGAGTAGAATAAACCAGGACTAAATCTTTCATGAGTGTGTTTGTTTGAAATGCAGACTGAATATCTTCTATCCTCAGTTTGTTTTCCCTTTGTAGGTCCTGTCAATATTGGACAACACCTCGTTATGGAAAAGAAAAGCAATCTCCTCACAGCCTCTTTCAGGTTATTGTCCCCCTGCCTGAAATAGGGACAAAAAAGGACACCTCCGCCAATTCTTCATCCCTCCTTGGCTCATAGCGCCTTATTATAATGCTAATTCAAGCACACACCATCAGCATTAATGTCAGTCCTCTGTGACTCAAACCCATTCGGACCCAAACACAGACAGTGTTTGCTTCTGCAATCTGGTATTAACATTTCTTGGCACATCTGCAGGTCACTGTGAATATATTCAAATGAGGCTAACGTTTTAGTGGCTGGAAATGAATAGTTAATTATTCTGCAAGGCCAGCTGGCTATGTTGCTACCCAGGGAACATTTCTTTGACGTCATCCTGGTGAAGTTCATCATTTCTTGGGTGAAGTTCGGTTCAGATAACACAGAACCGCAAGCTTGGCTATCCACCATAATATTGTTACTGCACCTTTTAGCCTTACAATGTTGCTTATCACATAATTGGACCTTTCCAGACACAGGCCATGAAAAGCTTGCTCCCATTTCCTAGAAGGTAATTGTATTTATTCCATCTCAAAGTCCCAGTGGGTTGTGCTTCAAGAACCAGTAAAAAATGCCACCCTTCACAGATTTACAGTGTTTTGTGATGGTAACCCCATTTCAAAGGGTTCTTGATGTTAATATAATAAAGTTATGATATAATACAGCCAACAGCTTCAAGGTGATACGTTAGCACCCCTACAGGATGATGTACACATATTGATGTTATAGATATAATGAAGCAGTATGGGACACATAACACAAGATAACTGTACCGATTTTGGTCCTGATAACCTCCTGAAAAACAGCAAAGGTCCGGTTATTAGTTGGTTTTTCAGTTTGAGGCCAGTCTGGGGTTCGTTATATTGAAAATTTTGTCTAACATAACAAACCTAACATTTGGTCAGATGGCTACAGTGTGCCTACCTTCTTTTTTGTTTCCGGTGCTTCTGCAGACAGCCTTGAGTGGACACTTGATTTAAGGTCGATCATGCACCCTGTCTACTGTCACATGAAACAAGATGAAGGCAAATCAGAAAGCGCGCTGATTGAAAAAGGGAACAAAACAAATGCAACCATGGAAACGATAGTAAACACAAAGCATAAGGTGCCAGAAATAGAGAACCAATTTATTGACACATGGCTACTACATGTTTTACTCAGCATACCGACAGCCTAATGACAAAGGAAGGCGTTGAAAGAAATATGTGCCAGGAAGCGTAGCAGCTAACAACGTTTAGCTCCACCATGTTTGTTCACTGTAAGTCACATTTCACCAGGAGAGATTTTACACGATTTTTAACAGTCAGGACTCCAGTTGTTGGTGAAAAGGGTCATTGTGTTGTGTGTGTGGTGAATTCTGCTCACATTGCAAAAACTAAACTGTTTTATCTGTTATCATTCGTTATAATATGAAGGGTCTCTGAAATTTTCAATACTGATAAAGATTTAAACAATCTTTTGGTGTGTTAGTGTAACTAGTTTCTCTGATGTTGTTGGTGTGTGTCCTGCTCTGTATTCAAATAGGTAGCTAGTATATGACATGCTCTCTGCCAGGATTGAATAGTTCAGTTGAAATAAAGTTTAGACTACAGAATTAGATTCATAAAGTATGGAAGTGAGGAGGAAAATCAATACATGTCCTTTCTTTTCTCTTGGTGGACCGAGACAGATGGATCTGTGCATGAATCAAATTACTCTGGTGCAACAGACGGCTGTAACAATATTATGCTCAGCAGGATGTGTTTGATATTCAAGGTGATGCTTGTTTTTTTTGTGTGAGCCTGTCTACTTCATCAAAAGGTCATAGTCTTCAGAACAATCATGACCTCTGAAGACTCACTTTTTGTCACCTATTTCGCATATGCTCTGATCTTAAACCATCTACGTCACATTTCCCCTCTTATCATCCCCACTCTAATTCAGTCCCACATCCTTTCACACATATCAGATGAACTACAACACACTACATGTCACATTGCCCTCTGTTCTCCTTGGTTTGTGTCCCTGAGAGGCTTCTATAGCAGACCTTGCTAAGCAGTCACCATGGCTGCGATTCCCCTGCGGCCCCTCATGACTAAAGTCAGCATTTTATTGTAGATATAAGGTGAAACGTACTGTGCAGGCAGTGTTTTACCTCTAGGGTTCACTTAACCCTCACATACTATTCGGGTCAAATTTGACCCGTTTTGACTTTTAACAGCAGTAAAAATACCCTAAACATCATTTTTTAAGCCTGAAACTTGATGACTTTTCCTGAAGTTGCCCAAAATACATGAAATTAATTTAAAAATATTCATGTGTATTTTTGTTTATGTGCTACAAATTTTTCCCCTCTAAGGCTGTTACAGGTCAAATTTGACCCGTATCTATATTTAGATGGATTTTAGATCTAGCAGTGTGGGACAAGTGACAAACAGTAACAACAGTGTTCAATATAAGGTTTGTTGTTCCAAAAGATATATTCAAATCATTATGAAACTATCATTACCTTGACAGAAACACACAGACATACAGTCACACAGACACACCTAGACAGAGGTCAAAATGACCTAACTAGTCAAGAGAAGTTTCTGTGACAGAAAGCTGCTCTTTGAACTCTTTGAAGGGGCAATTTTGACCCGGAACATACTGTGAGGGTACAGGATTTGAACAGTATGTGAGGGTTAAGATACTCAACTCTACCAGAGGCTTATTTAACTGGTTTGCTTCATGGTAATATGGAAAAGTTGCATGAGAAAGAGTTTGAGTGGGCTAATAGTTTCACTTTTCTTTTCGCTTTCTTGGAAAATATGTTATTTTGTTCATATTTAGCAGAGTTCAGAGTTTCAGAGTAAGAATCGTGGTCAGAGTAGGCCTGGGCGATTTGGCAAAAAAAAAAAAAGATCACGATATATTTTGTCATATCGTCCGATCTCGATTATTATCACGATTTTTTTTTTAAACTGCCAGTTTCAAAGTGCCTGTACTAAAAACTAAAGAAACCAGAGATTAGTTCAACATTTTATTAACATACAAAGTAAATAACAAAGCAAATTGAATAAGATAAACTTAGAAAAATATAAAAACCATTTTAACTCAACAGTACAACAAAAGTAGATAAATACTAAATAATACAGTGAACTAGTTTACAGTCCTGAGTGTTTTTGCAGGTATGCAAGACCCAAAATAAACAAATTGCCCCCTCAGGGATAATGAAGACGCCTTAAAATGTAAACATTAGTAAACATGATGATAAGATTGATTGTTGCTTTGGTCTGGTGGCTGCACCGCTAGTTGAAGCTAAACTGCTAATGCTACTCGTGCCGTCAGCAGTGGCAGGCTGTGCAGACTCTGCTCGCATTTTCATGCTTTCCACATAATCACTCGGTAAGTACTTCTTTCAATGACTAAACAGATCTATTGTGTTGCCAGTTTTTGAGGGCACCGACCGCCGACATACGTTACACATCGGCTTAATTGTTGACGCCACTTTGGAGATACCTGAACCACCGCAACACAACCAACGTTGATTAACTTCTCAACAATAACATCTTTGGAGGATGACTCAAAGTCATGGCTGACATCTATTTAGCTGTCCTCAGCTCCACGTTTGGTCATTCTGTTTACTTCTCCGGCAACTTACAGAAGTGGAGTAGGAAAAGCTTGACTCTGATTGGCTGCTTTGTTTCAGCTTGTGTGATCCTAAGTGGTTTAAAAATCTTGTTGCATTACAAATATGAAAAAGAAACTTCTCAGAAATTCTCCGGTCTAATTTCCGGTTAACAAGATAGATGTTGATAGGCACAGCACTCTCTTAAGGATTGTTTTTGCGGTTATTGTGCATGCCAAAGAGAGCAACAGACTGACAGACTACAATCAGCAGTGGACTGACCACAAACCACTGTAATGATGATTTAAATGGTTAAAAATCAAAAGCACAACGCTTAAGTCGTCCATCCAGGAAATGACTGGGAGAACTCAGTTAAGATAGTCTGTTACTTCGTCAGCAAAATTGGGAGTGAGAAAGAAGTGACAGCTCCTTTTCCTTCAACAATGCACAGGGTGCTAATATTAGCCACTGGGGCTATGATGCTCCTCGCCTGTGCGCCTGTCTCCTCCTCTCATATTAGTCGGTTTTTGACAGCTGTGCCTGAAAAATTCTGATTAACTACTAAGACTTTAAATCCAAAATAGTTGATAATAAAGGGACAGCCCTGATGAGTTTGTAAGCTGTTCATGAACTTCTGATATTATCAGATAATTTTGACTGAGCATAAGCTGATCCAAGGCGAGAGTTAATTCAAGAATAAGTTCAAGTTCAAGCTTAAGCCTACTGTCAGGTGAAGTGTTCTTGTTTTTTTTTGTATCAGTATGGCGCCCACTGCTTCAATTTAGAGAAACATTGCATTGAACCAGCACTTTTGTTAAAAAATGTAAACTGGTTGACATCTCTCATATATATGTCTGCACCCACATGAAACTATAACTGCATTAACTCTGAAAACCTCTGCATCACAACATGTTGTGCCTCTAATTCCTGTCAGTCTGCTGCTATTTACAGCTGGGGCGGGTCGGTTTGTGCCTCTGTCACTCATTTCAAGCAATTGTCCTCCCCTGTGCCGTTATACGCTGTGGCATTCAGCAACCCTGTAGCTGTGAGTGTGACCCACAGTAAACAGAAGATGTCCTGCACACATCTCAACAGCAGGTCTAATCAGCCTAAATAAGTGGAAACACCTGTGCATGTGTTCCTGAGTGGAGGGGCTTCTGATCAATGACTAATTGACACCAAGAGGGCCAGGTGTGTGTGATTAACTCTGATTAGCTTTCCTGAAGGATGGGACAGGTGTCACTTTTGATGCCAAAGGTGTTGATAAGCATTCTTGGTTTGTTTCCTCTGCCGAAAATAGAAATGCACTTTGCTTCATTATGGAGACTGCGTGTATCACCATTAGGGCTGGAGTATTCGTTGCAATTTTATTACAGTGTTGTGTTATTATTAGTCTGAAAAGCCTCTGTGAGGTGTTACTCACATGCGGGGAAAGTCGCTGTAAACAATCTAAAATTGTCATTCCTCGCTACCAACTTCTGAATCAAAGACATTTTCTTTTTTCTTCTTTGCTCGTCCCTCTGTTCCTGTCGGTTGATTGACTGAAAGTAAACAAGACCAGTACCCTTCTTAGTTGTTTTCCTTCCCCTTGTGGTTTGTCATTCGTCAGGAGGATATTTTAAGGATTTGTGTTTCTCTGTCTGTTTCTGTGTTTAGTTTTAGGCTCTCCACAGATGCCTTAATTGGCTCCGGGGGAATGGAGAGGTGTATTTATTTACCTGTCATATCCTGCTGAGTTCCCTGCACCCCTGGGGGGAAAAAATACTTGCAGAAATTACCGTACGCTGTAGTGCTTTAGTTTATGTGGTGTCATATGCTTCAGAGCTTTGCATTTTCTTCTCACTGATACTGACAGTCTAGTTATGCATTAGCTGGGAACTACTCATTATTTTTCCTGAGGGGAGGAAAAGTGTATTGAGCATGGTGACTTGACATTTAAAAGCTCTCCAGTGGAGTTGTTACTGAAAGATGGAAATAATTAGGTTTCCTTTATATAAGCTTTCATATGCAAATTTAAAAGTTTAACTTTTTCAAAGTTCATTAAAGTATGAGTTGAGAATTAAAGATCCAACACAATCAGAAACAGAATATATTTGATTGACTCTCATTTTATTTTCTTGCTCGAATATTTTATTTCAAATATTTCTTAGAAATTATGTAATCCAGTTTTCATAACTCACCACTGCAAGACTGTCCAGGCCCACATTTAATGATTAGTGTGATCATTTGCTCCAAGAGGTAAGTTGGCTTTAATCAGTGAAAATTGTTAAATCTGTCAGAAATTAACTCCACAATGTTAAAGTTGAGTTAAAACTGTGATGACTTAACTTTCCCATCCAGTAAAGTACCGTATTTTTCCAACTATAAGGCGCACTTAAAATCCTTAAATTTTCTCGAAAATTTGCAGCGCGCCTAAAAATCCAGCGCGCTTTATGTATGATTACTTGTTGTGCTTACAGACCAATTTTATGTGGTACAATGTGCTCAAAAATCTGTGGAAATGTGTAAGTACAACTTTGGTAAGCAACGAAGCCGCCCCGCTCATGAATATTCGGAGCATTATGGTACGCTGTGTCACTACCTGATCGGCCCCATAACAGGACCCCTGAGCAGTCTACAAGAATGCCTGACTGTAATGTCTAAACTAGAAGTGAATTCATGTAAGCCAGCCCGGGCCTGGAGTACACTCACAACAATAGACCAATCAATGCTTAATGCGCCCTACAATCCGGTGCACCTTGTGTGAGAATTTAGACAGGTTAATTCACAGTGTGCCGCATAATACAGTGTGCCTTATCGCCCGAAAAATGTGCTAAGTGGTAAGAATTTAGCGCTGTCAGGATGAGAGTGCACACAGTGTGCAGCTCTATGCAGCAGAGAGTTGAGATGCTGATGGTAACCAGTAACCTCAGTTGCAGTAAATCGAAAAACTGGATCAAGCTGCATGGTGACTGCCTGTGTTGTAGTAGTTTTCTTTCAATCTGTAGCAGTATAATTGTATAAAACATGTGGCTGTTATGAGGACTTCGTGAACTCACCAGTAAGTGGTTCTGATGTTGATGGAGTACCATGGCTGGTGATAAAAAGCCAGCCTTTATAAACTCATAATCCTGGTCTTGATTAGGGACCTGTGAACCTTGTAATTCAGCTTTTCTGTCTCATGAATCATATAGGAAGAGCAAGACTCTGCAAACCTGATAAGTGACTCTCACCCTCTGTGGTTTCTATTCAGGTGGACTCCATTGATCGTACACATATGCACAATGACGCACACACACCCACATATGCAAAGGTGCTGAAAGACATGATTAGAATACAGATTCCTACATGATTAGATATTCACAGACCCTTCACACTACTCTGTGTTTTATCAAACCACACTCCTACGCTGAGAATCTTATTCTGTGTGAAGTGCTGTGCTGCTCAAAAATCAATACAATCCTGAGGGGAAAACAAGGACGCTTCTTGGTTTACATTTGCTGGATAAAGCCCAGGAGACACTCACAGAGGCACAAACTATTTGCACTGCTGCACAGTCTTCTAATGAGAAAAATGCCCCCATAATTTCCTAGTTTCTGCCATAAGACCCAAACTCCTGAATTAGCAGAAAATATTGCTGTGTCTATTAATCATTTTATTGAGGCAATTGAACGGACTGACTGATATTATTCATCATAGCTAAGTTTAGCTCAGCGGGAACTTTGTCCACTTATCTTCATCTACCAAACTCTGTTCACACTTCAGTTTCCTGCTGTATCATCACTGAGAGACAGACTGTGGAACAGGCCATTAGTTACAACAAAACAAAGACAAGACAGTGAGACTCTTATCTCATCTTTTAAACCATCTTGGAAAAGAGGAACTAGTGTGTAGACAGATGCCCCAAGAAGCATTCACAGTTTCAGATTAACAGGAAGTGAAGAATCCAGATTGCTAGCATGTAACCAATTTTTAGCTAACATTATGTCAGCCTTAAAATTACAGCTTTGCAAATGTGTCTTGTAGCTTCATCATATGGTCGTTTAAGCGCTAAGTCATGCTCTTGGAATTACTAACATTAGCTAGAAAGTAGCCAAATGCTTATATGAAGTGTTCTATGAATGAAGCTAATAGGTGCTCAAATATGTTGCAAAATTACCATTAATTTTTGGCCAGCCTGGTATTAGTGTTTCTCTCGCACTCATCAGCTGTTGAAATCACTTGAGACTCCCAGCTAACAGGCAAAGGTGTTCAACTGTGCATGCTCTGGTGGATTGTTGTGGCTGACTTGGCATTAACAGGACCTGTGCCCAAAACGATGACATACTGGCTTTTCTATTTATCCAAAAACATGGGCTTCATCGCTCGCCAGCATGTGGCCTTTGTGGGTGACTCTGTTTTAGGAGGTTACCAAATAAAGGAAGGCTTGAGAGGAATGAAGCACGGCGGCTCTGGTATTTAATCATCCGCGTAGTTAGCTCCTTATCACAGCCCATTAAATGCTTTCACGGCTCCTCGCTGTTGAAATAAAAGTCTCTGGAGACAGCAGCTCTGAGGGAATTTGGAGTTACCGTGCAATCGATACCTTCTACCACAGGATTTCTGGCGCCAATAACTAGACATGTCAGTTATCGCAAAGCTAATAAACTGGCTGCATGATGCTTGGTGGATTGGGAGAGAAAAATCTGAAAAGGATTCTGATTTTTATCAACAGGCTTTATTTTTTCATTTGACTGTGAGGGCTGTTCAGCTGGAGTATTATTGGGCCTCATTTTTTTTAATTAAGGGTGGTAGAGCAAAAACGAGACTGAATGATGAAAAGCAGTTGTTCTTTCTTATTAAGATTCGACCAATTCATTAAGCAATTGCAAATTATGTTATACTAACTGTTGCCTGAGCCAGACACATCCAAGAAACAAACATCAGCCATTTTAATTAATTTTCTAGCAGAAAATATGGAGAATCTTCTACTAGATTAGTGATACTTAAAACTAGGGCCCGACTGATACGGATTTTTTGGGACCGATGCGGATACCGATTATTGGGGGGGGGGGATTACTGATTAATCGGCCAATTTTTATTAAATTTTTTAAGGAAGTTTAAAAAATATATATTTACTGTAGATATACTGTAGGCTACTGCTCTTCACGCCGACAGAAACGCCACTGTTGTTTATTCTACTGTTACTGGCACGGCTAACAGTGTAGCAAGGCTAATAGCAGATGGCTAACTCTAACTTTAGTTTGCATATTACATGGTGCTTCACCATTAACTTGGCGTGACCGAGACCAGCACAGCGGGGAACATCGTGAAGTAACTAGTTTATTTACTGTTGAGGGTGACCATTCTCCTCTGTGCGTCCCTGAGCTGCCTGCTTTAGATCCATCACTCTGCTGTGCTGTGAGGTAGTTAGTGGATGAAGATTGTCATGAGGTCGCTGCGCCATCTACAGGATAAGTCGGGGAACTTTTCAAATGGCGAAGCATTTTTGAAGTGAAACCGAATCTTATTCTCTGCATTTTATTTCTGAAAATATCGGCGAAAATCTGCGAGTTTTGGCCGATTACCGATTAGTCTCAAACGGGCTAAAATTGGCCGATTTAATCGGCACACCGATAAATCCGTCAGGCCCTACTTAAAACCAAACTTAACACAGGTAGACCAATCAGAAACATAGTTGTCCCCAGACTGTAAGATCAGACCCATCCAGACATCTCAATCAGCTGTTTAGTGGGAGGTTTAGACAGAAAAGTAATGTGGCTGATTTAGTAGTTGACTTGGCTCAGAGTGGAGTACACGAGGATCATTGAAAGCTCTTTAATTAAAGCTGAAAAGCCCCTCAGTGGGTAATAAACTTAAAGCAGTGTGATCTTGTACTGTATTACACACACCACCCATCTTCTCTGGGAGTGATTGAAATACTTTCGATATGTCCTTGTCTTGTAGTGTGATAGTTTATGTTTCTGTAGCACGGCAGATTTTCAATACCTGTGAAATGAGATGAAGCTTTATGAAATACACACAGGAGAGTTAGTATTTTATTATGTACAAGGTGTAGTAGCTTGAGTCAATGACAGATCCCTGTGTGCGTTTGTGTGTTATTGTGAGCAGTGATGATAAACAAACCGTTGTATCCCTGGGAATGTGTCAGCAGTATTTCAACTAGAGCGCCGTTGAAAGGACCAGCACTGAGGGGAACAATTCTCTCTCTTGTTGTTTTGTTGGCAACATGAGATGCTGATTGAACTGCGGACTGGAGAAGTGAGCCTGTAACTTGACACCGAGTCCTGAGTGGAAGTGGTGAGAGATGGAAATGGGAGGGTACGGCAGTCAGGATGGGAAGACAGAAGGGACATTATTAATAATTTTCTTTATGATTGAAGTCACAGCGTTTATTTTAGCTTCTTTAAGTGTTTTTTATGAAGTGGTATCAGTGTTTGAGAAGTATACTCAAGATACTCAAGAAAGGTTTATTCTGAGCAGAAGTAACTCTGCTCCCATGTTGTTATAAAACCAGATACTACTTTGTTTTAGTAAAAAGGATTCAAGGGACATGGTGGATGCGGTTTGCAAATGTGTTTGTGTGCCATTTGCAAATGAGTATTTAAAGTTTGTATAGTTGTGTGTGTGTGTGTGTGTGTGTGTGTGTGTGTGTGTGTGTGTGTGTGTGTGTGTGTGTGTGTGTGTGTGTGTGTGTAAGCACTTGAATATCTATTAAACAGAGAGCTTCAATGTCATACTCATTTACTAGCAGAGGACCAGCCAGTAAACTGGGACATTTTGAAAAAGTGAGAAAAAAAACCTATTCATATGGTTATATAATGCTTGAAAAAATTTTGTCTTTCTAAAATTAACAAAAACTCGAGTCCACCTTCGGTCGGTTATTTCACCACTGTAAAGGCAATCCAATTTTGCACAACTGGCAAAGGAAACAGCTCTATCTTATGTTTCAAAATAATAAAAACTAACTTTTGTTTTAAGCAAGTTTAAGCAAGTTTTCACTTCATCATCAATCAAGTATTGAGTTAATGTGGCACATCTAGGCTGACACCTGGTTTATTTTGCTAATGTCCATTGCAGGGAGATGACACACCAATTTCCTCTTAACTTTAGAAACTAATATAGAAAAGTTTTGATAATATTTCAGTACAGTTATTTTTAACTCTAGTATGTCTCAAAGGGGGTTATCCATTTAAATCTGCTGATATGTTTGCAGTAAATAAATCCCCCTGACCCGTCCTTTACACTCTTAAACTCCAGTCATAATCAGTGCTCTGCAGGCCTCCTCTGGGGCCTGATTGGCAGCAGAATAATAATTCCCTGACATCGCTTTTGTCCTCATTCTTCTCTCACTCAAGGGACGTTGCACCAGAGGAGCCTTTCTTTCCTGCCCTTCCCCTCTCGCTGACATCTCCTCATCACTCATGACACATAGCTAAAATGTTTTCTCCCTCTTTCCCTCCCTTCTTTCCACCCTCTTCTCTCTGTATCCAAAAGGTCGTGACTGATAGGCTTTGCCATTTAAAACTGTCTGACATTTATCGTGACTTTTTGCCTCTGTTGAAAAGCATGACACAGGAGAAGCGGATGCTTTATAATATGAATTTTCTTCTTCTTCTTCTCTCTTCTCGTTTTAGGGCAGCTGGAAGTTGCACCACCCACTGCAGCACAGTTAAGATACGGTAAGAAGTCAAATTGTGATTTTGATGAATGTTTGAAATGACTCTGAGTTTGTGCAGAGGGATGCTTGAAATGTGAACATTAATATGGTATAAATGTGATTGGCAGCCAGAACTGACACCCCTCATCTATTTCAATTAATCAGTAAGATTAATGAAGACCAGTCATAATTAACACTAATTGGCAGGTGTTGTGGTTCATTGATATCTGCATTTCCATGGTGTCCCAAAAGACAGGCCAATGTCTTGCACATGAGCCTGACTAATGAGGTGTTAGGTTTTCCATGGACAGATCTTGCATAAGCTTGTTCTCCTGAAGTCCTAAATTGGTAGCCAGGGATAGAAGTCTAATGCAATGCATACTGACAATACAGGAATATACATAGCGGTGACTTAATGAATCAAATCGCTGAAATTTAAGCTCTTTCTTCCAGTAAATCCTATTTAAAGTGCTGCAAGAGCCTCATTTATCAATCAGCCTATCAATCGTGATAGTGTACCCCGTTCTCTCAAATCAAATAACTCATGCAAACTCGATTTTTCAGGAAAATTAGCATTTGGACTGAAAGCAGCATGTTGAGAACTAACTGTAATGACAAAAAACATCTTTGAGAAGTTAATAGTTCACATTTATTTTGAATCTGGACTTTGACCCATGTTCCATCTGTTAACATGGAAAAGGCAGGCCATATGACCTCACTGTAGCCAATCAGAAGGCTGAGCGTCAAATCTTTGGCTTCACTTTTTTGAGCTATCACACCATCCCTCTCTTTGTTCAGTCTGTGTAACAGTCTGTGGAACATCTTAACTGGCCAACAGTTACCTTAGTAACAGAGTGCTGATACTCCACCTATTGCTCTATATGAACACCAAATGACCCGGTATTATTTTGTTCCTCATTAAAAATAGACATCAGCAGGTTTATTGATTAGTGTTTATAGTCTCAACTGGCTTCCCATGATGAGTTCTAAGGGCCGCCAGTGAGTATGTATAATTCATACGGGATCAAATATTAAACATGAAGATTTAAAATCATGAAAAAAGAATGAACGGAGAATTAATTAAACAAGGAAAAGATAATTAGATCTAAAAAATACTGAATTAGCTCGCAAAAGTAAAACCCGCTCAAGTATTTGGTTTTAAAATGTAGTTTGTTACTGACTGTAACAGTCATGTAGTCTGTCTCTCTTGGTATGTGATGTGGGTAAAAAATAGGTTTCCATCTCTCCTGAATATTCTCACCACAGTAATAGCTCAGACCCTCGCAGGTGTGTGAACTACCTGCACATACTCAGCTAATAGCTTTGTAATATCATACTTCACCCTGCCGTGCTCACTCACTGACCTCAGATTTTTTTCCTCCTGCTGAGAGGTTGGAGAGTCTGCTGGATAAAGCAATATAATTCAGATGACTGTGTGAATATGTGTTTTTATTTCTCTTCTCTCGCAACGTTGAGAAATGTCTGTTGGCAAAAAAAAGCAGATAAGAAAGGACTGTATCTGTCCTCCTACCTTGTGCTGAAATGCAGTTTTCCTGCTCTGACTCTTCTCTTAAGATAACACAGCTGAGTGAGTCTTGACTGAAAACATTGACTCAGCTGGCTGTCACTGGAGCAACAGTGTCGAATACAGCACTTGTGATTTTCCAAGACAGAGGGGCTGAAGTCTGGTCAGGTTGTGTTTTGCTGTGTATCACCTATCAAGTGCTCAGTGGATTGAATTTCTTTTTCAAAGTAGACCAAGTTTTTCCCACTATTTATGTGATCCAATTGTTAAATTCATTAGAGCTGTAAATGTATCAGAAAATCTGGCTATAGTGATAGGATTAGTTTCAAAAAGAGTCAGTGGAACAAAGCGCCTGTTATATTATTATTTACCTTGCATTCCTCTCACAGCTCCAGAGTGAATTTTCATCCAACGCCACAAAAAGTACAGCATTTGGAAAGTGAAAGAGCCTAAAAAGCCATTTTAAATTTTCTTTGACTCACATTTGATAAGTCCATCAGAAGACATTTTGTCCTCCAGGGTTTCAATGTGAAAAGCAGGTTAATTCGCTCAGGAACAGCTGAGTCCAGGAGAGATAAGGGGTTCACGGTGGGAAATTAAAACTTGGGTATCTTGGTAATCCCTGTCGTAGAAGGTTAATGTCTGATAAAAGAAACTTTTTGGACTTGAAAACCAAGCGTTCACAAAGCCCGCTGTTGCTAAACTGCACGATTTTGTGATTCTCAGAACACTTGAGAGACAAGAGGCAAACAGAGTGACAAATGTTTGGCTCTCTCTGCTCTGAAGAGCAAATGTGAGAGCTCACTCGCTGATAGTTTGTGTTTTCTGCTGCGAAACACCAAATCAAAGCTCAGAATTTAATTCAAAAAGTCTCAGCTGCAGGAGACGAAGTTTTCCTCACAGTACAATCACAGCTGCCCCTGAAGCGCCAAAGTAAAGCCTTTGTGTGGGACATGAGTGAGTATTCTGTTTACTGCGGCTCGAAGCGGAAGATTGAAGTTTTAATTTGTACTGAAGGAGGGAAGCAGTAGAAAAAGTGCCCAGAGAAGAAATTACTTCTTTTACAGCATTTTTGCTTGGAGCAAACAGTCATACAGATAAATACTAAAACTTGACTGAACTTCACTTGAACTACAACTGTAATAAGCAGTTTTCCTTGGGGCAGTGTGAAAGATTTAAATACACAACATTACACTTTGTATCTTTACTGCCAACACATCCTTTATTAAAGTGACAAAAATGGTGGAGACTGGAACTGCATCATAATCTTTTGGTCTGTACTGGTTTTGACACCTCCCTGTGGACAAAGTGACACCTATTATCTCTAGTCCTGTAAAAGTAAAAGGGTATCACTCACTTTTAGTATTTAACAGTTTGTTGGCTTGCTCTCAATCATCTGGTCTGACATTTCCACTCTCACAGCAGTCTTAAACATCAAAATTTACAAGAGAGAAATTCTCAGTCTTGATTCTGGAGATCTCATCTGATGTTAAAGGTCATAAAGAGGCAACAGTTTTAGTTTTAGGCTTTTTTTTTTCAACCATTAGAAAACTCCTCACAGTGCCTTTAAAATGAATAGTAATCCTGCAAATCATTCACATCTTTCTGGAGGTAAAACATTATTTATCTTTTTTCATTACCTCCACCAAGGGGGTTATGTTTTCAGTAGCGTTTGTTTGTTTGTCTGTTAGCAACTTTACGGAGAAAGTTACTGACGGATTGACCTGAAATTTTCAGCAGAGGTGCGTCTCAGCCCCAGGAGGATCCCATTAAATTTTGGTGGTGATCCAGACAAAATTCTGGATACTGTGATCCAGAACACACAAAAATAAGGGTGTCGTTGGAATTTTCTGTGCTGAAAGATAACCAATGGGCGGCACAGTGGTGTAGATAGGCGTCACAGTGGTGTAGTGGTTAGCGCTGTCGCCTCACAACCAGAAGGTCTTGGATTCAAATCCCAGTTAGGGCATTTCTTGTTTTAGGAACATTATGAACAGTGAACATACCAGTTTAAACACAAATAAAAGTTAATAAAAGACACGTAACAGTAAAAGTTTTGGTGTGAATTACAGTATAAGGGGGGACATGAGCTGCTTGGTGGAGGTCTTCGTCTCCGAGTGCTGATGCTGAATCATTTTCCAGTCTCTGTAGTTGCATTGATTTTGTTTCACTTGTGCTTCACACGCCTCATCCCACAGGTTGATATTCGCTGATATGTGTCGTATTATCTCTGCCTGCCTTTTGATGTATTGTTTTTATGCTATTTTACAGTTCTGCTACATAATGCGCTCCCGTTCGTTGGATTTGGGTTCCTGGACAATTGCATCATGATCCTTGCTGTAAGTGTGTCACCGCCACATGCAGTGCTGTGCTCCTCTGCAGCTCAGAGATTCAGTCAGTGTGAAGAGAAGATGTTAAATGTACTCTGATAATGTATTCTCTCTACAGTGAAAGCATCAACGCAGAGAGAGCAAAATCCCTCTTTTTTATTTTCAATTTTGTTTGTTTGTGCAAGTCAGAGCGCTTTTATTTGCTTTCTTCAATGTTTAAACTCTCAATTTGCTTTTTCCCCATTTACAAACTGTAATAATTTTCTTGCCACATGCACACACACTCTTACTGAAGTCTCTCTAACGTTGTTCAAGTAATGAAATCTCAACCCAGCCGAACATCATGAAACTATTAGAGTAATTTGCCGTTTGCATACACAGCAGAGTTATTTTTGAACTCAGAGATGATGAATTACTGGGGGAAGCTTTTCAAGAATGTGGTATTACAAATAAGGCTGAAAAAATTTGCGCAAAAGAAACAAAAAAGAGAGAATGAACCTGAATAAAACATAATGAAAAAGCTTTCTGCAAAAGCAATGTACTGTTACAGTATGAGAAGCAAATATTAAGTTGTTGTTTGCTGTCCGCAGATTCTTCAAAAAGCAAAAAAATACAAAAAATCAATAAGTAATCAGGCTGTAGGGCTGGAGGCTTGTACCTTCTGTAAGATTGTATGTTTACTGACCATCACAGTTTGTACTGTGAGGAGAATTCCCCTTCATTCTCTTAGTCCAGACCCTGAGAGAAGAACTGATGCTCCCCGCCTGAGGATCTCAAGCTGCTTTCAACTTATAGGAGATAAAAGGTCCTTCAATAAACCCTAGAAACCCATCGACTGAAAGAGTGGAAGCTTCAAGAAAACTCCCAGATCTTTAAATAATACAAGAAGACATATAGTGGCAGCTTTTCTTATTAGAAACCTTTATAGCATTGTCCATGCAATGCAATTATAACAACACTCAGGGTGTGTCTGTGTGCGAAGTGCGTCTCAGCTGAAGCATTCATCACTTTATTTCTCTCTGAATTTGACTGACAAAGACATCAGATACATTTCTTTTGTCATATCATATACTATTGCTGTCACTTATGCCTGTGTGTGTGTGTCTGCATGTGTGTGTTTTTCAGGGCACACAGATTGAATTATCTATCGGAGTGATCCTCGGCATTTCAACGATGGCAGGTAAGAGAATCTCATAATCTTAATATGCTTTCATAGAAAAAGAAACCATGTCTGAGGCAGCTATGAAAGCTTTTCCCCCTCTTTGTTCTTGAAAACATCTTTTCTTTTGTACTGGCTGTCCTTTATAGTCATGGATGATTTTACACAGCTGCCCCCAGCTGAAGTGGGGCCCTGAAGTGGATTTTTTATGCTCGTTTTCCCACTTTTTATTTCTTCTTTCCGGCTCAAACAAAAAGAGCTTTTTGCTCATTGTCTCTTTAGATGTGCGGCAGTTCTTGTCCTTCTCTGATTGGTCAAAAGATAATTGATCATTATAGAGATGGGCTTTGTGTCACACGACAGTACAAGTCTGCTTTTTCTTCTCCAGCTGGCTTGGTGCTTTAATGGGCAGCCTTATTATTTTTATATGTAAATCATAACACAATGCTCACGACACTTGCACTAATATAAGACACCATCTTAACAGAGAGCTGCAAAGCCAAATTAAACTAAATGTGCCTTTAACTAACTGTTCTCTTGTTACCTCATCAATGGTTTATTATATTACAGAGATAGAAAGAGGCATTGTCATTTCCAGTGGCAGGAGGATGAATCGTCCCATTATGAAGTTTTAATGATAAACTCACAATCTGACCCTTGCTGTGACTCTTCATTTTCAGTGAAATCGCAGGAACATCAGAGGAAGTCAAAGGATAGAGAGAGAGAGAGACTGGCTGGCCTATGTAATTTCATAAAAATGATAATATAGCTCTCGGGCAGAGTAAATGAGTTTAGTCGAAACCTCTCATCTCAAAGAGGCACATTTGCATGTTGATGTTATCACTTGTTGGTATCAAGTGTCTCTATTGCAAACACTTGTTATGTTTTATTATATTGAGTGTGGATGCATGAGAGGAGGAGCTCTCTAGTGTTGCACAGGTGAAAACTGGAGACTTTCTCTATTTACATAATTTATTAAAATAATGACTCAATCTTCAGTAGTCCATCAGTATGAAAAGAAATAATTCCAACACTGTGAGTACCATGATTTGCTCGAGGTTGCATGGTGTTTTATGAAGAGGATGATAATGTTGTTGCTGATGCTTTGGTGGTGGTGATAATATATATTTATATTTAAAATTGCTCCTAAACTTCTCCATAAATATCATGAAAATATCATTACTGTGATTTTTTTTTTTTTTTTTTGCCACAGTAATCATGAAGTGAAAATCTGATATCATGACAGCCCTAATCTGTGTGGATGCTCTGCTGCTCCTGGCAACAACTTTCCCATTTCACATTTACTTACGGTTATTCATATAGAAACGATAATCCACTGTGCAAATGAGCTGGAAGAGATGAAACTGTGGAGTAAAAGAGGCAAATACTTTACCTCTTTCATGCTATATGCAGAAGTGGATGGATGAAGTGGGGAAGTGAAGTGGAGAGTTGTGGGGAATTGGTGCAGACTAAATCTACATTAGATTGATCTTTCAGGGATGAACTGTGAAGAGGGGATATTTGACGCCTCACTTTTTGTTCAAATGTGTCAAACAAGCTTCAGACTTGATCCTGCTTTGGTAGATCTACAATTCAAACCAGTTTTATGATTCAAGAATATGCGTGTGGTCTGTACGTTCTTCTCAAGCTTCCTGAATAAATGGAAAATTGGAATTTTAATCAAGCCAAGGGGGCTTTATCAGACCTCCTGGGATTAATAGACTCAAGGTTCATCAGGTTGCATTTCCAGGTAGAATACATGAATGAGTTTTTTAAGACTACTAGCAGTTTGACTGACAAAAGCCTGTTATCCCTGAGGGGCATAATGAGATTTCCCGGTCAACACAGGTTTGAAAATGAACTTATGCTGCTGAAATCCTCCTTTAGCCACAAGGCTGGTGACTTAAGCTGAGCTACCTCAAAGCAAAAAGAGAGACGTTTCTGTTCCCTCCACAAGCACAGCCTTAACCCTGTTTCTATCACATTAACTCACAGAAGAAGTGCTGCTTTTTGTTCCTGTGACAGCAGGGACTCTTGGGGGTTTGTAAATCAAGACACTGAAGGTATCTGACAGTCCAAAGTGATTCAGCACCTGTGTCAACTTTGTAGACAAGTCCACCACTCACACAATTTGGAGGCAAATGTGCCTCAGCTGGCTCAGTGAATGAAGACAGAGGCTGTGCTGCTGGAGGCTGCTCTCCTGCTGAGTTTGGCCAATAACACCGTGAAACCGAGATAATTATGCGAAATCTACAAAAGGATTAAATCCATTAAGAATTCATTCTGCTGTGATTATCTTATAAATCTCCTGCTTTGCTGAAAAAAAAATCCAATAAGTCCAACCACTTTTTTCTAGATTATTATTCATACACACAGCAATAATACCTTTAATATTTGGCTAATTTAAGTCTTAAAATTCAGTTCAATATCAAGCATGGACACACTGTGAACTGATCAATGCTACCTGCTCAGTTTTTTTTTAATGTGTCATCCTCTAATCTCAGGTTTTTGTTGAAAACCAGTTTTCACACCCACCGTCTATACATAGCTTTTCTGCAACACACATGTAGGCACACATACTGTTAATACACACCCATGTTTGACTACCAACACTCATATGTGCCTTTGTATGGGCACAGTATGTGTAATTGTTTCTCAGGCTCCAGGTACAGGTAAGTTTTTACGCACACCTCTCTTCCCGACCCTCTGCCGGCTAGTGCACATTGCAGACAAGAACAGGAGATGATGTTAAAAAAGCTTTCCCCATTTTTTACTCCACAGTTTCACGGTCAATTTATTCCCCAGTAGACCAGAGCTGAGTAAAAAAAATGCAGACAGTGTCTCTGGTTTTGCTGCAGGTCAGAAAAAAAAGGTGAAGAAAGTTTCTTTTCGGAGAAGTAGACATCCATCACAAAGTTAGCGTAGAGAAAACATTTATTTTGTGACTGGAAATGAAAATTCATCACAAAACAGACAAACTCTCATGTCACTTAAAAAAGATTGAGCTTTAACACCCTTGCCTTCCTCTCTTTCAGTCCGTATAGGCTGACTGATTCAGATTTCGAGCATGCAGTGATATGTTAAAGGTAGACTGCTGACCTTGTCTTGTAATTACATCGAAAATCTTTACCACATTATGTGCTCTCCATTACATTTACCTACATGGCCTGTTGCACAAAGGTATAATGTACAATGACAGAACATTGGCATATAACAAGATGTTTTCTTTTTTAATAATATTTACTCTGTGACCTCCTTTGGTGTGTGTCAGACGTTTTTCCATCACTACCAGGAGACAGTGACCGAGGTCAGATAAGTCATAACAAATTTAACAGCAAAGAGAGAAAAGGTTGTATTTGAAATTGTATTAAAGTGATAAATTTCTTTCACTTTTTGGTTCATTTAAAGTGTGCTCAGAACATTCAATACATTAACATATTGACCCACGTCAGCCTTTTGTCCAGATTTTTACTTTTTGTACACAGGGTTGGCTTAAAGCAGTGGTTCTCAAGTCCAGTCCTCGAGGCCCACTGTCCTGCTCCAACACACCTGATTCAAATGATCAGCTCGTTATCAAGCTCTGTAATGGCTTAATAACGAGCTAGTCATTTGAATCAGGTGTGTTGGAGCAGGGAAACATCCAAAACATGCAGGATGGGAGGGGGGCTCAAGAACTGGACTTGAGAACCACTGGCTTAAAGTATGCGTGTGCACACATGCCACATAGAGTATACATCAACATTTCTGGTTATTTAGAGTTGCAGCAAAGAAATCCTCTGTAATACATAATTTTAAACAGTATCTCCACGGGACTCTGTATTGATTCCAACAAAATGTGTGATGTTCAATGTCACAAAAGCTCCCAGCAGGCGGTTACAACACAACAAGCCTCGCAAGTTTATTTGCTTGCAAATCCAGCCTCTTGCAGGGCTGCTGACAAATCACAAGTTAGGATTATGGGATGGAGGCCAACCCCTGGAGATGCTCTGCCTAGATTTGAGCATGAACCACAGCCCAAAAAATCGAAGTGAACAAAAGTCTTGTCACTTAAACAGTATTGTTCTTGCATTGATCATTAATATTATATTCCGTCCAAAATGAAAAAAACAAACTTGTCTTTGGTTTCAAACTGAATAAACTAATATGTCAAAGAAAAGACAATTACTTAAAATCATCTCTTCAAAATTATCAGCTAGAGAAAGTTTTAAAAAAATTACGCTCTGCCAAAAGCCTCATCTTTAAATAATCAAAAAAATAAGCCCTAAAAGATCAATTTCCTTTGTACTCAGTATCATTTAAATCTAGTTAGACTGAAGCAGCATGAGGCTGAAGCAAAACAATCATTTCTGCATAACAATCTTTTCCGATAGCAGACATTTTTTGTCATCCCTAATCAGTCAAAGCTATTTGGTTCTTGATACTGTCCACTGTACACAATCCTCTCGCTGAAAGCACCAGAACAATCTCTCTATAATCCTCAGATCTACTTTGTAATCTTTGGCCCTGACTAATGGGCATAGGAATTAGAAACTTGCCCACATCCCACCTCTCTCTAACCCGGGAAAAAAGTTGACCAAAAGCGCATCATGGAGCTACAAGCAAACGCGCCTGATTAGAGCCAAATGCAGACAAACCAGCGGCTTATTAACATTGATGATTTATGTCAGCATGCAGGCGAGTCCATGCATAATGAGGTCAGAGTAAAGGCTTTGGTAAACAACACTTAGCTGGATCTCTGCACTCACAGCCTTCTCTAATTATACTGAAACTCTTTAGGTGGTGTCTGAACTCTTGTGTTTGTTAATGTACTGTAGATGGAGGTCCTGTGGGTATTTGGTTCAGATGTGTGACCACAAATTGTCAGTTTGTAGGAAGTGTAATTTCAGTCTCATTGCTCCAGTAGCGAAGAGTCGGCTGGATTTTAGCACCTAGGATCTTCCAAAGCATGATGGAGGTTGTGCTTTAGCAGAGATGGCGTGCCACTGCTTTGAATCCCTTCCCCTGAGGGTGCCTGTGTCTCTGCAGTAGTAGCTGCAGTAATACTCTGAACGTAGGGTCATGGACAACAAAGAGAGGAGAGGTAATGTTCAGTCAGTTTCTCTTAGGAACCAGTACAGTAAACAAAAATAGAAGAGGAGATACATGAGCATCATTTGCGTCTCTCCTGCAGCACGGCTCTACCCACTATCACAGACATTCAGAGATAATAACACAGAGCTGGACGATTTGCTCCCGTTCAATAGTCATCTTAGCGTGCCCTCATTCTCCCTTCAAAGGGCACTTCAGTGTTGCTTTGTGTCTCTGATTAATTAAGTGAACATCGACCTGCCACCTTCATTAGACCGAAATACACCTTTGTTGTGAGAAGAAACAGTACAGAATCAAAGCGGTGTGTTTCATAACGAAGAAATATAAAGCCATATGGATAATCACAAGGCAATACAATTAGCCAGCTAAACCCATCAGCTATTCTCTAATGACAATGGATGCCTCTGGGGGACTTCTTAGCTACTTCCCCCCACAAACATGATAAATGGGTCTTGGGTCATCACGTCCCTCAGAGTTGCCCCTGTCCCTCTTTTTTTTTTTTTAGCCTCAGTGCTTTTATCTTGAAGAACACACTACTTCCTGAAGATCGTAAGTTACAGAAATACTGTCAATATCAATATTTCATGTCTTGATAAAGACTGTTTCCGACAATCCTACCACAGAGGGGTTACTACATTTTTATCCAGAATCTGTAAATGCATTTGATAAAATGTTTTCCGGCCTTTCTCACTGGATGGACTGATAACATCTGTAATTTCTGTAAAGAGAGCAAAGAATTTCATGAGAGGTGCTTTTCTGTGGCTGTTGGCAAACAAATGCATGATTTAAAGATGTGATACTGTAACCTGCTCTGAAGGACACAAGAGATTACAGGAGACATACAGGAGCATACCATCATCACCATGATGTATGTGTCCTACACTGCTCACAGTTCGGTTCTACTGTGTTGTTGCTCCTCATGAAATGTTTATATTCAGCACATCTTGTAACATCATGCCTTCAGTGTACAATGTTTGAAATGCAGGGGTTGATTAGATATTCAGTAAATATGGATAAAACTGTGTTATTAGTTCGCAGATGACTCCAGTTACATGCCCTTGAGTGGTACAAGGAAATATTTCATGTTCACATGATGAAAAACTCCACAGCTTCCATTTAAACCGATGAGCGCTGTAAGCCTCCTGGCTGTCCTCGAACCAAACCTCAATTTCCAAGCAGGTTTTTTTAATCATTTCTCTCCCTGTTCTCTTGTTTTCTTCAGCTGCTGCCCTTGGCAACCTGGTGTCTGATCTGGCAGGACTAGGGTAAGAAATTCACTCAGAACCACAGCCGCACATGCATACATGAACACAAGGGTAGTCACAGACAAGCACACATGCTATATGGTATTTCAGGTTACTGTAAATCATGGCAGTTTCATTAGGAAACACTTCAGTGTTTTAAAAGTAATAACCTTAAATGATGCATGGTCAAAAAAGATCAGCTTTTACTTAGATTGTTAGAGTGACAGTGTTTTCTTGGTCTCAGGTTCACACTAATTATCACAAAGTCATGGTCTGTTTCACTCTGTAGACGTCATGGTTCCAATTCCAGTTCATTTTATGAAGGCCAGCTTATTGCTTTAGTTGTTATTGAATTCAGCACAATAGATGACGAGAACCATGAACAGCCACCAGAGGTTTGTCCCCCAGAACAAAGTAGACTGTGGACACGCAAAGCATTTAAAGAGAGAGCAAGAAAACTACTTAAAATTCAACGTACGCGAGTGGTTAAATGAAATCAAAACAGTCTGAAAAAGTGTGTGTGAATGAAAAGGGATAAAAACGGCTGAGTTGGATCTGCTGTTCCTCAAGTGAACAAATTTAGATTAAAGCTTGAATTAGATTAGTTGGAATAAAGGAGGGACACACCGGCTCTTTTATCATTTAGCTTAATTTAAAAACTACAATAAGACATAACTGAATAAATGACCGTGCACCGTTGTTTTTTAAATGAGAACATAATGATCCATGAGAAGTAAAGGCTTTTTACTGCATAAAAATGGATGTGTCTTAGTGTCTTGCTAAGTGATTATAAATTTTTATCCTGTTTAATCAACTGAATTATGACTCTTATCCAGTCCAGAGCCTCCTAGTGGCTGAAGGAACAATAATCAGCCTCCTAACCTGCTTCAGCGCTTGTTGAATAATAAAAAAGAGGCCTGCAGCTGTGTTCCACCAGCTGTTCGTTCTATTTCAGCGATTATTAGTGATATGAGAGATTATTAATCCCTCTCATGAAGATACATAGTGAGTCAGCAGAACAGATGTGGTAATAATCAGACTGCAGAGACCGCGCTGGTGTTATTATGCTGTGAGTAGACAGTTATGTATGTCGAAAGAGGAGCTGCTTCTTTAGTTATAGCTGGTGGGGACCTGGATAAAAGGATGCCCTGTTAGTGTGACGTATTAGCTGAGCTGTTCAGCAGACACACACACACACACAGTTTGTCCCTGAGTGCGTTGTGTGTTTGTGTTTGCCACTCAATCATAATTGAATTGTGGGGCCCTTGTGACCAGTTTGTCAAGGTGAGACGAGATTAGACCAGACAAGAGAGGGTGGATTTTTTCGTGCAAAAATCTATTGATGGATGAACACCGTTGAGAGTGAAGGCTGTTTGTCTGGTGTGGCGTCTCAGAGTTACTCCTGCAGGTGTTGTTCACTGCAACAAATACCGTATTAGGATGTTCCCTCCAGTGATAAGAGGCTTGAATGCAAACATGGATAAGCTTTTTCCCTTAGATTACTTTGGGAGTTTGCTGCATTTTAGTGGCAGTTAAGAGCTGAGAGGAGGCTCGGTGGTGGACTCACTGTTTGATTTTGAGCAGAAGATGGATTAAAAGGGAATGTAAAATACCACTGTTCTGTTTATGATGGTTTTAGATCCACACTGGACAATTTTAGAATCAGCTATACTGGAACCATTAATGTTTTTTTTTTTATCTATTTTACCCCAGTAGAGGCATGAGGTGTTAGTGCTGCACCAAAAAGTCTTACTCTTATGCAGTCACCTTTTCCTAAGGATGAATAACTTATGAATACCATATATAATGAACCTGAGTTGCTGTTATAGTCTATGACAGTCAAAATGTAGTGATGTGCATGTTTGCCATCAAGATAAATCAGAAAAGCTTGCAATATTCCTTTTAATTCAGGTAAAAGTGACATACTATTTATTTAAACCAAACATTTGCTGATACCGAAATTTCCAATAATAAGCAATGTCATTTTGCCCATGTCAATGTATTCAGTGTCAAAAAAATAAATAAATAAAAGTTGGTTTTGGATGTGTGTAGGTAGGCTACGGTCTCATGTGCCTTTACGACACTGTCCTACGTCAGAGACTTGACTCCCCCCCATCCAGTCCATACAAAGAGGGAAAGACAGGTGAGGAGATGGAGGACGGTTCAAAAGTTTTAGCGGCTGGAGCAGCGAATGAAGTAGACGAAGATAATGTGGGAGGGGGTGAGCAGCTTGTGAAGTAGTTATCGTCCATTTATTGTTACCGAGGTGAACTGCTCAATAAATCGTAATATTGATTCTTAAACTGCTGTCCTATCCATTGGCTAAAATACTACTGAACCCACTGACTGATGTAGCTGTAGTATAATCTTCACATATTTAGATAATCAGAGATGTGATTCTGTCTTTGTTGCCGTGATTTGTTGTATTTTTACTGAAGTCGGCTTTAATTCCACTATTAAATTTCCACACAACAGTTCATTCGGATGCGGTAGAGATATCAGCATAATAATGTTCAATGTTTTTCAGTTTGTTTAATGGGGCCAGATAAAAGCTGAAATATTCCTTGGAGGCCAAATCAGTCACTTTAAATAAAGATGACTTTGAGTAAAGATTTCCTGTTTGTTTTTTTTTTCTGTTATTACTTAATGTTGTCTCTGCCTCTGTAATAAGAACTGATGGAAAAAGACCAGAGAACTCCCAGTGACCGTCAGAGGCACCAGCTTCTCTGCAGTGCTGTTATTTTCTCAGTCATGTAATCGAACGGTACAAATAGATGTAGCTGTCAGTGCGGCATGCTCCTCTGGAGTCTTTTTGTCAATATTGTAGAGATTATGTTGCACTGATTGTTTACAAATCCTCCCAGTGCACGTCTGTTTCTCTGCACAGTGGCTGAACTCCGCTGCTCTGTCTCTCCGCTTTTAAATAACATTCCTGATACGTTTGTGTGTGCCAGTGCCTGTGGTTAGCAATCTGTGCAACCATATCCAAGTATGTGTGTGAACATTCATGCGTGAGGATTCATGCCTGTGTGAATGTGTAAGACTTTCCTTTCTGCTTGTAAGTGTTTTGACAGACGAGGGAAAGCAGATTAGCCTCAGTGAAGTCCCTTATTCAAGTCATGAGTCACTCAGACCGTTCCCTCTTCTGGCGCTGAAGCTCCTGCACTCAGTCTGCACTGCAATTTATGTCCCTTATTGCGACAATGCTCCAGTAACTTTCTGGGGCAGACAAAGTACCCAGTGAAGTTTTACTGCATTCAGCTAAGTAAAAAGAGAGCAGGACAGAAAGTAAGAGAAAGGTTAACAGAGCTCTAAGGAGTAAAAATGGCATCCCAGATTTGATTCTGGACTCATTTTTAACTGTAACACATCCTGCTATTATATCATATCTGTAGTAATAACTTACTCCACACAGACCGATTGAACTCTGTGTTGGAAGAAGATGAAACATAATCTGAGAGCCTATTTCAAAGATATCGGGTTGCTGAATTTCACATTTTATTTCCGATTGAGTCGAAGGATTAAAAATAATGAGTCTGCATTCATCTCCATAAGAAACAGCTTGGCTTGACTCCCTATAAGGAGGTTTGAAGCTCAGTATTTGTCAGAGAATAGACAGGAGTCACTGTTTTTGCCAAAGAATTCATCAGCAGGGCATATGCTTGTTAAAACTGTGGCATAATTGCTGTTTATCCTGCCAAGGGTTGTTGTTTATAATAGCACACTAACCGCCCATCCCCAGCATCTACTGCAGCTCATTTGTGACTGTAGCATCTTGTTCCTTGTGGGGTTTATCTTTTCATCTGGTTTGCCTTCTGTATTTAACAGGTTCTTGAATATTGGCACTAATATGTGGGTAGCTGGGGCTTTTGAAAACATAACATTATTTCCCTGACTTAAAAGCCACGCTGATAATGCTAATGGATTGTGCATAGTCTTGGCTGCAGATGGACACTCTGTTTGCTCGCCCCTTATGGAGCATATTTGGATCCAGTCTTCAGTCTGGTTCTTACATGGTGGCTCTCTTGGTCAGAGAATTTGTCCAAGGCCTTTCTCTGCTTTCAGTGGATTTCATCATGACAGTGTGTGCATGCTGAAGGTGTTTTATGTTCTGAAGCTGCAGACCCATTGAGGAGCCTCCTGCTGTTGCAAGTGTGCGAAATGTTTGGACCTGATTTTTTTCTCTGAGCCACTAAACTAGAGGCTCAATTCTGCCCCCTGTTGCCCTCATGTAAGCAATCAATAGAACTCATATGCACCATGCAACAAGCATCATGCCTCATAATCGTTTTCCATGCCCTCATATGTGATTTCTAAACCTGAAAAAAGTTTTCACTCCTAAATTTTTTCTGTAAGTACTCTCTCTACTTAAAAAAAAGCCTTCCTGGCACATGCTTGCTCCCTCTGCTTCTCCCCTTATCTTCCTCCCCAATACTCTACCTGCTACTTATCTCTCCCCTGACTCGACAGCTCCAGCTGCAGCCCATCTGTGTGTGCAGTGAACTGCAGATCCATTAGCGCTACTGACTGGGCCACACCTGAGTTTAAAAAATACTGTATGTTGGCCTGAATTTCTTTCACAACACTAAATCTGCCTTTCAGGTTCATTGTCTCTCTTTATCATAATGCTAAAAACTGGGTAGCATCCCACATTTTCTGTTAGCGTCATTTTTAGCAGCATAAAACACATCTCTGAAGCACTGTTAAAAACTTAAGGGTGCTGGTTTAACTCTAGTAGTAGAGCAGTCTCCTCGTGTATAGGTAATGTAGCTTTAATCATACCACTTGTTGTCAGTTTCAACATGATTTAATGCATATTATTCCCCACTCTGTACCTATATTTCTCCCACATTTGTTGATAAAATACGGTTTTAATGGCCCTGAATATGCGTGTGGTTGTATCATAAATATATGGTTTACATGTTGCATAAACTCAAACAAAGTCTTTTGAAATCAAGATAATTATCAAACTGCCCACTTTGATAATTGTATGTGAATCTGATTCCAGTTTCTATAAGTTTATAAAACTTAATCCTCCATTTGGAATAAACCAAATCATTTAGTTTTTTCTGTTTTTCTTTTCATTTAATTTGGTATGTATTTGATGTCTGTCTGCATTATTATAACTTTGCTTTTACCTTCAAAAATACACATTTTAATTTTATATATATTTATAAGAAAATCAAAGTACAGTATACTAATGTGCCATAGTACATTTACGTCCAGCTGACTCAGTTTATGTTTCTATACAGTATTGTTGTCTCATATACATTATGCAGGTATAAATACAAAAATATCACTTGATAGGAACCAACAAAACAAGTTGCACAACTTAACAAGGACATGACTGTTGCTAAGCAACCCAAATTTTCTTTGACTAGTGAATTTGTAATAATTACATGTATCTGTATGTTTCAGTGTATCACAATGACATGAGATTCTGTTCATTGTTTCTTCAGAGGTGGAGCGATACATGCAGTGAAATGTTGTAGTGGTGTTGTCCAATCAGATTACTCCACCAGAGCTGATGTGTTACTGACTAGAAATGTGACCAACAGTTCAATGTTTTTTCTCCTAAACATCTGTGCATGTTTGTGTAAAAGTGTAACCTCGTTAAGAGTGTTTCTTTTTTAACAATATTTTAATTTCATTTTCATATGACACACCGGGACAATGACAAAAAAAACAACAAAACAAAAGCTAAATTAAAGAATCACAAACCACCAATAACCAACAAACGCACTCAACCTCACTGTATTCACCTCTCTTTAATCTCTTCCTCTTAAATGAGGAAACGTCAGCTAAAAAAGTATGACACACTAATACCTTATTTATACACATCTGTTACTCCAACCTCTTGTATTCGTACCTTTTTTTCCCTCACAAATTAAATCTCTGTTTACAGATTTATCAATGAATTATTCATCAATGAATAAAAAAAGATTAAAAGGACATTTTGAACAAAACTGGACAATACACACCTTTGCCACCTGTTATGCTCATTTGACTTTTCCTGGATAACTTTAAACCAGGACACTCAGATACAGTCACCGTACTGATACACATGCACACTAGTTCATCTCGAGCTGATGGTTCTATTGTCAGAAAAATATCCAAAGTTTGAGGAACAGAAAGTTAGAACTTTGAATACGAATCAGTTACACAGACTCATGTTTACACGTAGAGATATTCCTTTCTCTGCACCAGTCAAAACACTAAAAAGTTTTTGTGTTGTTGTCTTTGATAATGATTGAAAAGAAAAATCATCATGTGCTCCAGCCTGTCTTTGTTCTGCCATCAGTGTAAATCACAGAGAGGGTGCTGGTAATGACTTCATTTACTTACACAGGCGGTTCTCTCTTTCTCTCTCTCTCTCTGTCTCTCTTTCTCTCTCTCTCCCTCTCTCTCTTATTAGAGTTGATATTTGACATCCTGCTGGTTTATGATAAATGGCAGACACACAGAGAACCATCATGTACTGATTTGTTTTGTTTTGGTTATCAATTACTTCGATCGTTTGCATTGTTGCACTGCGTGTTGCTCCTGTTGGCTGCGCAATGAATCATGACTTGGGATGCTGCGAAACAACTAAAAGAGGCTATTATCAGAAAATGGAACAAAACAAACATGAATAAGTTATTGTAAATTTGATTTACACAAATTACAGACTGAAAGTTTGATAAAACACATTCTTTATTTGCCTGACAGCTGGTGTGCAACATTTGTTGGAGTTGGGTTTTTTCATAAATCACCATGGACTAAGGAACAAAAAAAAAAATCAAAATATTGTTACATTGGTGATATTTTTCATCTATGTGAGCACATAACCCACAAGTGGAGTCTTGGACTGATTCTTATGTCTCTGTTGCTGACCTTAATGTGGACCAAATGTCTCTACTCTTCCTCCACTGAAGCCCGGTGTTGTGAAAGGTCAGAGACAGATTAATTTGTTTACTTGGTGCTGAAAGGATGCTTTATCTTCTGCTCCTGGAAGCCTCTTTAACAGGATTCGATTGAAAGTTCTTCACAGCTTCAGCTCGCTTTTAAAGTAAGTTTCTGTTTTCTCTCTCCTGTCTCTTCTCCTCTCTAGGCTGGCAGGCTACGTGGAGGCTTTGGCGTCTCGGCTGGGGATGCAGATCCCTGACTTAAGCCCCAAACAGGCTGATATGTGGCAGACCAGAGTCAGCTCTCACTCGGTTGGTAATCTCGTATAACACGTCCCTAAACACCCAATATCTATATGGAAAAACAATCCTATCTGACTAATTCATGCAATCAGAGTGAAAATTAATCAACCTGTTGTTATTAAAGGATCATGTTTGTTGTATATACTGCATCTCAAACATAAAACCAGGCAGCTCATGTCTCTACCATGTGCACTCTCCACCTCTGTTATTGCACAGGAAAATTACACCTGAATGATTTTTAATATACTCCAAAGACTCAAGTGTGAAATGTAATTAGTTTTAATCAGATTGAGTGATTAGTTGAGTTGAAGTGAAAAGCTCTCAGCTGACTGGAAAGTCTTCAGTAAAAGACCAACGGCTGCTATTACACCAGAGGCATGTCCAATATAACAAAAATTATAGCCTAGTTGTGATTATGCATTGCTAAAATAAAACCAGTCACACTAGAAATATAGAGTTACACATTCCCAACTGTAGGGGTAATTACTTGTCTAATGTCTAATGTGGTAACTAAGTAAATTATTTCAACGCAGCCAGCTGCAGTTAACCAGATAAGTTACTGTCGTCACGTTCATAATTTATTAACATCCTTCTCCAATCTTTAGTAGTTATCATTATTCAGAATTATTAGCTAACCTCGTTTTCAAATCAGCTCACTAATCTTCACTTAAAACGGCATATTTTCAGGGTTTTTTAAGGATTTTTTTCTGCCTCTTGACATCTATTAGTCAAACCTATTAAATCTATTCATCAAACCTATCTCTAGCATTCCTTCTTAGACCTTTTAGTGCTTTTCAACCAAAAGAACACATAATTTTTAGTTTCGGGGACTTCTCTTTGAAAAACAAAATCGTTCCTTTGGCCTGTTGTTGTCTGCCTTTCTACTGCAGCATTAAGAACTGGGATAACTTAACGAATCACACCAATAGCATCCTGGGATGGTTATTCGGAAAGTTACCGGAAAGAAGCTGCACAGCTCTTTGAGTCTCTGCTGATATTGTTTGTTTTTTTGGCAAAAAAAACAAGGGGTCAGTTTTTTACCTTAGAATTAAATGTAGTTCCTAGTACCTGACCTGCAGTTGAAACGCAAAGTTCCTGTGCAAAGTTCCTATGGTTGAAAAGCTTGATGCATATAGATGCCCATTTCCCACCTGTAGAGTAAATTCACATATTTTTGACCTGGTGCTACAAATGCAGGCCAGAGTCAGGATAAGGTAAAATGATGCAGAACAAGAGGGGCTTAGTATTGCTCATGTATTTCTTTATTTGTTCACTTGTTTATTTTCAAGATAAAATGTGAGAAAGGGGAGATTTTGAATGGTTTGAATTGATTTGATATTTTTAGTGTGAGAGAGCGATCACTCTCCAGCATGTGGCGCTGTATATAAAGACACCGTTTTTATGGTGAATATAAATAGCCAGCCCTTTCCTTCAGACTCACAAAGATGATGTTTTATAACTTGTGTGCTTTTTTTTGTCTTGAGAATACAAACTGTTATCTTACCACATAAGATTCACTCTTTGCTTCAACGTTCTTATCTGACAACATTAAAAGCATATTAGGTCTCTTATAGGCATCTTATAGCACTGTAGGCATACAGTAGAATGTATTTATGAAAAGATTTGGTCCATGAAAAATTTCCCCCGGCTTTGTTATAAGGCCCAGGAAAAACCAATAAAAGGATTATTTATAAGAAAAAGAAAAGTAAACCAGGAAAAACCTGCCTGTCAAGTCACTTGTAAGAGGTTTACTTGCTGGTAAAAAGGCTTTAAAGCTGCTCTTTGTTTTTTGTGATTACTCAAATGTAATTTCTTTCAAACCCGTTTCACACAATTGTTTTCTTTCTCCCTTTTCCTTCCCTCTGTGCAGGGTAAAGCCATCGGTGTTGGCATCGGCTGCATCCTTGGCATGTTTCCTCTCCTATTCTTCAAGGACGACGATGAGAAAAAAGAGGGCCAGAAGGAAGGGAAGGAGAAGTCGCAACCACCACCTGCTCCGACAGAGAGTAGCAAAAACTAAAATGAACCACCTCTCTGGAGACAGTTACTGTTCTGAACCTGTTCAAAGATTTGACACTGAGGCTGGCTGTGTCTGTTGGACTGGAGTATAGCTATGGAAATGTCACCGAACCTTCAAAAGTGTTCTCCCCAGGATATTAGTTATTGTTTGATTGTAGACTCTGAACCGAAGCACAGAGACCTGAAGAGGCGGATGATTCACTGGACTGCTGCTACTCCGACTCTCGCACCGTAACCTCTCTTTGTTTGACTGACCGACATGGGCTGAAACTCATTTCCCGAAAGCACTCTGCAGTGGCCTCTCTTCTGCTATGTACCCTATGTCAGGAAAAAGTAATAGATGTTTTGAGGGCTCCCTAATATTGTCACTACAAACTTTGCAACATAGGAAAAAAAAAACACTAAGAGTTCATTTAGAACAAAATAACAAAACTAACAGATGGCAGTTTTTTAGGGTTTATTAAACATCGTCAGAAATTGTGATACAAGAGGAAAACTGGATGGCGAGGGATATTACTAGCTTGTTTCGTCAGTGTTAAAAATCACCCTTTAAAAAAATTAAATTGATCATTGTAAGGGTTAAAGGTAAAGGGTTACATTTGCATTTGCAGATGTGCCCTGTTACATCATCATTCCTCAGTTGAACAAGCATGCCTGCTTTTTGATGATTTTAGTCTTAAAAGTCTTGCTGGCCTGCCTCAGTTACAGTCCAAATGTTACCCTTGCTAGCTGCTTTTTTTGATTTTTATATATATTTTTTAATTATTATCTGTATATGGTATGTTGTTATGCTTTCTAATTATCTCCCAAAGCAGTAAAGAGTCTCAAAAATATACTGTATGTAGCTCGCTGGATGCACTTCAACAAAATCCAGCATTTTAAGAAAAATTGTAACTTTCCTCTAAGAGTTGTGCAGAAGGGAGAGAAATATGAGGAGTGTGAATGAGGCAGAAAGAGAGAGACAGGGAGTAGAGGTAGAGTAAGCTACAGCAGAGGGAGGTAAAATGCCATGGTTGAACTGCCTGAGACCTCCTGCCCCCATTCTCACAGACAGTTTGGATGTCATTAATCTCCTCCTGTCCTGCATCAGCTGAACTGCAGCCACACTACAATACATGTCTTCCTCATGAGCGAACACCACACATAAGCCAGTGCAGTCTGAATCCTGGGAGTACTCAATCCAGCGCACAAGATAGATTAGATTTGACTGGAGGCTGAATTCTTTGGAGAAGCTGTCTTTGTTTTAATCCTTACACATAAAGCTTCATTTACTCTCACACCTGTATGTGTAGAATATCCTCTGCTCTGCTGCCCTCCACAGGCAGACCCGTCTGTTTCAGCTCATCTCTCATCGTACTGTAATTCATGTGTTAATCTGTTAAATCGTCATCTGTTTTTTACTTGTTAACACTCAAATCTGGCTGCTTGGCTTTATAATTAATCAGTATTTGATTATTGTTATTTATCATTGCTCCTCTTTGAGATACAATCAAGTCAAACTGCAGCATCTGCTAACCATCAAACAAAAACCCACATGGGATTGTGTTTGATTTTCCCTCCATTTTAACCGTCACTGATTTTCCTCATTTATCTCCTGAAGAGTTTTGTTTGTCCCGTTTGGCACAGTTATCTCATCTCATTAGCTGAACTGAAGGATGTTTATCACGGTGTTGAGAAGTTTAAATGAAAGGCGAGAGCCATGTGTTGCCTGATGGAATTTCATTGGAGGAAATCTTTTTGTTTTTAGTGTTAAATCCAAACTTGTATTCATGTATGTCGTCACTAAGTAGTCCCTACCCGAAAAAACAAGATCCAAAAAAGAAGGACCTTTCAGCACAAAAGACCTCTTTCTCATATTTTCAACATGAATGACTCGCTGTTACAGACCAAAACTTCTCAAACATGCTCTTAAAACTTGAAGTATAAAGACTTAACTTGTATAAGATTGTTCTAATGTGGACAACAGTGATCCTTAACTGTAATAAAAATCAATAAAGTGTACCAAGAGACTATTATGTAGATAGGATTTTTGATCTGATGGCTTGAGTTTCATTCTGCATGCACTGCTGATAAAAAAATGTAATTGTACATGTTTACTTTGTAAGGATAATAAAAGAAAAATGAAGTATGTTCTAAAATATTGCATTGCAGGTTTATATGAATCACTGCAAGTGATAATACATGAGGTAAAATGTAAAAAAAAATATGGTAATAAAAATATTTTTGTGGCTGTTTAAAGCAAAAGCACAAACAAAATCTTGTGTTTCCCTTTTTGAGCAGCCATTGAGTTAGTTTTTTACAAATCAGATTCATCTGCTTGTGGCAAAGAGGCCGAACAGATAACAGCACAATGCCACAAGCCAAGCGTGTCAGTTAAAGGGATATTTCAGCGTAAAATTAAGTTAGGTTCAAACACACCGTAACACTGAGTTAGACACCCTGTCGAGAGATGAATGTTGCCGACCGCTTGCTTCTCTAGGTATACCAACTTTAGAAACGACCGCAGATAGCAATACAGAGAGCCACGCACTCAACCAAAAAGCCACTTTATGGCCACAAATGATGCTCAGAACAGCACCTAACTTCATCAAGATTACATATAGTGTCCTAGCCAACATCTTTTTAACTTTGCCTGATTTCTTTAGCAAATAGACTAAACACAACTCACCCACTCTCTTCCAGAAGCTGCTTGTTTGTAGTGAGACCTCGAGGTCAGTCCATCGACTGCAGCGGGGGGACACAGCTCAAGGAAGAACATTTATGATCATTTCTTCATGGAAATGCAATCAGACCAAGGCGCTAAGGCAGAAGAACTACCGCGTCTGCAGAGCAAAATGATTAATATGGTGATTATTACTTGAAGGAAATGATAAAGAAATGATCATAAATGTTCTTCCTTGAGCTGCGTCCCCCCGCTGCAGTCGATGGACTCGCCCGGAGGTCTCGCTACAAACAAGCAGCTGCTGGAAGAGAGTGGGTGAGTTGTGTTTACTCTCTTTGCCAAAGAATTTGGTAAAGCTAAAAAGATGTTTGGTGGCTAGTACTATGGCTTGGACCCTTTATGTACTGTTGATGAAGTTAGGTGCTGTTCTGAGCATTTGTGGCTATAGAGTGGCTTTTTGGTTGAGCGCATGGTTCTGTGCATTGGTATCTGCGGTCGTAACTTTTTTTGTGAGCAGTTTGAGGCAACTGACTTTGTAAATGTATTTAAAATGGGAAGTGAGTCTGGGTTGGCCTGCCGGCGGAGTGTGAGACAGCAGCAGGACCACTGAGGTTAGTGACACAGATCTGCCTTTCTGTTTCCGGTGTGAAGGAGTTTCTCACTCCATGGTTGCAGCTGTAGCATGACACGGTGTCTGCAGGAGTCTCCTGCTGCAAGACGTTGTCACCGTGTGTGAAGTGACAGTAATATGCGCGTTTTCAGTGAAAAATAAAAATAAAAAAGGCCTGTGTCGCCTCTAGTCGTGCCGTAAATCGTTTCGTTCGTGGTCCCGACCTCTAGCTCCTGTTTTCGCCGGTTTCACTATTTAAAAATGGCCTATCTTTACACAGACAGGCTCACTCACTGTTGCAGGTGACAGGGAGACATGAGCAGAAACGAGAGATTTTTTAAAATCTAGTTAAATGTTTCTTATAGGAACTGAAAGTGTGAAGATTTGGAGGTTGTGGACGCTGCAAAGAAGAGAGTTGGGCTAACTTGTCGAGACTTCGCCTCTTTGCATAATTTTGTCAAACTGACACCCCGTTTAAAGGCTGTGCTGCAGACTCAGGCATTGTTAGAAGACAATGTAACACAGTGTCAAAATACTGTCATTTTAGGCTCATGTTTAACACCAGACCAGCAGAAGAGATCCTCCTTTTCTCAGCAGCTTGGAGCTGATCTTGAGTAGATGTCATTCAAACTTTGAGATGGATGTTAAATCAAAGATGACTCAAACAACATTCAGTCATTCCTTGTTGTTTGTCTTATATGTAGCAGCTCATCTTAACCTATTTTATTTTGTATCTTCTGTTGTTTTTAAGATGTTGAATTTGAAAGCTAATATGCATGGTTTTTTTTTTGTTTTTTTTGAGAGTTTTCCATGTTTTTCTGGACCTGTTGATGTTTTAAAGTACTTGAAAAGCTTTACAAGTTTGATACTCTTGCAGACGAGAGACACAATACAGAGACTTTTCAGAGAGGGCAGATGATCATAAAAGATACAGTAAGACGAAACTGAAATCCTATAACCTGGTAGCTTTGCTTTTATCATTAAGTTAACCTACATCCTCATCCCAATTGACATGTCTGAAATTATGTGAGGTTATTTCATGGCTGTTTCTGATATATTTGAATAATGAAAATAGTATTTGAGTCAACGGCCTAAAATCCACCCAACATGACAGATTCTCCTGTGTCCCTGTTCCTTCAAAGCACTGATATCTTTGTGTTAGAAGTTCATGGTGCTGAAAAAAATCCTTAGTGCCACACTTACAGTCTTAAATCTTCAATTTTGTCTGAAGCAATACATACACTCAGCACATGCTCTGTATATATCTACGTAAAACAAAGAGAGGAAATGAAAATGACAAAAAGGACAAATGATGCTGTGTAGTAAATCATCCATGAGAATATGGAGAAAAAATAAAACAGAGGAAAATACTTTTCTGGATTATTGTTGATTAAATGATGAACTCTATCTGGACACTATTATTATGCCGCAAGTTTTGGTTTAGAGCAAAATCACAGTCTCCTCATAATGTATATTTGTTTCACTGTAATGGGGGATAAAAAGATTCAATTACCTAAAGGAAGCATTAGGATGTTTGCCTCTAAAAACCTCTCCCCGTGTTGATTGATGTCTTGTTATGCAGCGAATTATTCCTCAATCAGTAAAATTAGTTCTCAAATTTAATTTAGCAAATACTAGCCACCTATTGTAACAATCTGAGGGTGTTTCCATAATCATTCAAAGTTCTGTTGAAGAATTTTTGACACTTAGGAGACTGAAATTCATAACACTTTCTATGAAATAAAGAAGCAAAAAAGACCATAAACTACAAGACAGTTTTAAAGTGCAATGTTAAACACCTTATACAACATGGGGGGTTGTAGCCAAAGCAGCCACTGTTAAACACATTTAACATTATTATCCACACAAAAAATAATAAATTTGACAGTCAAAAGTCAGCAAGATGAGACTTTTCTCAAAGGACACTACTTTAACATGTGGAGAACAGGCTTAGACGGCCTTGTCCACAAGAGGGTGCCAAAGTGGATTAAAATTAAAAGTTCCTCACAGGAGCTTGAAGTTTGAATTATTTTCAAACTACATTTACAGACTTTTTAGTCTCTTAATCATTTTAATTTAACAAAAGGTTAAAAATGTTGGCTGTTGACAATTCATTGAGGGCAGATAACATGTCTTAACCCTCCTTTATACACATTTACTTATTTGGTTCAAACCATTTTATCAAATGAATCTCAAAAAGGGTCAAAATTTCCCAGTTAACTGTGTGTTTCTGATGGTATGTGCACTTCCTGTCACACCATCTGTCTCCTTTATGTTTTTTTTTACTAAAATTGCAGAGAGGATGTGCAGTTAATGTCTTATGCAGGATATTACAGGATGAAGAAAAAGGGAAATAAAGTAGGTCATTACAACATGCAAATAAATCAGTGCTGTATTAAGCACAGAGAGTAAACTTGTTTATCTTGTCGAGAGCAGTATGTGCATATGCATACTTTGAAAGCTTTGAAAATCTATGGGCTTAGTGAAGCTTGTGAAATAAACAGACAGTGAAATACAAAGAAAGAATACATCCCTTTGTTTAGTTAGTTTTGCCCTGCTTTTACTTTCTATGCAGGAGTAAGAAGTCTATAACTGGAGGTTCACAGCTCTGAAGAAAAACATCCTCTGTGTGTTTCTTGTTCTTTCGTTCCCCCTGGCTGTCATTAGTTGTCTGCACACAAACATATGTACATTTATGTCATTGGGGAGCAGATGGATGACTCAAAGGACGGAGAGGTAGTCACTTCGAGAACACCATCAGAGATTTAACAGCTTGGGACAGCCACCCAGTGGAGGGTTTGACTTAATGTTGTTAGATAGAGCACAAACAGTAACAGTACACGCAATATTCAGGTTCCTAGGGTTAGGAACTTAGCAAATTTGTTCCCTTCAAGACCTACTTTTTACTTCCACTTCGTTACTATAAATAAAGCTTTATATCTGACAGTACAAACTTTGACGTATCAGCGTTTTACAAGAGCTTTATTAATTACTTGAATTGTTTTAAATGACCCTCTCTTCCTTCTTACAAACAATACTAAAATGTAGTAATCCAAAAATATCACACTCCCAAACATACTGTACATACACACTCACAGTTGGTAAGTTTGATCACACATATATATCACAAATACATCATCATAATCAGTGTTCAATTGTCCAAACAACACAGGAGGAGCAGTTAACTTGTGCCATTTGATACTCTTTTCCCAGAGGTACACTGCTATAAACAAGTTACCGTTAACAAAAAAAAAAAAAAAACTCACAGGTTATGGCTAGTTCTAGGTTAGTTAATAAAAAACAAAAGCAACTTTGTTCAAGCAAAGGCACACTGAGGAGAGGTCTGTAGACAGCCCTCCACATTCTACGTATTACAATCAGTATTTAGTTCTTTATTCAGGTCTTTGTGTTTGTAACTGTAGGTAAAATGGCCTCGCGCAAAGAGGTGACCGAGGTTTCCAATAACAGTGGGAGAGGTATTAATGTGTCGTTAAATATTCAAACAATCAAAATCATGTAAACATTAGTTTGTGACTGGATCCCTGTAACAGCAGGGCTAAAAAAAAGAAAGTGGGATGATTTGAGTAGGTCCTCCACCCTGATAAAAGAAATGTAAAAAATGTCTTGTTGGTTGTGACATTCTAAATAGTTGTCACATTTGTCTTCACTTTGCTTTGTTTTAGTCCCAACAACATGTTCTTACATGTCAGCATTGTTACCAAACCTTACCCACACTGACCTACAAATGTGGCTGAAAGCTAAAGTGTTAGCCTTCAGGAGAAAACACCTTTACTCACCAATCTATGAGCAAATGTTAAACTCTTACAGCTCCCAACCCTAGATTAGAAGAAATAGTAAATAATTTAAACTGTTTGTATTATTATTTTTACTGTGCCTACAATCTCTAGAATCACTTTTATGCAAAAGTGAAAGCTATTAAGCTGTGACATGGTGATTGAAGTGTAAAATATGGAGCTGCACTGACAGTTGCTGCAGGTTCGGTCAGTCCCGTGTGACCCACCTTCATGGGCAGACTTCAGACCTCAGTAACAACCAGCAGATGTCTCTGTTACATCAACCTGCTGCTACTTACAAGAAAGTCCACTGTCACAGAATATAGCACCATGCTCTTAAAGAGAGGAAACATCTATATTTATTTTCAAACCCTAATTGTAGTCTTACTTACCAGTCTGTTTGTACGACGAAAATGAAACATGTTAGTCGTGTGTATCATAGCAGTTTTTGTTCAGGCATTAAAACAGGTATCCAGCACCATTCACATAACATGTACCAGTATATTTAAAACCATTTTCTGTACTGCTTCAGCGAGTGAGATCGTTTGGGGAGACGTGGCCAACAACACACTTTAAATGATTGATAATCATATCAAATCTCAGCAACCATATCTGCTTATTCCACTGTTTGTTACAGCTGCAGGTCAACAGAAGTAAATGTATTTTTTGTTGTTGTTTTTGTACATCCCACAGTTTAATTTTTCAATATTTTTTTCATTCATATAAACTAGAAGAAGGTGTTTTTTTTTCTCAGCAGAACAGTGAAGTCTCCTCACCAGGAGGAGATGCTATTCTGCATTCAAAGACTTCATTAGTAACGGTTTTACTGAAGAGTTTGTCTGGTCGGATTGAGATTTCAAGAGTCCTCATGACCAGTTGGAGCAAACTAGCAGTCCTATAAAATGCCAACAGAGTCCCTCAGAAGTAGGTGGGTTGTAGGAAAGCGTAGATGAATACACACACACACACACACAAGCACGCACACCATATAAACCAGGGCTCTCTCACTCTCTCTCTTTTGTTGTAGCCACACAAGAGCAGCCTTTGTAAGCCATCATAGTGTGACCGAGCGAGAGCGTGCCGAATACAAGAGTATGAGCATATTTGTTTCCTCATGGATGTCTGTTTATGCATGAGTGTGCGTGAGTGTGTCCTGGTATTTGCGCCCCTGTTCATGAGCCCCCCCCCCCACCCCGCTTTCCCGCTGTGCTGGCTCAGACCCCACCAGTCGCTAGGACAGTGCAGAAATAGGACAAGAAAGAAAGTGAGCCTCCTTTTTCTCTCTTCACACTGTTGCATTGTTACTGGAGTCGGCAGGCCGGTGGTGGGATGAGTGAGGAGGGGGCCGGGAGGGAGGAGGGTGGAGAGGAAAGTTGAGCAGGGTCAACGTCCTGCTGGCAGTTCCAAAGATGCTCCTTTTAGCTGATATTTCTCTTTCAGTCTGCCTATTGAGCCTAAGTTTGATGTTTTATCTTAGTCCAACAATACGACAAACAAGGTTCACATCGTCCATCCTTTTGTCCCATCAAACCTTTTTCCTAATTGTTAAAAAAACAGTATTTTCCTGTTATTAGTTGTCTGAAAGCCATTTCAAAATCTTCGCTTGCCTTTGAGGAAAAAACGGAAGACTGAGTGTCTTCTAATGGCACACCAAGAGGAGGTTATTAGTCTACTTTGTCGTTGTTGTTGGAGTAAACAGGGGGACACTCAGCTGAGCATGGAGCTGAAAGGAAGGAGGAGGTGGAGGAAAGCGTTTTGGTGGTGGCAGAGGGTTCCCTGGGTTTGTGCTTTCGATGCAGGGCAATTGCAGCCAGAATGCTGATGATGTGCACGTGGAAGTACATAGACCTGGAAAAAAGAAAAAAAACAGGAGAGGAACTTTTTTTAGCTTTGTCACTTCAGAGTTACAAGGTAAAATAACGACCAGTCATGACAAAGTTAAGTTGGCCATTATTTATCATGTCAAAAACTATGGTTAGAAATATTGTACAAATGGTAATTCTTGGCTCAGCTCTTCCTTCTGAGTCTAAATCATATCAGCAGATCAGTCAGCAGGTAGAACATACTTCGCAAAGTGACTCTTGTAGGTCTGCTTTAAGCTCACTAAAGGACGCAAACAATCTAAACATAATCATGCCAAAACATACAGTGGCAACTCAAAAAATCTGAGAGGAGTTTCTCTAATGTTTTTGTACAAAGAAAATAGCAGTAAAAGGGCTGATCTCTGGATCTTGGTATGTTTGCAACTCAAACATGCAGATTCCACATTAAGATATGCACTGACCTTGGACTAAAGTAGATAATACATACCTATAATAAACCAATGTAGGCTCTACTGCAAGGAGAAGAAAAGGCATGACAGTGTAGCAGATGGCGAGCTGTGTGGCTGCCCAAGTTATGACATCATAACCCAGTTTCAAACCTCTGTAGCCCAGGAAGTGATGACGAACAGACTTTCTTATCTGCCAGACAGAGATGAAGTGATAGAGAGTGATAAATCACAATTTTACATTTGTGACAGAACGGTGCACTAGGGACATAAGAGGAAAGTATATTTATACAACCAGTTTGAAGTGCTTGACAGAGTAGAAGGAATTACTGTAGATTGAAAATCACATTGACAGAAGACATGTAAAAGGATGCACTTGAAAACCATGACAAGCACTTTAAATAAAGAAAATAAAAATGACAAAAACAGAGGGTTATGGTATAATAATGCAGTTTTCAAATACAAGCATAAAAGTTACAGTGCTACATTGTATTTTAAAAAATAGCATGACTTTGTCAAAATAATTCAAAAAAGGCAGCTGTAATCAAGTGAGTCTTCAAGTGGATTTAAAGGAGCAGAGTTTAAGGGAGTCTGACAGTTTCTTGGAGTTTGTTCAAAATATATGGATGCTGCTCCTCTCTGTTCTGACTGAGGGGAAGAAAAAGCAGACCAGTCCCAGGTGACCTACATGGTCTAGGTTGATCAGACTGTCAGTATCTGAATATCACTGATGAATTTTTAGGTTGACCTTTAAAGACTATGTAACAGTGATCAAGTTGACAAACTTTTTCTAGGTCTAGCTGAGACACAAATCTTTAAACCTTGATAAAATCTTCATGTGATAGAAGGCCAAGTTTGTAACAAACCATCTTCATGTAGTTTCTTAAAATTTAGGACTGAGTCAGTGACTGCATCCAGATTTCACTTGGTCAGTGTTGTTTAACTGAAGCTGCTTGCCATTTTTTAATCTTCCCTCCTTGGCTTCAAAATCAACTTCCTCAGTTTTGTCCGATCGAGTAAAATCAAGGCAGATCCGCTCATGCATTTGCTCGAGACATTTATACAGAGCTTGTGTGGGGCCATGGTCTCCTGGTGACATTGTAGATGCATGTTGTCTGGGTAGTTATAACTTATTTAGTTATTTGTATCATCTAAGTCAGTGGGTGTATGTAGAAGAACAGAGGAGGCTCCAGGATGGAGCCTTGGGGAACGCCACAGTTTTCCTGTCGGTTATATAGTGTATTATGGTGGGCAGTGTCAAATGCAGCACTGAGATCCAGGATTACTTAGACTGAAATTTTCAGCAGGTGTCAATAACACCCTAACCAGAGCAGTCTGAGTGCTGTGAGGCTGTCGAAAACTTGATCTGAAGACAACAAGGTAGCAGTAAAGTGTTATAGATTTATCAATAATCTTACTTTAAAATGGCATATTTGATATAGGTCTATAATTGTTCAGCTATGTCTTGTTTATATTATTCTTTCCCCAGCAGTGGCTTGATGCAGTTTTAAGAACTTGTGGGAGGATATAGCAGACTATTTCAGTTCAGTTACATGATAAAAGTGCCTAAAAATTAAAGACTGTATGAAATAAGACAAATTTTACAACAGGAATGCAATGTTAAGAATTTTTTTCAACAAGTTTTAAAAACTACAATTGGTAAAAATGCAATCATTCAGTGTTCATTTTCCTTGTGGGTGTAAGAATTTGCAAGAGTAAAAGGTCAAAGAGATTTCCATTGGTTACTCACAGCTCGTGCTGCCATGGTGATGGGGATGGCAGTGATGAAGGTGAAGTAGTACCCTGGATAAACACCATGCCACAAGGCAGACAGGATAAAGGTTAATGCCAACCTGTGCTTGGGGGCTCGATCATAACACACCCTGAGGACATTAGAGATCAAACATATTCAAGATTATTTTTGAAAGCTGGATGACGTATTTTCTACCTGTGTGCGTCAGTGTTGACGTTAGAGCTTGAAGTACCTACGTTTTGAGCCAGACTCCTGTTCGAATGTTCCAGTTGTCTATGAATGTCTTAAAGCTGGTTGCAGTCTGGAAAAAGATCAATAAATAATATAACAGTTTTCTCAAATATCTTTATTGCTGCGCTTAAAATCCTACAAATGTGTATGCAATTCATTGTGACAAAGAGAGCCTTCCTTTTGTGTCTAATCCAATCATGTAATAGTAGTACCTCAATCCCCAAGATGTTGACATTGCGAATGAGGTCCCAGGATGGCTTTCCATTTTCATCCAGTCCCGAGAAACCGAAACCTGCAGCGTTGTTCACTGCATCAGCTGACAAGACAGAGGGAAAACTCACATGACTTCCATAGCAATAACAATACTCCTCATGTTCCTACTCTAATTGACAAAAGCTTACTAAAGCACTCACACACCCTAACACAAAAGGCGCTCTCACCTAAAGTCCAGGCAAAGTAGAATTTAGGTCTTGCTGCTTGTATAGAGAAGAAGGCGTAGGTGAGCCTGGTAAGGAAGGGGGCGTGGTTGACAAAATAGGGGTCCACGTTGTAAGTAATTGGCAAGGCTCGAGTAATAGTGAGGAAGCAGAGCATACAGCCGCTGCAGACCAACAATTTCTGACAGACAGCATTCTGCAGAAACACAGATAACATCAGGCTGGTGATACTTTTAGATAATACAGACAAACGCAGCAGAGACAATATTCTCCCTAATACCACATGAAACCAAGACTGACCCATTCTTAAGTAGCCCTACCATTTGATGCTTATGTTATTATATGGAACCAAACCAGAGAGCAGAAACTAGGTTTGGGTTAAGAAATTTACCAGAGGTGAAGGGTCCGGTACTTTGTCATAGCCGTTCTGCCCGTTACATGTCCCAGAGTGCTGCCTGAGCCTCTTGCTGATGTGCCTGCCTTCTATGAAGTCTATGTACTCTTGGTAGTCATTGCATGGGCCCACCATGACACCAAGGAAGTTCAGATTGTAACTGAGGTACTCGATGAAAGAAGGCCTCGCCCTGCAGACAGAACATCAAGATCAGTCTTTGAAAACCAAACGTCTTAAGACAGAGGAACCAAGAAACTGAACCCAGACTGACAATGATTTTGACATCCATGCCCATACTGAATTGAGAGGTGAATATTTTTTAATCACCAGTAGAGTGACTCTTTGAGCTGAACCTTTAAAAATGGGATTTTTTTAGCCTGTATCTAACATACAAAGTCCAAGAAAACTTAAATAAAAAGGGCTTCGTGAGAATCAAATAGAAGTGATACTCAAACTTACAAGGAGCACAGGAGACTCAAAGTAAACTAATAAAAAGAGTACAACCATATTTACAGCGGAAGAGTTTTCACACAAGAGTAACACTGTGTGTTGTTCAGTCTTAAATTTTCAACTAATTTCAGAATGGCATGCATGAGTTACAATAGTGAATAAATTTTTAAAAATACACATGCATAATAATGTTGTTTGTTCCATGCCAAATGATGCATCTTGTCTAAGTTTCCAGCATGCTTTTACATGAATAATCATTCACCATGATCTCATCTCCTTCTGATTGTCCTTTGTGGCTAAAGGAAAAAGAAACAGTTATTTAGTCTTTATTACCCGGCTTTCCTGACTGAGTCCTGACTTAACACTTCATAAAAATGCTTAACTAAATTAAACTAACTTAACTAAACTAAAGCCTGGTGAATTAGGACTGTAATGACAATGAAAATGCAAGGTTTAATGTTAACTCAACCTACAAATACGCTGATCTAAAACTGTTGCCATGGAAGCACTCCAGGGACTTTTTATTCAGGGTTATAAATAGATCATTATAAAAATCTATAAAATCATCTTTAAACTAATACTTAGTTTCATCTTATTGGTATATTCATTTGGAAGCCGGGTAATACGAAGATAACATATGGCTAAGGGTTAGCATTTGAGACAGAGGGCTCTATTTTGGTGCCTCGCCGGAGACGTGCCGCAAGCGCAGCGTCAGTCAGATCCGCCGCGCTGACAAGGCGTTCCCAAGCACATTTTGGTATTTTGGTGAGCCGCGCAGCCCGGCGTAAGTATCCCCCCTCCCTAACTCAGCTCCTCCCAGCACCATAAGTCGTAGACGGGGAGGAGAAAGGGCGTGTAGTTGGTTTAACACAGCCGAGACCTGTTTTCACCAATCACATAAGCTCCTCTCCTTGCCTTTAAATCCGCCACAGGCGAGGCGTATTACTATTTTCATGGAGTAGTCAAAGAGATCAAGAGATGTCTTAAGACAGTAATGCCACAAGATGGCGACAGAGGGCAGCTCCTCAACAAGTGTCCTCCACACTCTCTCAAATGAGCACAGATGGATTTAGTGTGCGTAATGTTGGACCCACTGGTAAGACAAACACCCGTTTCCACAAATAAAGACACTCACATAAAGTTGCTCATATTCAAACCTCACGTGACAAAGGTGGGTTGAGCGCACAGATCACAACATAAACTCCAAAAATGGCATTAAAATCGGAACCATCTGTGCGTAAATGACGCATCGCGCTCCGTGGTCTGGCTCTTTCTTTCATAGATGTTGGCATATAAAATAAATTTGGCTCACAAAACTGAATATTGTAATATCCGTATGTCGGCTTAAAGTAGATAACGCATCTGAGCACTGAAACAAATCATCTGTTCAGCTGCAGCAGCAGCAAGACGGACAGAGGACACGGAGACGTGTCCAGGTCGAGCTGTGCGAGAAATAAGAGGAAGAGGAAGAAAGAAAAGGAGGGAGACGAATTACATATCTTGTTAACTTCATCATGTGTGAATATTTACTAGATATTTAATTTAATTTGATGCGGTTTCAGCTGTGTTGATTCGGTCAGGTTGTGTGTCCAAACGCGTGCCAAACGCGTGCCAAACGCGCTCATCAGATCAGATATAGATCAGAATATATCGATATAGATCCAAATGTATGTGCTGACTCAGATTAATAGTTGATGATGATTATTTATTGCACTGAAATGTGCCTGACACTGTGGAAACCTGCCGGTGAGGCATCAGTGACGTATGTCGATACGCCGCCGGTCTACCAAAATACTACAAGACCAGCTGCGTTCCGCCTTGCGCTGAAAGCTGACCAGGTTTGAATCGGCGAGCTTTCAGCGCACTTTACACGCCGTTGGCGAGCACGAAAATGTCACTGCGCCAGCTGATTCTGTCGACACCTCCCCCTGCCACACCACCACGCCCAGCTTGGCGGATCTCGGCTCGCCTCAGTGCGGCTCATGCCACGAAAATACCAAACTGGCCTTACGCTGGGCTCCGCCAGACGAAAATACAACTGCGCGGGGCTCGCCGCCCTCCGCCGCCTCACCGGCGCGCACGAAAATAGAGCCCAGAGTCCTGACAGGGTGAGACAAGATCAGAGTGTAAAGCACCCATTCACCATAAATTATGTCTCCTCGGTGAGCGAGTCAATTACAACACAACCCTGAGCACACAAAAACCTGCAACTACGACTGATACAGGAACCAAATTTGGACAAATATTAACCCTACAGGGTAAACCATGAGCTCAGAAATACAGAAACGGAAGAACATCAGTAACCTCCACCATAAAGCACAATGCGCTAACTACTTTACTAAAACTTCATCCTCTGACATTTCATAATGTAAAAACAGGTCTTTTCTGAGGCAAAAACTCACTTAATGGAGAGATGCCTCTGCTCTGGAGTGAGATGTTCAGATTTCTTACACATACCTGAAAAAATCCAAAGAGATCAAGATATCAGCAACCAGTTTTAAACTTTTCCTCTATTAGAACTTAAACATCGCTCAACTAATTCAACTTAAAGGTCTTGCTTTTTTCACATTATTATAGCTTGGTAGACCAGATGAATACAATTTTACAAACATAAATACTAAATACTTCGAAAAGAGGTCTATCTGAGGAGTTCAGATATTGTGACAGCATGTTTAGACTCATATTCTATATGAATTTCACTGTCTGCATCCTCTCTGCTGCTTTACCATCATGGAGCTGGAACGCTAGTGTGGTAATCTTCTGGGCGACTATCATCAGAGGCCTGGAGAGAAAATAAACACAAGACAAAAAAAAAGTTTTAATTGAAACTGAGAGTGGTGATGGACTTCATAAATGCAAGAAAAAAAAATGGAAGGGAGTTGGATATAGGAAAGCAAGTTTAGAAAGATCTCTAGTGAAGAGAATCTTGTGCTGAATACTTTCTGAGTCTTAGTTACTGATCAAAAGTGTTGAACAGCCTGTTTACAGCCTGATATTATCGAAAGGATGTTTTAGTGAAGGCCAGCTTTTCCAGCCATTTGTTATGACCGATTTCAAACACAGCACATCCCAACGGAGCAAACTCCCACTGAGCCTCTGTCTAAGGCTGCAGAATTTATTCCCCTCGTGAATCACTTCATTCTTTTCCAGCAGTGTCATGTCAGGTCACTTATTAATCAAATCCAATTCATTCAAATCTCAGTTTTTAATTCGTTGTTGTCTCATTTTAACCAGTAAAGCCAGATCTTCATTTACAGTCCAAGATAAGGACCAGGAATGATCTTCTTTTTGTATATTTATTCATATGGATCAATTCTCTGTTCTTGCCTGTAAGTTAACCATTTACAGCTACTCAAAGTTCTGGTAGTTAGGTGACTGATGGAGTGTTAAGATCTGGTTGCAGTAGGTTTCAACAGACTAGTTAGACACACCCTCTCCTAGTTTCATTCACAGATAGAGACCTCTCTGTCCCAAGAATGTGAGTGTGTGAGCACAAAGGCACACATAAGCTACATCTCCCTCTCTCTCTCTCTCTGTCAAACACACACACACACACACACTGGTTCCTGTGTGTGAGTGGACTGCATTGTGTACACAGCATGGAAAACTGAGGCAGCGAGGTGCTGGCCGAGCGGCTGGCAGTGCCAGCTGAATAAGAGCTGGCAGTTGGCTGTGGATGAACATTTTCAGGGTGCTAGCCTGTGTTTGCAACACTCCACCACTGCAGCCTACAGACTCTGCTTCTCTGTGTAGACTTCAAAGTTGGCACTGACTGTATACAGGATTTTGAACCAGGTCAATTTTGCTTCTGCTGACTGTCTGCCAAATTCAGAACTGATCAGCTTACAGAAATGCTGACTGGTAAATAGCAAACTTTCAAGATAAGCTGTAGATAATGTGTGTTTGGCATCCTCCAACAGGGCAAGTCAATGGAATATAAAGTTGAAAACAGGGACACATAACAACAAAAGCCCAATAAACTTAATACCCCACTGGAACAGCTGTTCTCTTGCTGCTAAATTACTGAATAAAGTCTTCTTTTAATACAAGACATACAAACACCATGACTGTAACTCTTAACCATTTCTATGTCCATTCTCATAGCTCAAAGAAACAGGGTATCTAACTCAGTGTATGAGCCTGCCCAGGGCTGACTCATAGTCCTGGCTGATCATCACCAAAGTCATGCGGCGTGTATGTGAGGCTGCCAGCAAATTTATCCACATCAGAACTGAGAGAAAGAGTGGCTGAATATAAGAGCCTGAACAAGGTCAGCCATCACCTTTTACTGAACAACAATTTGCAGCTTCATGATAAGTTACATTTTTGCCTTTTTTAATAAGTGTGGAGAGTACAGGCCCTCTGTGAGACATGTGGGCCACAAATAAATGACTACTGTGTACAAAACATCTTTTTTTTTTCAACCAAACGACTGCATGTGAAAGCAAAGATGGGATTAAACTAAAGACAACTTTTGGCAGAGATTGGATGATGAATTAGTCATTTTTGTTGATGCAATCTTTTAATCATCAAGTAATAATGAATAGCATGAGTCACTGCCCATTATCCGTTATGGGAAAATCACTGTCTAAAGCTTGTTCCAGCTCTTAATTATCACTTCTTTATGATCCTCTTAGAGTTTACATGGTAGCATGTAATTTTGCAATGAAAAGAAAAACCTCAAAATAGAGATACATGACAAGTCATAGTTCTCAGAAGGCTGCTCGTTTACTTGTGCAGGTAAACTTTCCATACTGTTGCTTCTTTAATCGGTGTTTGTGTTTACACAGGGCTGGGGCACAGGCGTGTGGAAACATTAACTGATAGCATACGAGGGGCCGCCACACTGAAATGACGGATAAGCTGCGGACAAAAAAGGTGTGGCAAAGACAGGATAAGGTGAGGGATATGAGTGAACACGTTTTTTCTTACCCAGAGAAGTCAGTGGACAGGACCCCATAATGAAAGATGAAGACTCTGCTCACTTGGCATGCAGTCAAGTAGCCCATTGCAGTCAACATTGTATACCTACATGTGAATATATAAACAGAACTTAATTAGAAAAAAATAACATCAAAAATATTCTCCTTTAATTGTATATAATGTAATGTAGGGCTAACAAATACATAAATGTATTTACTTTGAACACTTTTTAATATATTTAAGAGTGATTTTTATGCCCTAAATCAAGAATCTCTCAAAGGAAAGTTTGGTTTTGTGGAAATGAGGCTGAATTTGTTGTAATATTGTATCGAGACAATCACACACAGTTCAGTTCAGTTGCTAAATTCATGGATGTTGACGGTTGGAGATCAAAATAGTTTGTTAAGATGCTCAAATTGTAAAAGCAGTTTTGCTACTTTGATTGATTTTCTTAAAAAAAAATCATTGTCTTTAGACTTTGTTGGTGGGTTAGATTCAATGTGGCCAGAGCTACAGGGATAATCTTCAATTAAATCTGACTAAAAAACAGAGTATCATGATTTTTAAAGGTGTGCCCTGACTAACTCAGTAGGCTGCTGCTTTATGTGATAAAAATGGAAGTGCAGCCACTTGAAATTTCTGTCTTAGTGCTACAAATAAGAACATGAATAAAGAACAGCTGTTGTAAAGGATGGCTTCTTACTGGTTCAAAGAAATATCCAGCTGGTTATCAAACAGATCTCTGAAGTGTTTTTGTAAGCCAAAAATTCTGACATCATGATGAAGCAGATTAACAACCCATTTCTGAATGCTCACTGCTGTGTCCTCAGGTAGCTTGTTTTAGTTTATATGTTTAACGTTAGACATAGTTGACATTGTGTTGTATAATCTGCAGCAGGTATTTCCATCTAATGTAAACACCAGAGCAGCCTTACGTGACCTTTTTTCTTGTACCTCTAATGAATATAAATATAGTCCATGCTTCAACCAAAATTGAAAAGCAACACCGATACACACGGCTGCAGAGAGACAATGGTGTTTTAAAAATGCATAAAAACACGCCAAGTCTTGTTGTCTGCATTGATCTAACAGACTGGTCTGGCTGGCATGTCTGGCTGCCTTTCACCTGACGTGGTTACGTTAGTTACTTTCAACAGCAGTTTTTCAGTTCAGGCCACATTTTTACAGGTAGATAATGGGGCGGGGTGCACCACACTGTAATCTTTGCAGGAATGTGTTGGTGGGTCAACTCAAAGGAAACAATAAATCTTTCTTTCGATTAAAAAGTGTAAAAAAAAAAAAAAAGCTTTACTGCTACAAACGAAATATCAGTATCCGTATCATTATCTATGAAAGCTATCTGACCACTTAAACATCACGCTTCTGTGTTGCAAATAGTTTCCGGTCTGATCTTGAAAGGCGAGTTCTACCTGAAGACAACAGTCACCAGTGTTGCACAACAATATGAAAATAAGATGTTGCTGTTGTAACACTTCATCTCCTTGTCCTCGTGATGACTACAGGCAAGTCAAATCCCAACATGTAAAATGAAACTGATTACTGAAAATGATTGAAATTTGTCTATCAACAACCAAACAGACACACTGGTTTCAAAGTTTCCTTACTTGTGAACATGGTTGATGTCAGCTTTGATGATGATCAAATAGTTTGCAATCACCACCATAACTATGTGAGCTGAGTACCTGCAGAAACAACAAACAATTAAAACAATTTAATTGACTGACTGAAGTGCTGAACATAAGCCCCATTTATGTGCTGGAAAATATGTCAGTGCTCAGTAAAAAGAGTACTTCATCGCTTCACGCTGCATGTAGTGAGAATGAAGTAGATTCAGTACCATCCAAAGCAGAAGATGAGGATGGCAATGCCCAGGAGAGTAGCCACAGCATGTCGGATCAGTGGATTGGCATGGACTGAACTGAGGTAGAGACGAAACCAGAAGGCTGCAACCAGTGCAAACAGCTGGGATGATATGAAATTCACCTGAGCAGGATAGACAGAGTTTAGGATGGAAATATACACATGAACAAATCACTCCTAGAAAGCATCAGCTTAACTAGAGAGAACTTCCTACACTGTTATTTATAACATTTACTTATTTGGTATGTGCATAGGGTGACTGTAACAGACAAACCTAATAGTTTCATCTACATGAGTGTTAGAAATTTAACTAAATGAGTTTAAAAGTAGAGTAAAGAGTAAAGCTTTTCTCTGTGGTGTCTATAAAGTTTACTATCAAGTAGCTGCTTTTGCCTGAAGAGTATTTCTCACATGGGCACTTCAGATTTTGGTGCCATTGTGAAGTGACATGCAAACAGATTTTAACCCTTTTAGTCAAAAACATCGACACGCCATCAATGAGACAGCGGTGATGGAGACAGAAAGTATCTATCACTTCTCATTTCAGCAATGCGCTGCAATGTCGATGTCGCCGCATGTCCCTATTAAAGTCACATTTACAGACAAACCGATCCATCAAATTTCACTGCACTATTCGGAGAGTACAAGAACTGCCAGCACTTGGGTATCACAACTTGCTGGTGTTTCATAGGCAGATAGTCAAACCTTATCCAGAGGAAATCCCAGGTATTCACTGACAGGCAGCAGCAACCTGGATCCGGTGGTGACAAACGTGGGGTCCTCACGCTCGTCCATCATGGGCAGTTTTTCCTGTGTTCCCGCGAGTCCTTTTCTTACCCCTGTTCAATTCCTCTCTATCTCCTGGTACTTAAATACATTGTTGTGCTACGAGGCCCCGCGACAGGTCAAACCAGCTCACAGTGTGATAGCGCAGGCATAGTCCGTCGGCTCTGCTACCTCCTCCTCCTCCTCCTCCATACTCCTCCTCCTCAGCACCAGTCAAGTCAGACATCCAAAGACAGAGAGGAGACACATATGTTTTCCGGCTACAGCTTCCAAAATAAAAGCTGAACCACGGAGAGTTTGACCACAAACAGGAAGAAGATCCTTTGAGAGGGAAAACCTGTTCCGCCCTCTAGTCCCCATCTATTAACAATCACAATCCGCCCTCAGTGGTGAACGTCTAAATCTGTCACTATCGTTCATGAGTCGACAAAATAAGAGAAGTAATTATGTCAACTTAAGTGTCTTTAAAAAGTACTGATGATGTCTTTTGATACAAAAGACACAAGTAGGCTATTTAGTTTAATTTTGCCAGTAAATATGCTCACTTTTAAAATATTTATTATTATTATGAGCCTCAATCTAGCTGCAGGATGAATAGGGAAGAGTGGGGTAAGATGAGCCATTTTTCATATTTCAGATCACTACATCAAGACAATCATAGTTTTGTCTCTAACTAGTGTATCTGCATCTATTTCAAGATGTTGTGCATCCCTGCAACCAATAGAATGAGTGTAAACATAACTGTCTTGATATTATAGCATGCCAAAAAAAAGTGGTCTCCTGTGGTCAATTTACCCTGTGTATGGGTTAGGTTGACCATAGAAGTGGGGTAAGTTGAGCCGTATCACTACTACCCCTCCACTCTCCATCCCAGTCCTCCCTCACCTTCTCTCTCCCTAAATAACAATCACTTCTTCACATTCATGTGTATTTTTATCTATTATACGCTATTTAACTGGTACAATAATTATTATTGCACATAACTGTTAAAAAGCTGTTTTGAAAAAAAAAAAAACAACAACACATTTTTACATGAGAATGCCTTTAAGTGATTCAGAACATTCACAGCTGTATTTTTAATAAGAAAAAGGAACACATTTCAACAATCTGAACTGAAACTCTGATCCTCTCATCAGACTTCTTTACTTTCTCAGTTACCCCAGAACTACTATTATGACTTTATGAGTCCTCTAAGCCAAAATGGTGGACTTTTATGCTAGGTTTTTGACCTTATGTTGTAGCTCATAGATACCACAATTGATGAATAAAACAAATTTAAAATGACCTTTTTTGGTCTGAACACAATTTAATAAAACTTATGACAGACTAAATTCACTTTCAAGAGTGAAAAATGTTTTTTTTTTTTTAAGTAAATGTCTAACCCCTTCACCCATGTGCTTCTAACCTTCACAGACTCCATGAATTGATGCCAATCTCCTAAATATTTGGTCACATGATCAATTCCTTTACCATTTCCAAGCAACAGGGGGTGGCTCAACTTACCCCACTCTCTCCTAATATTACTTTGTAAGCCAGGATTTTTTTCTCAATAAAATAAAAGCAAATGCTAACAGTCCCCAATGTGCAAATATCCCCACAGTATTTTAAGCATTGTATTGTATTTTTAACCTACAAATATGTAGGCTAAATGTTTTATCTTAAAACACACCCAGATCTCTCTCCCCTGGTTTTGACTATCTACTGTCTTGTGGCTGCTCATAAATTGGGGAGCTGGTTAATGACCATAGTTGGCCAGATTATTGAGGTTTAAACTTTCAAATACAATATCAGAGTTTTTCACTCTGAGAGGTATGACACAGGAAAATGGTAGCCACTGGAACATGATCTGTCAGCTAGTCACTGTAATTTGCCAGACCACAATATGCTATGGGTAAGGGTAGTTATTCTTTTAATCTGTAATTAATGCCTTGACATAAACTTTCTTTGCTTCAGTTTTATAATGAGGGCTAACTGGACACATTTGTAAGGGGTGAGCTGTTTGTGTCTTACAGTGTAAATGGCATACCTAGTGTCAGAGGTATGCACAGGTTGATGAATCCTACAGTGTTTGTGTAACTCAGTTAGTAGAGTAGTTGCCTCAGGCCTTCACAAATCAGTTGCAGGTATGACTGCCGATCTCTGTCTTAACGATGAATGCTTACCCCACTCCCTCCATCTCCACCTTTCCTGCCTCCCTTCAGTAGCTGTCTGGCTTAAATACAACCAAGCCATTAATTCAAAACCAAACATTTAAACAAACATAGTTCAATCTAAATAGATTTGATAACAAGTAAAGGCCCTGAATTTAAAAGTTACTCAATTATCATAAGAGGTATGAAATGAAATCAACCCCAGCAGAGCCGACCCAAGCAAACTAAGTGCCTACTTAGGGCCCTGCAGCCAGTTGGGACCCCCAAGAGCAATCAAAGAAATAAATAAAATATTTTTTTATTTTTTTCATGTATGAGTGATGCTTTCTGTATGATGTATATAAATAGTATTGTAAAAATAAGATAAAGTAAAAACATTTCAGTGCTGCTGCTGATGTAGGGCTATGATTCTTACTGCCAATGACACTTTTACAGTAAACACAATGCTTTATCACTTGAAATGTTAAAATCAACCCCAGGCCACTCTTGTAGCTGAATGTGGTACATTTTGAGATTAAAAACCATTTGTGGCACCCTGAACATCATTTATCAGTCATTCATTGGTATTATTTGTATGGTTGCATTGGTTTTATTTATGTTATTACCTATGCCACCCCCTTAAATGTCAGATGTATTAAATTTATACTGTAGTAGGTGTGTGAATGATCAACAATCAATATTATCGGCAGAAATAGAGGGCCCCAAAATCAAATTTTGCTTAGGGCCCCATTAAGGCTTGGGCTGGCTCTGAACCCCAGCAGAAATAATAGTCATTCTGCGTTACAGATCTATCTATCTATCTATCTATCTATCTATCTATCTATCTATCTATCTATCTATCTATCTATCTATCTATCTATCTATCTATCTATCTATTTATCTATCTATCTAGTCTGTTTGGGTTGAGAATGTTGTGTCTCGGCTGTAAATAAAGAGTGCGAGTTGGAGAAGTTTGCATCTTAAAGCTTTAGTCGTGTTTTGTCTTCCTACAGCACCATTTTACCTCGTGTCTTCAGCTGTCTAAGTAACTTGCGCCCCTCAGTGTCCTGTCAAAGGACATGCACGGCGTGACAGCTGACGTCGCCTGTTTACATCTGCCAATGAACACGTGGCGCACCGAATCTCGGACTGCTATTGGCCGATAAGGTAGAAATGCGGGCGGGGACTCTTACAAGAACAACCAATAGCGTATCGCATGTAAATTCCGTTTGAAAAATTCCCGGGAAATCCGAGTTTCGCGGGAGGGCTCTTGAGCGCGTAAACCGTATCCCTTCATTCATCAGGCCGTTTCCTGAAGCCATTTCTGGACGGGGGAAACGAGAGTTGCGCTACTTTTTAATCCATTGCATCTGCCTAAATGCACCTTCTTAAGGAAAAATACTTTACAAAAGTCGATGAATCAGACTTTCATCTTCACTTCTGTATGATTATTTTTGTAATTTGTGCGACGGATTAGCAGCCGTAAGGGCTTGAAAGTACGGAGACAAGAAAGGGGTTACCCCGAGTACGCAAGATGAGAAGAGGGATCTCCTCGGCTCCGGACAAAGTGATTTTAACGGGGGTTGGGAGCTCTCCTCTGGACAATAATATAATTTTAACAACTCTATCGGATCGTTTAAACCCCGGTCAATCAAACGCCACCTTTATCCAAATTATTACCACCCCTCCGCCTTGCAACGTTACACAGACTTCAACTGTGTGTTTATCTGAACCTCAGATAAACAACATTTATACAACTCCTCAACAAGCTGCAGCAAACGGAGCAGGACAACGACCCACTCTTGGGAGACCACCGGTAATGATTTATCCAGCTCGTTTGACCATGTTGGGCTGGCTACAACTAGCCACAAACACGACTACATGTTAGCCCGCTATGCTAGCCGAGCTTGTTGTTCGGGCAGCTAATGTTAGCCGCTTTTAGCCAGCGAGGTGGCTAACTAACTACCGCTAGCTAAGTTACCCAAGTGGTCTAGTTAAGTGATTTGATGAATGTAGGGTCTCAAATGTCGAGTTAAAGTTAGTTCTGCGGTCACGTAAGCGTGGAAATGCCGTGTTATATCGGGCTATGCTAACTTCATGGTGCTTTTGAGTCCGCTTCAGCCAGATGGAAATCTTGGTAAGAGATGAGTAAGGTTAGCGCTGGCCTACTGGCTGCTGTTTGGGTCTTAATTTTGGGGGGTTGGGGGGATTGTTTCGTTGCTCGGCTCATAGTTAGCCCACATTTAGCATTCTTTTGTATGACGAGTGGTCAAACTTGCAAATATGTGGACTTAATTGACGCCAAAGCTTCACTTCAGTTTCAAGACAACTCGATAGATATTTGTCCCAGTTGTCTCTGAACGTGCAAGCCAACTTAGATGAAGCTTGTAAATGTGTTAGCTCTCAGGGCTAGCAGCAAATATATGTGTTGTAAAAGACAACTGCACTCATCATCGATGTTAACCTTCATTTTGCACGAGTGTTTTATGTCCCCTTTTATTGTAAATAAAGTGCAACGACGTGGTGTCTTTATATGAAGTAAAGTGAAACTCGACTTTGTTGCTTTAGTGCTGACTGCACGTTTCCTGTATTCTCAACCTGCACAAACCACACCAAATCGTTACAGCAGAATTCAGGGTGTTGGTTACTCTCTGGCTATTCATCTTTCATGAAGTAAAGCAGCCTCTGAATCTCAGGCTGGAGCCATGAACATGTAGGGGGTTGGGGGAGCTGCTTGCTGATATAAAATGGCTGACATTTTGACTGTCAACAGAGGGCATATTATTTTTTTTTCCTCCAACTTGGGCTGGATGAAGTAGGGAACTATTTGAAATGTTTGCTGAACCAAAAAGCATTACTTTAAATGAGTGTTGACTGAGTTATCCTCTACAGAAGGTTTAAGAGGGAAATGCAGCAGACCAGCACCCTGGAAATGGGGTGCTTCTTCAAGACACACAAAAAAGGGTGGATTTAAGCCAACACACAGGTCCAGGGTTCCCCAGACTGATCCCCTGACCAAGGAGACTGTTTATTGATTTATCACTTCATGTTACCTGTTACCTGTACCACAATTATAACTTAGAATTGATTTCATCAGATTTTCAGAAGATACAGCAGGGGTTTCCAGGTGTGGTAAAGACTTAAAGGTTCCTCTTTCTATTAAATGATGCAGATAACTCACATTCTACTAGCCACACCTGAAGTGTTATAACAAAAATTAACAACTGGCCAGACACTGGTGTGTTTGTCTTTCTCAAATGTATAAAGATGATATTATAATCACGAGTCGAGCTCTCCTTCAGGCATATGTAAATGTTGTACGGTGGGATTGCTTTTATTATCAGGATGCCTGGTTTACAAAGCTATGTGTCTGTTGGTATGCAAGTGTTTTTGTTTGCGATAACTGCAGTATGATCAAACCCATGGGTGTGACTCACTTTAAAACTATGTGGGTTTGTCCTGGCCAGTTAGTTTGTGAAAAAAAAAAGGAACCGCTGGTCTTGTGCCACATCATTAGACTAGCGGAGTCTCTGCGAATGTAATTGTGACACATACACTCCTTCATAAAACTGAAAATGAAGATCCAATCAGATTCAGGGCCTGATTGGTTCATAACGCAACTTTCAGATTGTAAGCATTGTAAGATAACAGTGGAGTAAAAATAATGACGCATACAGACTCTCATACCTTTTGAAGTGGCCTCAAGGCTAAGAGTCTTTCAATGCAACTACGACACCAGTGTTTGCTTTCACCTTTTTAATTCATTTTCTATTTTGCCTCTCAAGGCAAAACGGAGGTTGGCGCTCGATGATTCAGACCACCAGTATCAATCAGAACCAGCCAGAACTCCAAGAGGAAGAGGAGGAGCCACTGTGGCCAATGGGGCGAGGCTTAAGACCCCAAGAAGTAAGTGACGATAGCTTGTAGCAAGAAGCTGTGTTAGTGAAAGCACATGTTCAGCGTTCGCACTGAGCCAAGCTCATTTGCACATCTCCTGGTTTGGGCACAGGTTTTCATGAGAGCTGATTAGCGGTTAAAATTAAGCACCTCATAATTGTATTTGTTTCTACTTAGTCCTTGTAACTGTGAGGCAAAAAGATACTGTAGTGGGAACTTGCATAGAAACAGACTGTACATTAGATGTTATTATGCCTGGATATACTTTTGCTCCCTGTTTAACGGCAGTATAACTGGAGATTTCATTCACTGAGTGAGTTGGAGGCAGAAACTGCTGCTTAAAGCACTTGATGCTGAAAGCACTAAAGAGTCAAGATTGATGCTATCAACACAGAGCTATCAATGTTTGATTTCGCTGATTAGAGTGGGATGATTATTCTTAAGTGGGGTAGTTGTCAACTATGTGACAAATAGCAAAGCATAACAATTACTTTTTAAATTTATATAATTTTGATGGCATAATGAAAATAGTGCATTAAATGGATATGTCATTACGTACAGCAAATAGTGAATTTAAATGGAATATGAATAATCATTTCATTGAAGCATTTTCTGAATGGTTAAAAACCAAAATCACAGCATCGGTTCACCCAGCATTGTTAAGCTTCAGCCATAAAACTTTACAAATGTTGCTGTGCGCAACACCACCAAGTTCACCAGAATCGACACAGAGTTGATTCTAAAAAAGGATTTTGGTAGATTCTGTGTTGGATCTCATTGAATTGAAATGTCAAACTCATTTTACTGTTTTCCTATATTGGTTCTACTTTTCTAATAAACCCACAATTTCCTCAGCCTCTGAGTAACAGTCATAACTACTGTTATAGTGCACTAAATGGAATTGCAGTACATTTCACCGCAGCTTCGAATGGAAGAATCTCAAATATTTACAGTTCTTGGATGCTTTTTAATATCCGCAGTCTCAAAATGATTCAAACTCGTATTTCAAGTACGAAGGGTGTCGAACAGCACAGACACAATACGTTGTCGTGGGGGCACAGCTTGTCAACTCATAGCGTTAACTCCACGTACACATACACACTCACATGCTTGCACACACAGCGCTGTTCGGCACATTGCCCTCTGTTACTACCTGTGAGGAAGGATTACACTTCTGAACGTTGCACATTGAAGATGAAGCGTCACAGTGACGTAAATATCCCACCTTGAATTGGCAGTATGTAAGCCCCTCAAGTGAAGAGCAGTCAAGTCGTGAAGAGAGACAGCGGAGGGAAGTGTGCTGATTATGACAACAAAGCTGCCATTAGAGAAATTGGATCTAATTTCTGATCCTTTCACTGCAGCTACTCTGTTTAAAAAAATCCTTGTCTTTGTACGAACTTGCAGAAAGGATCCAGCCCTTGTAATACTGACGTTTGATTCATTCCATTCACTGTTACTCAAAGACGCACATTTGCCAGTTTGAGTGGTCACATGTATGCAGATAAGAAGTATACGTGGTATATTCTTTTCTCTACATATTTGTCACCTTCTGTACCATTGGCACACGTCTATGACTCCACCGCTATGTTACTGTTGATGGTTGCAATAAAGTTTATCTTCCAAAACTTTGGCAGGACGAGTTGTACACTTTTACAACCAGCAATGTGATATCAGGCTGTCTCTCTCTAAGCACAGTTTAAAAAGTGATGATCTGGCAGGTTGTTTTCTTCGGATCAAGTAACAAACATCATCAGCATTAACATACTCGTGCAAAGAAAAACTTCCTGTGGCATGAGGTCCTTGTATAATTTTATGACGTTAACTCTTAATTGTATTGAAACTTCTGATATCTCTCCCCCACAGCACCAAAGTCTCCACCAGAGAAAACACGGTACGACACATCCCTGGGTCTGTTAACAAAGAAATTTGTGGACCTTCTTGCTCAGTCCGCTGATGGTGTTCTGGACCTCAACCTCGCTGCAGAAACCTTGCAGGTAATAGCGGTGGTATGGATATGAATAACCTTTTAAAAGAAAATACATCTGATCTTTTTTTGCTTTGTCAGAGGCGACTAAGTAACTGGAAGACTGATCACAGCCTGGGCACCAAAATATAAAAACAGAGCCTAAAGAAAATTAAGTTTCTAGTCTATTTACTTCGATTACAAAGCGCTTTGACAAGTTTTGATAGTGTTGCTTCAGATGGTTGTTTCCAATGTTAAATCAGCCTCCTTACAGTTATGTGTGATCTCCTTCACTTTCAGGTACAGAAAAGGCGCCTGTACGACATCACCAATGTACTAGAAGGTATTCATCTCATCAAGAAGAAATCTAAGAACAACATTCAGTGGATGTAAGTGCTTGTTCTTACCTTTGAACCCAAGCATCCATCAAGGTCTTTGTGATATTCATCTCATCATTACTTTTTCTGTTTTCCTTTTCCCGTCGATTCTCCTTTTTACGCGTGTAAGATTTCTTTAATGTGGTAATTTGTAGTCCACATTTCTTTTGTTTAAGTTGAAAAGGTGAATTCCATGTAATGTAAATGCCAATATCTTCAGCTGAATTCGCCTACAAGAGTATTTGACTCAAGCTTTGGTACATTAATCAGTAAGATATAAATGCCAACAGACATAGCAGTTAAACAAAATGTGATCGAGTACTTTTGTCTTTCAAAAAGCAGAAATAATGGCTCAGGTTCAGTTAAATGGGAGTCAAAGGGGAATCTGGACTGCTACTAAATCTGTTCTGATGCTCTCACACTCACAGGGGCTGCAGTCTGCTGGAGGTAGAGGGGGCACTGAGCCAGAGACAGAGACTGACAGCAGAAGTTTCTGCTCTGGGTGAAGAAGAGCAGAGGCTTGAACAACTCATCCAGCGATGCAGCCTGGACATGAGACACATGAGTGACTCGCAAAGCAATCAAAAATATCCTTTTGTTGGGAGCCGACGTGTAATTTCTAAGTTCAGATGATTCTTTGTTTGTTCAGACTTCAGTTAACTGTTTTTAGAGCTCTCCAGGGAAGGAAAGGAAATTGAGGGCAGCAATGAATTGTGTGCGTTATGTGTCTTGTGTGACCCTTTGTTCACCACGCAGTATTTGTAATACCTCAAAACTAACCCAACTAATTATAACTCCTTTTAGCACTCAAGATGTACAAGGCTTTATTATTCCATATAACCAAAGTGTACCTTTTGAATATTGTGCCTAAAATATCTTGCTGCTTATCCAGCTCAAAGTATTTGCATGTGTATGTGTGTGTGACATTGTAATTACCTCGGCATACTGGAGGGGTGAACATAAGCTTTCATTGATGTGAAGCAGAAACTTGTCACAACACTGTGGTGCAGTTTCCTTAACCCTTTCGTCTCCACATATGCCTATGTGACGTACCAAGACATCAAACAGCTGGGTAACCTTCGAGATCAGACTGTCATCGTTGTGAAAGCGCCCACAGACACCAAACTTGAAGTACCAGACCCTGACGAGGTACGTAGGAACACAAGCTGGATCCTCAATTGTTGTCGTAATAAAAACTTCTGCAACTTTAACTTCTCGCTCATCTGACCTTTGACTTGCATTTCCCATGAAGAAGATAGTAAATCCTAAAGAGCTGCTAGTATGATTATGAGGTATTGCCCCTGGTCTTGGACCTGCTACTCTGAAATCATAAGGAAATTAACTGAACTGGATGCACGCACATATGTAATTCTCCTCAGATTGTAGCAGGTGACACGCGTTGTGATCAGGTTAGCAGAATTTTGACTTCCTCATGGGAAAGCTTTGAAATACACAAAGCCTTAGTCTGCAAACTTTGGGTTTTGCAAGTTCATGCTTATCTGATTTGTTGCCTGTTGAATAGTATCTACATATTTTTATTGTGTATTGGGTTTTTCTCTAAAGATTGATGAAACAGACGTGTACATTGAAGAAGTCTGTTATCCTGTAACTCAAGTGTCGCCCTATTTCTCTTCACAGAGTTTGTCAATCCATCTGACTAGCACGAAGGGTCCCATAGATGTCCTGCTCTGCCCTGATGAGGAAAATGAATGCAGTAGTCCTGTAAAAAACACCAACACAGATATCAACGGGAACTCACCTTTCCTAAAAGTCCTTCAAGGTTTGTTTCAGGTTATCACATGTTTACGTAATTTGGTCTGGAGCTTTTCTTGATCTTTTAAAGAAATCACTTTCATTTTACACATTCAAACCTATCTGTTCTGCTGTGTAACTGCTGTCTTACTGGACAGCTGTGGCTTGTGGGAGTGCAGTGCTGCGACTGCAAGCCCGACATTGATTAAGCCTTATTCACACAGATCAGTATTACAGAGAGACCTCTGATCATTTGTAATAGTCATGTAAGACGTCTGCGTTTTTAATCCTCTAGGAGTTGACCATGTCTGTAATTGTGAAAACATTGAATATCCACATGGCTTTTTTCATTTCATTTTTCTCACATACCGGATAAACAATTAACGGACATGGAAGACTTAAACTGGAAAGTGTAGTGGTCAATCTAGTGTACAGAGAGGGTCAGTATTGACTGGGAGAGGCTCTGAATGTCTGTTGTGAAATTAAAAGCAGTCACATCATGTGTTGTGGATTTCTGACGGGCTGTCTGAAATTGTTAAGAAAAAAAACACATGGTTCATATAAAGGTGAAATATTTATCCATTCTTTTAAAATCCAGAGTTTGTTGTGTCAATGCAAGTACCCCTGATGCTTTAATTCATATTAATCCTTATTACATTAAATCTTAAGCTTTTATTACCTGGTAGAACTGAACACAGCTCTGCTAAATGACCATATTGCGTAATATGCAGGTGGCTGTCACTCTTTTCACCTTCTAGTCCAAAATATTTCCACACTGCTGACACTAAAGCCATAGGATTGCTAATGCTAATTGATCGGACTATCCTTTGTTTATACTTTAGCCTTTGAATCATTTCCTTGGAGAGTGACCGTAGAGCTGGAAATCCCCAACAAATAGTTCAAACTGATCACAACTATTCAAAACAAGCATCTTCTCACAGTGAATTTTCCCAGAAGATCCCCTGCTGCACTCTCACATGACTTTACCTTGGAGTTATCCCAGAGGGGGAAAACTTTGACTACTGCTGTCTTCACACTTGTGGCTCACCTGGGTATTTGAAGGAACTTTTTGGGAACTTTATTCATGTCTGAAAATGGTAAAGGGTCTCCTTTTTTTCCCCCCACAGATCCCAGCTGCACGACCACTTCTCCAAACCCTTCCCTGCCTCCACCCTCCACTGCTTCAGCTGTCTCCGTCACGACTCTTTCCCCCCTCTCGTCCCCTTTCACCAGTCTCTTACAGCAGACAGAGGATCAGATCGCTTCATCTCTGGGACCTTTCTTAAACCTTGGGCCTCCTCTCATTGACCAAGACGACTACCTTTTAGGTTTGGGAGATGACCAGGGGATTAGCGACTTGTTTGATGCCTGTGACTTTGATAAAATGCCCTCTCTCGGCCTGGATGATCTCCTCTGCAGCTAGCATTAGGTAATGAAAACTTGAGATTAAGAGCGTGGGAGAGATGGATGGGAAACAAGTCAGGGTTTTGATGCCTTTGACTGTAGTTTGTGAAAGCCAACTCTTAGATGTAATGAAACGTTGAGGTCTTTTCTAGTCTCAGCGGGACTCCACGACAGGTTCTTTCATGGTGTGAGAGATAAATGTGCATGATGTCACACAGCGATACCACTGGTCAGTGCTAAGACCTTTTTAATAGTCTGTCTCAGGCTTTGCTAGGCCTCCAGTGTAGCTTAGAACTTATGGACATCCTTAACCCTTTGCTATCTGTGTGGGACAAACTAAACGGGGAAGGAAGGAAACTCATCTTTAGATCAACAAAGACTGAATAGCTCGAAGGGAAACATCCCCACACCACCTTGCATTAATACACACAGAGGGCTATTTGGTTTGGTTTACTGGAAAAGCACGATAGATGATCGGGGAAGATCCTCATACCTGCCAGCAGAACACTTCTGAAAAGGGAAGGGCAAACCTTGAAGGGTCGTCTACTTGGAGGGCTTTGTCGTTACTATCAAACCTTTTCTTTTTTTAACGGGTAAAGATCATCTGCGAGCTTACAGCCATGCATTTTCTCTTCAGACGCCTGAATGAATCCTCTAATTTTAGATCCGTTAATGCCAAGTGTGGTGGGTGCTGGAAGGTGACACATTACACCAATGATCTGTGAGTGAGCGCTCATTCAGCTGACTCCTTGATAGGCTTGTTTTGTGTTCAGATGTAGATTAATTTAGAAATCAAAAAATGGATGAGAAATGGCAGGTGAGAAATTTGGGTGCAGACCACCATCCCTGATTTTATTGAGAAAGGCAGACAGGATGTGCCGGCTCAAACAAGACCCAAATTACTTTTGCTATTTGTCCCTTTGATCACAATAATACTCACTCGGTATTCTTGACTTGTGAGCACCATCTAGACCGATTGTGTATCATAAAAGTTTATGTACTGTTTGAGTGCACATGATTCAATAATCCAGAAAAAAGCAAGAAAAAAGAGGTTACATTATAAACACTGAAGATTAACGTGAGTTTTAAACATTTGAAATAATTACAGTATGCTTCACAGCTAGCAGTGAATTTGATCATCGTACACAATAACTTTTGTGCTGTATCTTAAAAAAGGCGTTAAGAGGTATTATAAAAAGGGACCTTTGCTCATCAGTTCTCCTAATGAGCCTGTTATCCACTGATCTAGTGGTTCAGCTCATACTTCATCCTTTGAAATAACAAACGGTTAAATCAGAAAAAAACAAACAAACAAACAAAACAGAAAAGTCAGTAGAACTTAATCCTACAAAGTGTAACAACGACCGTTGAAACAACAAAAAATTAATAATAATTTAAAAGAAAAAAATAGCCACCATACCTTGGGTGGAGCAAACACAATTGAAGTACTGAAATGAGGCAAATGCGTACATGTGCTGTCCAGATTTGAGTATCTTTCCTTACACGAGGTGTTAAACAAAACTCAATGAATTCAGAACCCACACTTCTCTTTCTTGCCGTTTCCCACTTTCTCTCTGTCTGCATCAGCAGAAGCTGCCATAGCCAGACTTCCCCTCAAGTCCCCACAGTTGGGTTCTATCCTGTGAAAGCAAACTGTGGTTTGAGCTCCCTGACAAATCCCTCAATGGTAACACACTGCCTTATTGGTGTGTGCAAAAGACAAGTGTGGTATTTTCTTTTAGGTTTAATAAAGGTGAATTTTAATGGATTTTAAAAAAGTAGACCTGACAAATAATATTGCAGTCACCAGAGCAACAAGGGGACCCTTGTTGGTAACTACTCTAAGTCTCAGCATGTAATGAAGGGCTTTTTCATTTTTAGGATATTTATTTAAAAAAAGGTAAAATAAAAAAGGGAAAACACAAAAAGAAAAAAAAAATCTTTTTTTTTTTTTGAAGAAAATCTGCACCCAGCGTTATTGCAAACTTTGCCTTGTAATACTGTTAAGATTGGACCCAGGCGATTGTCTTCTTTTAAAACATTTGATCAGGAAGAAACGGCTGGAAATGAGCTGTAGGGATATATTTTCCTCTCAGTTTTGTTATTTCTGTCCTCTCCTATCAGCTTCTTTTGATCGTATCCCTGATCATGACAAAATTCAAACATCTTGCCTGAAACTTTGGCTTTTAAAAATAGAGACGCCTGCCGCTGCAGGTAGTATTGCTGCTGTTAAACCCTGACCTGATTGATGTGCGCTTGAGTAATTGCGTGTGCAGCATGTGTGAGGTGTGTAAAAGATTCTGCTTGCTAAAGAGTAAGCCTGCCATGTGTAAATTGATGTACAGTTTTCTAAATTTTCAGTGCACAAGGTACTGTAGGCTACCTCCCACTAAATGTTGGACAATAGTAATAGGGCATAAATGCCATAGTGTGTATGATAAGCGTCTTTGAATTCCCTTTTGTCACCATAGAAATATTAATCTTGTATGATTAAATGTGATGTTGGATTTTACATCGCACTTTTTTGATGTGTGCAAGATTCCACTCATGCCCTGATGTTGTACAGAGTTCGCCTTTGCTCTTACACAGTCCCTTGCATCTTAAATTCTTACTTTGAGGTGGACATTTGATCGTAAGAGAAGTGTACAAACTTAATGCAATATTTTTTTTTTCTTTTCAATCTTTTTCATAAGTTATTTTCTTTTGTCAGTGTTATTTTTTTGATTTGATTAAATACAGGGCGTAATTACGACACAAAAGATAGTACACATCTAGAAATGCATGTATGTAGATCTTGATTGGCAGCCCATCTGCCCTTGTTGGTGGAACTGGCCTTCAGTAGACATTACAATGTCAGTGTGCACTGCTTAACCAGGATCAGTGACTGGAGTCCTCTGCTTGAGTATTGAAGGGGCTTTGCTTCTGTGACACTGTGTGTCCGTTTTATGTTGGTTGGAGGGAGTCTGTTTAGATTTTTTGCATTTTTTTCAACCTCTCTATGATAGAGGGTATTTAAACCTTGCAAATATCCAAACTTAACACATTTACTAATGATTCATCCCCGAGTTTATTGCTCATTGCGTAAGTGACACAGATCAGACTCAAATTCAAAGAAATGTTCTTGATTCACAAGGCAAGGTTTCCCAATTACATCAGCGTGTTTTTAAATGTAGTAATGTTTTTTATGTATTAGTGAGAAGGTCCAGACCAATATCTCATACATCTGGTTCACCCAAAACTGATGTGCCATTTTCAAAGACTTAATAAACTGGAAATTATATTTTCTGCCATCTTGTCCCAAGCAGCCACAATCTGGTCTCAAGTTTTATCAACTTTTACACAACAGGAACCCAAATTCTGGCTGAATTAACATTGCTGGTGAACCTGAAAATGGATGAAATGCAGCTACTTTATTCAAAATTTTGATTTTGCTGTGTGATTAGACTTTACAGAAAAATATCATTAGACAAAATGCGGTGTAAACTATAATCAAGATTGAAAACTGAATTGTTCTTCCTTCTGTTCTTCTATGCTTATTCTTAAGCTATTACCAAATACAATATATCTTTGAAGGTTTTGTGAAAAGTAAACACTTGATAGGAAGGAATTCAAATCAAATTATGATACTGCTGCCTCTTTTCACTGATAACTTAAAAGAGCTGTTATACATTTCCCTTTTTTTTCTGCAACTTGAACGCATGAGTGAAAGTATCATTGTGCTGTTGAATGTTTAAAGTAAACTAATGTGATGAATTTTGATGTGTGTTATTCAGTAATACTTTTTTCTTTAACATCTGTTCTATGAGGATTTTTTTGTTATGGGGGGACAAATGGATCCGTTTTGTACTGTGGGTGTTTGTAATGAAAATTTGAATAAAGTCAATATAAATATGGAGATGTTTTCTTTATGATGTTCTTACTGACCTTTTTTACACTTATGTGAATAATGAGTAGGTAAAGAGCAATGTTGCACACATGGCATCATGGGTAACACCTTTAGTTCTTCTTCCCCTCAAACCTAATGTTGAGAAATTTTGGTTATGATTGATTCTAGCACCCCCTGTTGGCAAAGCAGTATCTTATTCTGCCCTGTAGCTACATGTTAGGGTGCTAGTTTTCTGTCTTTACCTTCAAGTGTTTTGCAGATCTCTGCTGTTGAAAACATTTTTAAAAGGCTTCTTCAAGTAGGCTAGAAATTATGTCTCTCAGTCTCTAACACCCCCTCTCAGGATGGTTTACAGTGTCCACAATCAGCTCACCAGAGGTATCGCAGCAGGGCTTCTGACGGGCTGCCACGAGATAAGCTTCCTGCTTAAGTATCTACTAAACAGTTTGTTCCTAGAGGTTCAAATGAGACTTTTATTCAACTTAAATACTCATGAAATAAAGTAGTATAGGATACCTAATATTCAGAGCAGCAGAAAAACCTCCATATATATTTTCTGTTTTCCTAAGCCTCACTGCACCATCATCAGTCCAGTGAGGACTTCTTTTGCTTAAAACAGGCAATGCACAGCTGTTGTTTTCAAACAATCAGGATGTGAGCTAGCTAAGTACATAAAGATATTGATAACAACATGAGTATGGCTTCATGTCTAATACTGTGTTAGAAACCATTCTTTTGAATTTAAATGGAGATAAATTTAATCTATTAGGCTGTCTGCAATAAACTTGACACATTCAACCCATGTTAATGGTACTTGATTTTAGATTAGATTAAATATGACTATTATCAAAGGCCACAACTTTACTTGCACAACTGCAGCTCCATTTACAACATACAAGACAAAATACATATATTAACACGTGTCAAATACCCAACAGCCTTAAACTTTTTTTTGATCTAGGATTGAGCTCCATGTCCTTTTCTAAAACGGACTGGTGTACAAAGACTGCTTCAATTTGACCTTATTATACCATATGACCCTTCATCTCATGTTTGACGGTAATATTCAGTGTTCATATTTATATTCACTGTTTAGGTCAGTGGTTCTCAATTGAGTCCTCGAGTCCCCCCTG